GTATGATAAGGCATAAAAAAGTTATAGTACAGTAGGTAAGAAACATGTCATAGTATAGTAAGGCATTATAACGTCATAGTAAAGTAAGGCATAAAAACATCATAGTATGATAAGACATAAAAAGTCACATTAAAGTAAGGCATAAAAAGTCATAGTACAGTAAGGTATAAGAATTTCATAGTATAGTGAGGATTAAAAACTTCATAGTAAAGTAAGGCATTACAAACTCAAAGTATAGTAAGGCATGAAATGTCATAATATAGCAAGGCATGAAAAAGTCATAGTATAGTAAGGCTTAAAAATGTCATAGTATAGTAAGGCATCACAAACTCACAGTATAGTAAGGCATGAAATGTCATAATATAGCAAGGCATGAAAAAGTCATAGTATAGTAAGGCAAAAAAAGTCATAGTATGATAAGGCATAAAAAAGTTATAGTACAGTACGTAATAAAAATATCACAGTATAATAAGGCATTATAATGTCACAGTATAGTAAGGCATAAAACTGTCATAGTATAGTAAGGCATCACAAACTCACAGTATAGTAAGGCATGAAATGTCATAATATAGCAAGGCATGAAAAAGTCATAGTATAGTAAGGCTTAAAAATGTCATAGTATTGTAAGGCATCACAAACTCACAGTGTAGTAAGGCTTGAAATGTCATAATATAACAAGACATGAAAAAGTCATAGTATAGTAAGGCAAAATAAGTCATAGTATAGTAAGGCAAAAAAAGTCATAGTATGATAAGGCATAAAAAAGTTATAGTACAGTACATAGTAAAAATATCATAGTATAGTAAGGCATTATAACATCATAGTATAGTAAGGCATAAAACTGATATAGTATAGTAAGGCATCACAAACTCACAGTATAGAAAGGCATGAAATGTCATAATATAGCAAGGCATGAAAAAGTCATAGTATAGTAAGGCAAAATAAGTCATAGTATAGTAAGGCAAAAAAATGTCATAACATAGTAAGGCAAAAAATTTATAGTATGATAAGGCATAAAAAAGTTATAGTACAGTCGGTAATAAAAATATCATAGTATAGTAAGGCATTATAACGTCATAGTATAGTAAGGTATAAAAATGTCATAGTATAGTAAGACTTAAAAATGTCATAGTATAGTAAGGCATCACAAACTCACAGTATAGTAAGGCATGAAATGTCATAATATAGCAAGGCATGAAAAAGTCATAGTATAGTAAGGCAAAAAAAGTCATAGTATAGTAAGGCAAAAAAAATGTCATAATATAGTAAGGCAAAAAAGTCATAGTATGATAAGACACAAAAAAGTTATAGTACAGTCGGTAATAAAAATATCATAGTATAGTAAGGCATTATAACGTCATTGTATAGTAAGGTATAAAAATATCATAGTATAGTAAGGTATAAAAATGTCATAGGAAAGTAAGACATAAAACTGTCATAGTATAGTAAGGCATCACAACGTCACAGTATAGTAAGGCATGAAATGTCATAATATAGTAAGGCATGAAAAAGTCATAGTATAGTATGTCAAAAAAAGTCTTAGTTTGATAAAGCATCAAAAAGTTATAGTGCAGTAGGTAATAAAAATGTCATAGTATAGTATGGCATTATAACGTCATAGTATAGTAAGGCATAAAAACATCATAGTATAGTGTGGATTAAAAACATCATAGTATAATAAGGCATCACAACGTCACAGTACAGTAAGGCATGAAATGTCATAATATAGCAAGGTATAAAAATGTCATAGTATAGGAAAGCATCACAACGTCATATTACATTAAGGCATCAAGTCATAGTAAAGTATGGCATGAAAAATATATAGTACAGTAGGTAATAAAAATATCATAGTATAGTAAGGCATTATAACATCATAGTATAGTGAAGATTAAAACCATCATAGTATAGTAAGGCATCACAAACTCACAGTATAGTAAGGCATGAAATGTCATAATATAGCAAGGCATGAAAAAGTCATAGTATAGTAAGGCAAAATAAGTCATAGTATAGTAAGTCAAAAAAAAGTCATAGTATGATAAGGCATAAAAAAGTTATAACATAGTAAGGTATAAGAATTTCATAGTAAAGTGAGGATTAAAAACTTCATAGTAAAGTAAAGCATTAAAAACATCATAATATAGTGAGGTATGAAACTGTCATAGTATAGTAAGGTATAAAAATGTCATAGTATACTACGGATTAAAAACATTGAAGTAAAGTAAGGCATTAGAAGTCAAAGTATAGTAAGGCATTAAAAGGTCACAGTATAAAAGTCATTAGAGTCGGCAATTAATGTAATGTGCATGTCTTTGGGTTGTGGGACGAAGTTGGAGTACCTAGAAAGATCCATGGAGGCACATGCAAACACAGAAAAGTGCCAGGCCTGAGGATCAAACCCAGAACCTTCTTACTGTGAGGGAACAGTTCTACTCACTGTGTCACCGTGCCACCCCATGAAAAAAGTCATAGTATAGTAAGTCATAAAAGGTGATAGTGTAGTAAGTTATAAAGTCAGTGTAGTAAGTCATAAAAAAGTATAGTATAGTAAGTCATAAAAAAGTATATTATAGTAAGGCATAAAAACGTGATAGTATGATAAGACATAAAAAGCCATAGTATATTAAGCCATAAAAAATATATAGTACAGTAGGTAATAAAAATGTCATAGTATAATAAGGCATTATAACGTCATTCTATAGTAAGGCATCACAACGTCATAGTATAGTGAGGATTAAAAACATCATAGTAAAGTAAGGCATAAAACTGTCATAGTATAGTAAGGCATGAAATGTCATAATATAGCAGGGCATGAAAAAAGTCATAGTATAGTAAGGCAAAAAAAGTCATAGTATAGTAAAGTATAAGAATGTTATCACAAGTAAAGTAAGGCATCAGCAGTCAAAGTATAGTAAGGCATTAAAAGGTCACAGTATAAAAGTTATTAGAGTCGGCAATTAATGTAATGTGCATGTCTTTGGGTTGTGGGACGAAGTCGGAGTACCTAGAAAGAATCCATGGAGGCACATGCAAACACAGAAAAGTGCCAGGCCTGACAAATAGCTTGAAGTAAAATTAAAAGAAGCATTAAAATATTGTACATGGCAAAAGGCATTAAAATGTTATCAATCAGAAAATCTCCACACATATAGGGCCAGATTGTATTTTTTTGTTAACACAAAAAAAACCCCCAAAAAAACAAAAAACAAACCCACAAGTTTAATTTCGTATTCTTGGTTCAAACCTCTTGGTGTCAGAGTGAAATCAAGAATATTAAATGAAAACATTTCTGGTTAAAGTTAAATAGTGTTGATGGGAATGCTGTTACTTTTTTAGCATTGGACAAATTAAAAATTCACCCTAATTGTGGTGCTAGAGGCAAAACCAGGGGATCATCAAAGTTATAAGGATAAATTATCTGAGAACCATGGATGTCTGTGCCAAATGCTGTGGAAAGCCACCCAATAGTTGTCAAGGTATTTCAGTAAAAACCACTAATGCCAACTTGCTGGTGCGGCCAGAGGAAAAGTGAGAAGAGGAGAAGTCAGAGGATTCATCCTCTGAGGACCATGAATATGTGTACAAGATTCTGTGGCATTCCCTCAAATACTTAGAGATGTTTTAGTCTGGAGCAAAGAGGTGGACTGAATGCTTTCGGTCATGAACTATTTAGGATATTTTGATAAACTTCATATATTTCATGTCTGTCTTGTGGTGCTGTTGAACTGTATTGTGTTATACTAAATGGTGTTCCTATTATTTTTCCTGCACTATTTGAATCAATGAAGGGTATAGGCTAAATAACAGACACACTTCTCATTTATGCTAATTTCCAATAGCTTTGCAACTACATGTGATGTGCATAAAGCTATGCTGCTAATTTATTCAAGTAAACACTTCATTAATGAGATTTCTTCACTTTCTTTCTTCAACTAAAAGGACTACAAGCAGACAAAGAAAAGGTATGCACCTGCTATCTGCTAAAATTAGCTCCATGTCTCCATTAGACAGTCATAAATCACTGTAATCATTTCAACATGTTTTAGGGTTAAATGCAACATTCGAGAGCCAGAGTGTATCAGAGACATCCTGATAAACTCTGCAAAGCATCTGGGATTACTTAAATTTGGAATTTGGAAGAAGATGATCAACATTGTCAGATATGGTGGGTGAACAATGTCCTGCAAGTTAAAGTTTAATACGAGGTATGGGCATTTTCAAACTAATGAACTTGCTTTACACTTTCAGTTCCCATCACTCTGGATCCAAACACAGCCCAGTCCAACTTAAAGTTCTCTGAAGAGCTGACTTGTGTGCAGTACGGCAGTAAGCAGCTCATACCTGACAACCCTGAACGCTGCATCAGCCGTGTGTGTGTGCTGGGAGCAACTGGCTTCAGATCTGGAAAACACAGCTGGACCGTAGATGTGGGACAAAGCAAAGACTGGTACATTGGAGTGGCCCGAGAGTCTATCAAAAGGAAGAGTACCGTCTTCCTCAACCCTGCCGAGGGCTTCTGGGTGATTGGCCTATCTAATGGAGACTCGTTCTGGGCTCAGACCTCGCCTCGCACCAAGCTCATGTTGAAGCAGAAGCCTGAGAGGATTACTGTAGAGCTGGACTGTGACAAAGGGAAGGTGGTGTTCATCAACGCTGCTGATTTGACAACAATACACACATTCAAAGAAAAATTTACAGAGAGGATTTTCCCCTATGTCTCCCCGGGCTTGTATGAGGAGGGGAAAATATCCAGACCACTGACAATCTGCCCTCTGACCATAACAGTGGATGTAAAATAGACTCTCATACAGTGGATGCATCTCTTAAGAGCAGTGGTTCCCCACCTGTGGGCAGGGGCCCACTTGTGGGTGGCAAAGGTATTGAAGTAGACCGACAAATAAGTTGGAAAACATTATCATTTTGGTGAAAACATGTAATTCCGAATAAAAAAATTTAAACTATAAATAATGTTCAGTATTATAAAACAAAATGATCTTTGAAAACATTAATAATGTTGAAAACAATTGTCATGGTTTTTTCTCATATTAACGCCTATCACTGTGATGAGCCAATGACAGGAACATTTATGTTGTCACAACGTATATTTGTTTGCCATTTCAGTCGGATTGCACCCTAAAAAATTATATCTGAAACTGTATCAAATCAAATCAAGATGGATAGTTGGTTAGCAACAGAAAGAATTAAAAAGAAAGAAACAAAAAAGAAAAATTGAGCCTGATGAATGTATAATTTATTAAGCAAGACTATAACCATCTTCATATATCTGAGTTGTTTAATTATGTTCAAAACAAAAGTCTTCAGTTCATTTAATTATAGTGTTGATTTAGTGACATTAGCTGTCCTTTTCTTTGTTCTTTTGTTTCCTCTGTGATGCCATATCTTTCAGTTTAGAGTCCAGTTTTCTTTGCAGGTAAGCTTTCTTATTGGGATCCATGGATTTGTCTTTCTTCCCACTGCCGGCATAAAGAACGCCTTCTTTGCTTATTCTCATCCGAGCATGAGACTTGGCTTTATCTCCACAGCCGTGAACCTAAACAGGGTTTACAACATGATGATTAGATTTTTGGAGAAAACACAAAAGTCAACACTCCATCATTTTCTTACATTAAAGCTGTCACTTATGGTGAGATATCAGCACACAGACTTTTAAAATACTTTCCTGACACTGTCCATATTTTTTGAGTAACAACTGCATCACCACATCTGATAAATCCCACCTACACAGCACCACAAAAAACACCAACCAAACAAATACCATTTGTGGTTTGTCCCTGTCTTACCTCTGGTATATGGTGACTGAGGCAGTACTGCCTGTTGCAAAAAATGCAAAGCTGTCCAAGGGTTAGCACAGATGCTTTACACTTGACAAAACTGCACACACTGTCGGCCTTCTTGACAGCGTTGATAAGCGTGTCAAAGTCATCATCGGGAGCAGCTGCTGCAGCAATGTCGCAGGCGCCCGCCTTTGTTCGGTTCTTTCCTGGCAGAGAAATGATAGAGTTTTAGAGACATTAGACAAAGGTTTCACGTGGCAGACGTGTAAGAAAACTGTTAAAATTTAGATGTTTCTAATACGAACCTTTGGCCTTCTTGGATGACTGGGTCTGAGCTGGCGGGATATTGTTCTGCTGTTTTTTCCGTTGAGCATTTTCTTCTCTTTTCTGTTGCTCCCTCTTCATTCGCTCCAAATGTAAACTTTTCAAATCTAATGGAGAATGAGACCGCGGCTCACTTTGGGGATTTGGGTTTGTTTCTTCTTCCTGGGCTTCTTCTTCTCCTTCTTCTTCTTCTTGTGCTTGTGTCGGCTCCTCAGCTGGTGCTGAAACCAGGGGCCTGGACACACTGATACACCTGTCTTTCCCCTCACCTTTGCTCTCATGCACAAGTCCCAGCTCCTCAGCGATCTGGTGGACCAGCAGGCGGTCATGAGAGTTAAAAGATGATGGGAATTGTATTTCACTCTGATTTAAGTCCTTCAGAAAGTTCTCCACCTGCTCTCTGATCTCAGTGCATCTGTTCTTGTTCTGTTGTTCCTCTGTGAGTGTTGATGCAGAGGATTTTTTGTACTTCTCTGAACCAGCAGTGTTTTCCTTACTGCTGCTACCACTCGATTTCTTCTGCCCTTGCTTCACCTTGCTGCGAGCCTGATCTTTGACACTTTGTTTGGTAGATGCGGAGCTGCTGATAGCTGCAGATGTATTAGCCTTACTGTCTTTGTGGTCACGGGTGTAGTTCTGTGGCACGATATCTTGGATGTACTCAAAAGCTGTTCTGACTTCACCAAACTCAGTCATATGATCAATCAGGGACTTCAAGAAAGCATGATTTTGGACAGTTTGAGTGTCACACACAACGGCAATGTGGCGTCTTGCACGTGTAACAGCCACATTTATCCGTCTGTCCTCCGCCAGAAAGCCAACGTCCCCTAAAATAAAAAAAAATGAACAAATATGTTTGTATGTATGTAAACTGATTTTGCTGAGGTCCATGGTGTGGCAGAAGCAGGTATGAGAAAACAAATTACCTTTTCTGTTGGATCGAACTAATGACAACACCACAGCCTCTTTCTCTCTGCCCTGAAATCCATCTACGGACTTTATCTCCAGCTCTGGATGCCTCGTAGACAGTTTCTGACGCAGAAGATCGACCTATACAGGAATAAAAACATTAAAACCAAATCACTGAGTCAATTTTGAGACACAAATGTTAGATCTTTTGGTTTAATTTTAGATTTCTAGTTTACAGCATGACTATGTAACTTTTGATGAGCAGTAGTGACAGCGGCCTCTGCAGCCACATATGATATTTACAGGATGCTGGCGCATGAAATTCTCTAAGGTTCCGAGTCCGAGTGAATAAGGATACGGGAAGCAGCGTATTCATATGAGCTAAAAGCTCATGTACAGACAACAAAGCCTATCAGTCGCTAATGCAACAAACACAAAATCATCATCTCCACACAAACCAGCAATCTTGCTGTTCCCTCATGTCAAGTCAGCATGCGGCTAATCTGTGCAGAACAGTGAGCTAGCTTCTTCTTATAGCTAGCTGAAGACTTATATTTGGTGGCGTGTGATGTAGTGCTGTGAATTGTTAAGCACTTCTCGTGGATGATCGTGCCTGCGCAAACCAAATTACACAGTGCAAGAACAGGCGTCCAGAACGCAGAGTGGGAATGATAGAGGTGCCATTCTCAGGCGCCCTGTTACAAGTCAGTGTACCACTGAATAAAATGTTATTTTAAGGAAAATAGTTTCATAATGACTTACCTGTAAATTGTATGGGGCAATAACAGCTATGTCTTTAGCTTTAATCCCAGCTTCAGTCAAAGCCTTTATGTGCAGTTCAACAATGTCTACCTCACCTGAGGATACAGTACACACACAGTTAGATCCCATACAACTCAAACAGTTAAGGTATTCTGGCTTTTTGCAATAAAAACAACCAACCTTGATTGCCTTTGGACTGCTCATCTGTGACCTCCATTTCACTCAGACCACAGCCTGCTGTGTCAATCAGAAGAAGCGGTGTGCAGGTCTCTTCAACACAGGTGACTCCTGGTAGATCTCTGTTTGAATCAAGTACAGCGTATTTAACAGTTATTTCAATGAGTTATCCTTCACTGAAATTTTTCCTTAACTAAACTAATTCTCACTTTAATAAATGTCTCTCCACAGAGCTGTGAGCAGTCAGTCTTCCCTGGTACATCTCTTTGGAGGCCCACTCCATGATGGCACTGTTCATGCGGTACTGAACTGTCAGCATACGGACCACTGAGTCCCCATACATCTGGATAAGTCTCTCCATAAGACTGAGAGACAAGCCTTTGGATGCAGCGCTGTGGGAAACAATATGCGCAAACAATAAAAATCATGTAAAAAGATCTTTTAAAAAAGCTTTGAAAAGCAATTCCCTTGGTTAGCTTTTTACTTTGACCAACAAGACTATGCTATTTACTGTTAAAGCTACAACAGTTCAGAGCTGAGAGGCTTAGCGAACAAATCAGTTAGTTGATTAACAGAAAATTAATTATTTTAGTACTCAATTCATTGTTTCATTCATTTTGCAAGCAAAAATGTCAGAAAAGTCAAACTGATTTCTCAAATGTCAAGATTTTCTGCTTTTGTTTAGCAAGAAGAGAATCTGTGGGCTCAGGACTGTTGGTCAGAGAAAAATAGTTTGAAGAAGCGACCCTTGGGATCCAGGGAAGGACATTTTGCACAATTTTCTGACATTTTGTGGACAAAATTCATCAATTAATCGAGAAAATAATATGCAGATTAAGTAATAATGAAAATAATTGTTAGTTGTAACCAGTTTAGTCAGTTTTGCTTATTTCAGACAACAGATTTCTGTATTTGTGTTTTTGCCTGTTCTCCTCTCGCTGGTTTGAAATAGGGTGGGCTAGTTGGTAAAGGTTGATGTATTTCTGTTCACTGAGCTTACAAACATTTGAATTCAGAATAAAAATATGATGATGACATGATGTGGGGTTGTTTCTGAGAGCTAAACTCTTAAAAAGAATGATTTCCTTTTACGTTAACCTTGATTGTTTCTTATTTAGACATAAAAATTCACAGTTGTAGAAAAATGCTTCAGATTTAAAACCAGTTTTTAGGGAAAATGTTTTAGCTGCAGAGAATATTAAGTGTTAATATAAATGCATAAAAAAGAGAAATCTGTTTTTTACGTTCGTGATTTAATAGTAGGTGGTAACTGCTTGTAGTCTCCAGCCAGAATGCACTTGCGCGCTTTGAGCAGGGCGATCCAGCAGCTGCTCTCCAGGGCCTGGGCGCACTCGTCTATCACCACCCAATCAAAATGCTCTGCTGGCAGGAACTTCAGAGGGCCGTCATCACAAGCACCTGCAGACACAGACAAGTGCTCACAGATTGCCTTTCAGCATCACTGCTACAACTGAATGATATTTTCTTCACTCAAGGCCATTACTGACCTGTGTTGGTTGATAAAACAACATCAGCACTTTTTAGGATCTGGGCAATGGCTGTTGCTTCCCTGGTTTTCAGCTCTTTTCTTAGCTCCCCTATTTCTCTTCTGAAATTCACCCGCTCGCCTTTGTCATGTGCCTTCTTCATTCCCATCTTGAAAATAAATAAATACAATATTTAAAAATCATACAAAATGGCACAAACACTTGTAGGAGCACATGCTCAAATACTTACAAAAGCTTTATCGATGTCTTTACGGATGTCAGTGATGATGTTTGCGTTGTCACTCTGGGCGAGGATGGCATCCAGTGAATGTTTCTGAATGGACTCCAGCAGTCTGGCAGGGTGACCCAGCCTCAGTACTTTGGCCTTGCATCGGGCTAACCTCTCTACTAAATTATCCACAGCCACGTTAGATGAGGCACAGCACAGGACCTGCACAAACACAAGTACCCGATGAAAATGAAATAAAAATGACTAGTCTAGACTAGTGTCTAGACTGAGATTCTGCAGCAACAACGACACATAAATATTACTAACATAATCAGTGGTGACAATATGTTCACATTTACACTAATAAATTCAACTTTCTGCACCTTTTGGCCTTGTTTGACTGCTTGCAGAATGATTTCCACCACTGTGGTGGTTTTCCCAGTGCCCGGAGGTCCATGAATCACAGCCAGTTCTCTCTGAGACAAAGCAAACGACACAGCTTCTCTTTGGGAATCATCCAGGTTCAAGTTAAAGAATCCAACCTCATCTGATGAAACATAAAAGAAGTATAGCCAGAATTAGTCTCATTATTTTGCAAGGTTTTGAAATATGTGTAAACAGTGTGCTGCATACCACCAAGCTACTACCTAGCCATACAGCAAATAGAAGGCCTAATTGTTGATAATATTTCCTTTGTAAAGTATGACTTACTTGGCTGTGACTGAGAAGAGGGTTTGGTGTCTCCAAAAAGAACACTGATCAGATTGGCCGCTGTTCCATTGCTGTATCTGTTTAATGCATTCAAGGCACTGGAAGCACAAAAACACATAGTACACATTAGTCGTTCTAAGGTTTCTCAGCTCACTTTTAACTGCACGTAGTTCGTAACGACTTTACAGTGAGAACTTTACAAATGTTACTTACTTTTTCATTCGTTTGTAGGTGACATCATTTGCCAACTTCAAAAGGATGTAAAGAGCGTCTGTGTCAAAACTGAGGCCATCCTTTGAATCATCAAAGGCCACACTTATAGAAGCTTGGCTGACCCTCGTCACTATCCCTGTAGCAATCTGAGAGTCTGCGGTGCATCCACCAGTGTCATACAATCCAACTATATCACCTGTAACAAAAGATATAAACACCACATTAAGCAAAATATGAAACCAAAGTAACAAGAAACAACAAAGATCAAATGTTTTATTTTTCCATCTCACCAGGTCCAAAGCTGTTGCTTGGTAGAGATGAGAAACCAAGATGCTTTCTTGGCTCTAGGATGACGACTGTGCGGCCATACAAGCCTGTGGACTGACTTCCTATCTGCAGTTTCAGCAAGCAAACACCTTTATTTTGAAGATCCTTGAGAGAGATGTTCTCCTGCCATAGCCTGATGAGACAAAACAAGACTGTAATTTTAAAATGGCATGTACCAATAATGAGATTTTGTTTCTTTTTTTTTTATATTTTGTGGTAAAATAGGTTAAGATAGGTTCTTAAGAAGGCCTGCCTTTCCTCAAAAACATACCATAATCCCTGTCTAGAAAAAGGATATCCACCATAATGTACATCAAGTTTGGTATACTTGTCTTGGGGACAACTACTCAGTTTGTAAAAACAGATATATAATAGCTTCTGTGGCTCTGGGGGAGTTTTTTGTCAAGTCTGATGCCTAATTTCTACTAATCGCATCTGTATGGCTGCATCATGTCATTTGCCCATGTCTGCTGAAGTCCATGCTGATCATCTGCATGCAGCAAAAAATGTATGAATGCACTGACAAACAATTTTGAACAAGACATGTATGTCCACTGTCAGCGTCTGTCTTTATACTTATATTATATCATTATACTATATCCAGCCCTTGCGAAAATAACCCAGATAGGTTGGACTTGGGTGCATCAAATTAGGGAGCTTGCATTTCAAATTGAGACTGTTGAATTTGAAAGATGTGGGCATTTCTCTGGCAGGATTACACTAATGAGTGGCATTATGGGAAGTGTAGGACCCAGTATTTTGGAGCTTGACCTGTACCAGAGTCTAAAACTCATGACTCTACTGCTTTATCTTTGACCTCTCTTTTTGAATTTGTCTCTTCCAAGTATTACAATCTGGATGCTATTTTACTTACCTGGTCTCCTCAATTTCAGCTTCCCTCTCCTCCTGTAGAAGCTCAAGTGTCTTTGACACAAATTGTTCAACTGCCATAACTCACTAAAAAGATCAAAGAGTAATAATGAAAAAAAAAATCATTGTAAAAGAACATTTCGCAATACAAGTCAGTACAACCTCACCTAAGCTACAGATCAGGAGAGGTTTCACTTATCACCTGTTTTTAACTGCTACATTTTAATGTCATACACACCAGGTCACATTAGACTGATAAAACCTGATGTTGTAAATGACAGATATGTTAGTTCTCCTATCAACAAGGGTGACTCTCACTAGTTGTGGAGAGTAAACTAAGTACGTTTATACAAGTACAACACTTAAAAGTAATTCTGATGTAATTGTACTTTACTTGAGTATTTGCATTTCACACTTTTATACTTCCACATCCACTAAATGTCAGATGCTAATATTATACTTTGTACTTATTACCACTAATAAGTACCACTTTTTTGTATCACGAATAAATGTGATTTAAATTTGCTTCACACCAGCCATGAAGCTACAACATAAAATCCAGCATACACAGTAATGAATCAGTAATCATAATCCAATAATATTACACTATATTAGGATGATCATTCTGCTGCATGATGAGTTATGATACTCTACTTGTAACTAAATAAATTTTAAATGCAGACTTTTATTTTTAATGAGTATTTTTATGATTGTGGTATTGGTAACTTCAATGAAGTAAGAAGCCACAACCAACCTTCCCCACTATATCTCACAGCACATGTAAAAATGTCCAACATGGTGCATCTTTATACAAAGCTCGATGTTTGGCCTCTCGTACATTATCATTATATTCAACTGTAGTTATCGGTAAGTGTCATACATGAGATAAAACAAGCCGAGTGCCAAGAGGTAGTTTAAATGCTGACATGTTAGCTTGCTAACCACACTGCACTCAAACCACTTACTTTAGCTACAGTAAGCAAGCGAGAATGACACTCACCCATTAACGTTAGATATCTGAAAAGAGATCGAAAGAGCAGAAGACCCAACAGCTAATGTTAGTTAATCATGCGGGACAACTTGTAATTGTCTTGGTCATATCTTCTGTGGTCAGTTGGTTTGTTTGACTCATGTCGTCTTCTTTGACTGTGCTAACTCGTTAACATGTTAGCCACACTGCCACCTACCTGCTCAGATGACTTCTCTCACTCAGTCACAGACTGTGTTGCCAAATTTTACTGACAAAACGAAACCTAATCCGAGCCTAGAAACCGCCCAAGCGCCATAAAAGTAGCCATATTTTTTATTTTGTGTTTTGAGTATTTATAAGAAACAAGCCTGCCTTGCCTGCATGCACCCGTCCCTTCCACCGCACACAGTATCCTTGACTTTTATCTCTCCCCTTGCTCCTCCGTTACAGTTTTAAAAAATGTGGAATAAAGACAAGGTTACAAACAGTAGCCCAAACTATTACAACCCTCCTACATAATTTATTGCCCGCGCAGGTGGGGGGTGAACAGTCGAATCTGGCAACACTGCTCGCAGGCCACATGCACAACCTTTATTTTGAAAAGCTCACAATGCGGAAGTTACACAGCGTCGTTCACCCACCAGAAACACGTTGAGCTAAGTTGTCAATCAAACTGGCACCAGCCGCTCGACAGCAGAGCCCAAGTTGTTTATCATAAATTCAGGTTATAAGTTTTAACATTATGGACGGGGCCGTGTTGGCTCGTTGCTCTGTATGGTTTCAGACCGCAGGAAAATATGCTGGTTTTTAATCTGCCAGATCTCAGTCAGGAAGGAAGCACTTGCGCTGCAAACCTGCAGATCTGAGCTAACCCATTTTTATTTAACTGCTTCACGACGCCTTTTACTGCCCTTTTGGAAATGAGAACGACGCTAGTCCTGTTGCACGGCATCTCATGCTGCTGGTTGGCCAGTGCTACACTTTCAAAAACTGATGCCAAGAAGTCGCATAAAGCTGAGGCTGAGGTGAGTAACTTCAGGTCTTTACCTTGAAATGGGTGTGAGCTGTCAAGTCTTCTGTTTGCCTGGCATGTCACTGTACTCCCCTGAATTTCCCAGTTTCATGCAGAGGCCCTTATCCTCGCCTGTCACTGGTAATCTGTCACTGAAATGTGCTCCCTTTTCTCTTTGATCCCACTGTTTAGACATCTCCAGCTGAGTTATCTGTGTTGGAGAGAGGCCTCGTTGTGTCAGACCCGCACTGGAAAGACATAGTGAAGGAGGAAAAAAGACACTGTGCTCACATCAAGAAAACATTTCAGGGACCTGTACTGGGATATGTCACACCAGTAAGGCTGAAATCCAGTCACTGGCACATCTACATTATGCTTTGCCGCTGTTCACCATTTGACAACACCATTAGCACAGCATCAAAGGAGAGGTTCAGAGGTTTTCAAGTCTGTCCTAATACAATACTCACATGCCCATATTTACATTGGAAGAGTCTGACACTGCAGTTCTTACTCGCCAAACTGGCTGTCAGCAGATCCTTTTCATTTCATGACAAGAATGTAAGAGGTGTGTGTGTGTGTGGGTGGGTGACAGGGGGTCGGGGTTAGGGGGTGGGGTGGGGTGGGGTGGGGACTGAAATGTTCACAGAACTGTCTGAGTTAGCCAAATGAACTGGGTATCTCCCAAAGTTTTCCTTTTTGCAAAATCTCTCTGTGTGCAACTCTTTTGATAATCATTTCACATTTCATCATTTAACATTTGCTGATTCCAGGTTCTCCTCTGTATAGATTTAATGCTTTTCTTTGCATTACGTATTGCTAAATTTAAAACCTGTGCGTTATGGACCGGCATTGTGATGGACCAAAATGAATCAATAATTGAAATAATCATTAGTTGCAGCCTTAAACTTTAGGAGATACCCAATGTTACCATCTCTTACATTGGAGTTGTACGAGGAGGAATAATGGGAGTGTCCAACAACTCCTTCAACATATATATGGGACTGACTTGAAAATATATTAACCTATCCTTTAATGTTTCACGTGTATGGTTTGACTCTGTATCTGAACTACACATCTTAATTTCCCACCCTGCAGTGGAATTCCCACGGCTATGACGTTGCCAAAATGTTTGGCTCCAAATTGACCTCATTGTCTCCAGTGTGGCTTCAGCTCCGCCGACGAGGACCTGAGACCTTTGACGTTACGGGACTCCATGACCATGACCCAGGTAGGCAACCCAATGAAAATGAATGAATGAAAATGAGACAGGAAGCACTCCTCTAGTCTTGGTTACTTATCAAAGTAACAGATGGACTAATGTACATAAAGTAAAAGGGTCTTTTTGTCTTTCCAGGATGGGTCAAAGCTGTACGCAAGTCTAACAAAAAAGTCAGGATGGGTGAGTAGATGTCCTCCTCACACCCAACAACTCCGATCTGATGATGTGGCTCAGTGCAAGTGGTTTCAGATAGGACTCTTTTGTTCACTTATTTAAATGCTCCATTGTCTGTGCTCTCAGTGCCTCGGCTGTTATTCGATGGCTGGTCTTACCAGGACTACATGATCGTGCTGGGGAGTGAGGATGAGATAGAGGAACTGGGAAGTGAGCTGGTGGATGTTGCAAAGGTAATACAGTGTTGTGTTCAGCTTTATCTCTCTTGCAACAGTGTACGATGTTTGTGCAGTCTGTCTAATGCTGCCGTTACCTTGCAGACTGAAGGTTTTGACGGCTTCACCTTGGAGCTGTGGAGCCAACTGGGAGGGAACAAAAGAAAGTGAGTTATTTTAACCCCAGACCAATATTCTAACTCTTGACATTTTGTCTTTGTCTTTTTGAGATGATTCAAGAAGGAAATAAAATTAATCTAACATGTTTAATCTCCTCCGTCCAGGGAGCTGGTGCATTTGGTGAAACACATATGTGAGGCTTTGAAGGCAAAAAGATTAGACTGCATTCTTGTTATTCCACCTGCTGTCACAAGGTGAATGAAAATGATTTACTTTAAACAACTATACATGTAAAAAACAAAAAAAACAAACAGAAATTGGTGCTGACTTTCCATTGGTTTTGTGTTTTTCTTTTCAATCATGATCAGTTCAGGGCAGCCGGGTATGTTCGGCAGGGAGGAGTTTGAACAGTTGGCTCCGGTAGTCGATGGATTCAGCCTCATGACATACGACTATTCCAGTGGTGCCAGGTGAGTGCACAGGCACAGGTGATGTATATTTGTTAAGGAAGAAATGGAGATGAATTAGCTAGTGAAATGATTAAAGTAACCGACAAACTGACAGCTACAAGAAGATCCACAGAATAAATGCAGACAATCTTCTGAGTTCTGTTTTTTTTTTTTTTTTTATTAATAGACCTGGCCCAAGTTCTCCCATGCCCTGGATAAGAGACTGTGTCCTCCAGCTTGCACCCACCACTCAGTGGAGGCAAAAGATCCTACTGGGACTCAATTTGTATGGCCTTGATTTTGCAAGTCAGGGAACAGAGCCAATACTGGGAGGAAGGTAAGATAATACAGATACAGATATGACTACTGCAGGAATAGTTTCAGATTATAGTAAATAAAGTTTCATATGTTTCAATAGAAAGAGTACTCCGCTGATTTGCACTCCTATAACACTGTCAGACTCATTGTTCTTCCTTGTCAAACTCTGACATGTATTATCCACAATACAACTCGACTCAGGTATTTTATGCTAGTAGCAGCTAATCTTGTTTCTCGCTGCTAGCCTTTGTCAGAGATGATGACCGGGCCACAGAGACGAACTCACTTCTGTCGAATTCCACATCCTGAGATTTTTTTGCATTTTCAAACTTGCAGTCTTCAGTTTATCAGACTTGACGTAGGTCCCGCTGGAGCCACAACAGACTTTAGACACCCATGGTAGTGCTACGCAAGACCTGTAAACAGAATTTGATGTTGATGACTTTAAAGCCCCTTAAAACTTTCAAATCTCTATAACATACAATATTCATGACCAAATAAGCAAAAATCAAAGTTAAAGTTTGGAAAAGAGAACATCGCCTGTATACTGTATGTGTAGTTTGATCCGAATTTATTGGCCTAGAAACAACACAACAACTGCGATCAGATTTTTGATTCACATGTTGCTGAACTCTGACTGGTGCACAGAAGTATGTGATGTCATCTTTTTCCAACTAAGCCCCGCCCTCATCAAACCAGTGAGAAGAGTAGACAAAAACACAAATACAAAAACCGTTCATGTGAAATAGCCCAAACTTTTCTAACATTTGGCAAAAAAAAAAAAAACTGTGTTACAGTAAGAAGCTGGGGGAGGCCAGTAGGTTGTCAGGGCCTAACACTTATCTTTCATTTTCTGTAGGTACATTGAGATTTTGCGAGAACACAGGCCCAAACTTCTCTGGGATGAATATTCTGCAGAGCATCACTTCAGTTACAAGAGGTAATAATAGTATAGTACTTTGAAAGAGCAAATATTTGCTTCCAACAGCCTCTTTTACACAAGATCTGTCCCTGCCCTTTCATTTCAGGAACAATGCAGTTAAACACGTGGTGTACTTTCCATCACTGAAGGTAAAACTCTTCACATTTTAAGTTAGTTTGTGGGTTAACACAGTTGCAGCATAAATAATGTTAAGACTAGGTGCCATTTACGTCATGGCTGAACTTGTGTTTACAGTAACGTGGAGATTAACATTATTTTAATTATTTTACAGTCAATCTACCTGAGAGTCTCTTTAGCCACTGAGCTGGGTACTGGAATTTCTTTATGGGAATTGGGACAAGGACTGGATTATTTCTATGATCTCCTATGAGAGTTGGACTTGATAGTGAAGACTGGGGACCTTGGATCATCAGCACATTGATTCTTTCTTTTTTTTTTTGAACATCGTGCACCAAAAACTCAGGTGGTGTATGCAGGTATTTTTTTTTTCTGTGTGAGCAACTGAAATGAACTCTGATATGAGCCATTGACAGGGTGTAGTTAATACTCAACCTGAGCAGTGTCATAAAAGTGTTGAGAAATCTTGTTTAAATGACTGAACTGGGATTTGTTGATTTAATAGGTCCAAGCAGCAGCCAAAAGGTACTTCAGTATGTTTTATTCCTGTTTGTCAATGATGTTGTGAAAACTTGTGCAGTTCAGTCAGAGTGCAGTAACACATCTCCATTCAGCAACAGAAAGTGCATGATCATCAGTATGTATAAAGTTTAAATGAAGGGGTATATTCTTGTTCAGAGGCCGTCAGAGTTCAAGTGCCACAGACATCTGTTCAGTCTGTTTGACTCACCATTGCTTACAAACATTTCTGCTCTTGGACGCAGCTTTGCTCGCTGTGAAGATGAATCCAATTTTCTGGCTTTAAGCATCCACCATCGAGAATACATCTGCTCCTGATACCAAGTTTGTTTTCTTTTGGTTGTTTTTGTCATTTTTCAAATCTTCAAATCAAGACATTTGATTGTGTGGTTTTTATTAGATTTATAATAACAGCATTGACAAGTAATGAAGTTGTATTTACAGTGTTGCCAAACATCTGTTCTGCCGCAGCATCTTCCAGTATTTATCTCAGATGAATGTTTGTTTAATTACATGAATATAAATGTGAAACAGATAAGCTGATGAATTTCAGTGCTCCTGATTCAAACATTACTATTTTTACTTGGCACTACAGAGCAGGATTAGATTGTTTACAGCAAGGGAGGTCGACTCCATGTTCTGACCAGTTATCAGGTGTCTGTCTATGACCACATGTACAGCATCTTCTTGACTTGCTGGAAAACACAGAGATAAACAAGAGAGAGGGGGTTGGTTTAGTTTTATAAATGCAGATTAAGTCTTTTACTGTGCTGATTTAGTATCTGTGCTCTGAAGGTCAGCTCACCTGTGTATGAACCTCCACTGTCTTTCACAAAGTCTTCCACAATCAGGGGCAGGTTGGCGAAGTCAGGCCTCCGCACCAGTTCAAACACTGAGGGCTTTTAACAAGAACAGTCACTGTTGTTAATTACATTGAACATAAATATATTTGGGTATATTACCTTCATGTTTACTTGAAGAAGACTAACCCCTGTTAAACTATAGCCACTGAAGATCCACTTCTGTCCCTCAGTGGCACAGCACAGAGCTGACACGCCTTGTCCCACTGCACAGATTGGCTCTGCACACACACGGGGAAAAAAAAAAAAAAATCAACCTTTATCCAAGAACGTACAGATTACATACTGACTGCTTTTAAAATGAGCCTCACACTCACTTTGGTGAGAGATGAAGTGTGTGAGAATGCGGTGCAGAGAGCCGCTGTGTGCCAGGTCATTCAGCGCTCCAGGGCAGTCCGGGATGAGCAGCGCCTGGTATCGGGCACCTGGAAAAGGTCGTCATGACATAACTGAGCAGACTCCAAACAGCAGCGGCAGCAGAAACGACAGAAGCCAAGTGGCTGTGAAATGAATATTCTCACCATCTATAGATTCAAGTTTGGCTGGTGTTGCGTAAGGTTTAACATTGAAGTCCTGCACCCATCTGGCCGTGCTTTCATCCACTCCAACAAAGTCTATTGGCTTCCCCTGCAATTCAGAGAAAGACTCAGCCCCTTCACCTCAGTGCAGAGAGTCACATGATGTGCTGAGTTTACATAGTTATACTACAGAGGTTACTGTGCAGTCATCTTCATTTTTATCCAATGTGCAACTTACACATGTGTGATGTGCAGAGCTGAAACAATTAAGTCAATTAATTCATTAAAAATTCTTTGATAATCGATTAATCATCATTTTTAAAGCAAAAATGTCCGACATTTCCCAGTTACAACGTCTCAGTTGTGAGGGTTTGATGCTTTTGGTTTACATCAGTGTAAATTTAATATCTCTAAATTCTAGACCATTGGTCTGATAAAACAAACAATATGAAGACATCACTTTGGGCTTTAGGAAATTGTGTGACACATTTTTCAATATTTTCATGTTACATTTTACAGGCTAAACAATTTTTTTAAAAAACTGATAGATTGATCAATTATGAAAATAACCATTAGTTGCAGCTCCAGTGATGTGGAAATGTCAAGCCTCCAGTGCACAATGCACATTCACCGAGAATGGAGTTTACAGTGAAGTAGGAGACATGTTTTGTGCAGTAGCTCAACCTTTAATATGACAAATATTCAAATACTTAAACTACATCATAGATGAGGGAGAAGGGTAACAATTTTTAACGAGGTAATTGAAATTTTACTGGGATAAAAATAGAGCAGATACAAACTATTATTCAAACAAACATATTATTGTGTCTTATATCTGGGTAACACTTACTGATAAAGGCTTCATAAGCTTTAATTAATGACTTCATTAATGGTTAATAAATAATTTATTAATGCTTCACAGATCAGTAAAAAGCCATTAATAGCAACAGCTCTTGGGTTGCTAGGTTGTGGAAAATCCTCCTCCAGCATGAAACATGGCACGCTGCTGGCATATAAATTCATTAAGGAGACCGCTCCAAATCATCAAGGCTACAGTTCTAAATATTAGTAAGCCATTAATAAAAGGCCGTGGGAGTCTCAGTTTTTCAACAAGCCATCAGTGAAAGTTGGTCAGCCACCTATAAATGCTAATAAATCATTACTAAAACAAGAATCCATCACATCTGTAGCTTTAATGTAGTTAGGAGCTGTTTATAAATAGGTTTTGGTCAAGATGTCCTGCAGCTCATTTATTGATAGGTTTTAATTAATGGCTTATGACTGATCTGTCAAGCATAAAAATGATTAATTGAAGTCATTAATTACAGTTTATAACCCTTTTTTAAATGTTGCTTTATGAGACAGTGGTGCCCAAGTCTGTAGAAGAGCTTTCTGTCTTTTCTTTTCTTTGTCCCTGCCTGGATGTTACTGGTCGTCAGTCCCAATTTTGGGACCAACAGAATAAGAGACCCCACTGTGAAGCATTTTCACTTCAGTGGCAGCTCTTTTTCAGAGAGCAGCTCAGCTCAGCTGGACTCCGGACTTCCATTCGGGAAGACACAGACACAGACATTTGAAGATCATGAAAGAAGCTTATGGAAAAGTTACCGGCTGTTCACTTTTTGCCCTTTAAGAAAAAGAGAAAAAAAGAAATAAAGTCTTACCCCAGGTGTGGCTGTCTGGAGATTAAACGCGGAGGTACAGAGACTGAAGGACTGATGGAAAGACCTCGCGGACACCCCTGAATAAACAAACACACCAGTTTAAACTCACCGCATATCTGCAACAGACAACATAGCCACTGATCTTTAGGACAGCTGAACGTAAACATATGAGGAAATGAGGAACAACTAGACTGATTCAGCATTGTGTGCAACACTTTGTCGCTGATGCTTCAGCTGTGTGTTAATCCACCCACCTTGAGGAAAGGCGCTCGCCACTATCAAACAAGTTGGCTTAGCAGACATTTTATTAATCTTTGTGCTCCTTCTACATGAAATATTTTCGCCTCTTTTAAAAAAATAACAAGATAACTGGATGAAATCATGCAAGAAAAAAATGTACGAGGAAGAAGTTCTGTCACCTGACAACAACATCCGCTCAAAGGATTTCAGAATAAAAGTTCAATGTCAAAGGCAAGGGAAAATATGACCTGTGACTAATGAGCTGCAAGTATTTTTTATTTTCATACAAACAAACAAATAAACAAACAAACAAATAAACAATGATTTCTATGTTCATTTTTAAATTATAACTTTTAGTAAACACTGTGTGAAATACACTCAAAGAAACAGAATAGATAAACAATAAGGCCAACACTGTTTGCAACATTAAATACTTAAAAATGAAAATAAAATGAAATGAAAATAAAACTTTCGTAACACATTCATCCACACATTGTTAGCGTTAAATGCATTAGAATTAGCAGGAAAAGAACAGTGCTGTCCAGCAGCATTACAGTGTGAAGTGCTTCTATTCTGAAAATCATCATGTCATCATTTTTTAGTGACAACTTCACAGCATCCAGAACTGTGTGAATATTTTGGGGCATTCAAATTTCTAATCAAACATTTTACAATTCATGATGTGACACATTTTGTCATATTTGATCAGACATCAGTACGGATCTTCTTTCAAATTTTGATAAAGGCAGCAAGTAAACATCATCCCCACAAGCTGAAAGAAAAACAGACACAGGGAACTTGTTAGTTCCACACTGCACACAGAAGCAACCTTTGTTTACTATTCAGCTGCCGGTAATTTGCACAACATTAAAAGAGATGTTCATATTGACCAGTATTTTTACAAAGTGGTTAGGGTTTTACCTGGAGAAATGCAATCCCAGTACCCACTGCACCAAGAATATACAACTGACTCAGGATGAATTCCTCTAATTTCATGATGCAGCCTCCCTGAGAGCATGAGGAAGGGAAAGAAATTACAATTTTGCTATAATACAACATTTAGCCAGAGCCAAATGAACAGCTCCACCCACCTCCACCTTGTAGATGTTGGAGGGATGGTCCCTGTCGCCGCAGAGTTCACTGGGAGTTTTACAGCAGCTATCAGGAACCAGCCGCTTATAGTCTGCAGCTTGGATCCACGTGCTGTTTGTCCAGTCTGAGAAGTTGTTACTGCCACAACACTTAAACTGAAAGGAAGTCAGTAAAAGGACGAAAAGAGGAAAGACAAAAGGAGGAGACATATGAACACGTGCAGTCTAAAGGGGCTGTCATTTCAAACTCTGATCACTGAGTTTTTCTCAGCGCTGATGCTGTGATTGAAACATGCAGTATCACTTCCACACCTCCTGCTGAAGCTTGTCCACAGCCTGCGTGACGCTCTCCTCCCCTGGCTGCTGGTATTTCTGCTGCATGGTCACCTTCAGATTCTGTCTGAGCTCGTCATCCAGCTGCGAGACAGGAGAAGCACTTCAGTGATTGCTCAGGAAAAAAAAGAAATACATATATATATATATATATATGTCACAGTCAATAAAAATAGCCCCTCGTCAAGTTTCTTTCTTCCCCTGTAACATTCCACTGTACCTGTGCACTGCCCACATATAACCCAAAATATATGAGCTCAGATCCTCTGACCCCCCCACTCCATGTTTCACGAGCATTCTTTAAATTGATTTGCAAATATAAATAGTTTTTGTTTCTGGACTGACAAAGTGCAAAGGGTGAAAATGAACCATCATATATCAACCTGTTCCAGAAACAGGTTGATATAAAATGGAGACAGGTGGCAGCAGATTACCTGGTAGCAGAGAGGGAAACACTGGAGCCAGAGAAAGGGGGGAAGAAAGAGAAGTGTGAGAAGGATAGAAAAACATGACAAATGAAGAACATGCACAGAGAGGCATGCAGAGAAGATTTCGCAACAGAGAGGGCAGCAACTGAAGCAATTCATGGGCGGTAAAAGAAAAAAAAAAGACATGATGGAGAGAAAGAAAGGTGTTTGAAGTCAGTGGAATGACAAAAAAAAAAAATCACATGAAATACAAGAAAAGAAAGTCAGAAAATGTAAACAACTTGAAATTGCTGTGAATTTCGAAATAAACAAACACTTCACCTCTTGATAGGTTATGTAGGCCAGCACACCAGCAATGATTTCCAGCAGGAAAATGCAGAGCAACAAGACCAAATACTGTTGAAAAGAGACATGAAAAAACAAGATCACAGCTGTAAATAAACCTCAGTTGTAAAAAAAAGAAATCTATCATTTTTCAGACTGTGTTTTAGTACATTTCTGTGCTGAAATATGACAATAAATGTGACTTTAAATATGATATCAGCATTGAAACTATCTGTGCTTGACTCAAAAAAAACAAAACAAAAGTCGTGCTCTAGAGAATAACTGGTTTAACTGTGGGAAAGGAAGTTATTCATTACAAAGGTCGTGGCAAATATGGAAATAGACACAATGTGACAGAGCTTGTGCAGTGTTGCTGCAGTATTAAATGCTCTCACTGCGTCTGTCTGTCCCTCTCACAGCCTCTTCAGTCCAAGCAGCTGCTTGTGATGCCCCTCATTCCTCTGGCATGAGCTGCGCTCTAAATCTACACTCTTAAAGACACACTCTGCATGACTTTGTCTGTTATTTCTGACAGCAATGCCCGTCTGACATAATGGGCTGCACTGAATGCAGGCAGACGAGACAGAAGGTCACCAAGGATTAACTTTCAATACACATAGACCCAGACTAGGCTGTGTGTGTATAAACAGGAACTTAAAGTGTCTCTCATTGGTTTCTGATTCCACATAATTAAATGAGGTTTAATGCTGTGGTGGAGCGGAGTGAAAGTAAAGAACCATGGTTTTTATAAAACATTTTTCTGCTGTAGGGCCGTGTTTTTTGTGACTGATGCACCTTACCATAATCAAAAGACTCTTCATCTCCTTCAGAGTGGCACAGCATCCGATTATCCCGGTCACTATCACGATGGCCCCAGCAGCTATCAGGATGTAAGCTGAGGCTGAGTAAAAGTTGGAGTTCAGTAAACTGATGTAGTCGCTCTTTTCCACCAGAGTCCACACTCCCACTGCCAGCACGGCTCCTCCAGCCACCTGAAAGAAGGTACTGTTATCAGCTCAATTGAACCAGACCCTCCTGTCAAGACTGTGCCACATCATTTTCAGCGGTTATAAATTAGCTCCTAAAATGTGATAGTGATGCAAAGAAGGCAACGCCTTATTCTTTCACTGTGGAGCCTTGAGGGACCTGCAGTTAAATTTGTTTTTGTTTTTGTTTCTGAATCTGATGCACATATATCACAGTTTCATATCTGAGTGGATATTTGGTGGAAATGCACTATGAGAAATTAGATATACAAGAACTGATACAATCTATCTTTAAAGCCTTGAGGAAATGAAAGTTAAGAGTTAAGAAAGTAAAACAGAATAAAGTAAGAAAGTAAAGGTTCTGATGTAAATAAACTGTTGGATTGTCTCTGAAGTACAGACTGTATGGAGCATTTTTTTCCTGCTTCCACATTAACTGTTGTAAATGAAAAAATGTAAACACTAAAAGAATCGCCAAAAATCTGTAGTTTAAGTGAACTATAGATCATAATATTGTAAAATATACATATTTTTACTGAATATATGTAATGATAAGTTTTTGTAACTGTGAGTGCTTCAGTGTCATAAAGTGAAAGTTTTCACTAATATCTGTGGTGCCTGAAGCTAAGCATGAAATGAATGCTCCATGTTAATTATTACATCTAATGGTATTAATAATAATCAGTGTCAAATAGAGCCTTTAATGGGAGATTTGTTGTCATACATTGTTTGAAAATCTTAATACTTCCTTGTTAACTTACCCAGAAAAGAATATTGAAGAGAAAAAGTAGATATTTCAGACAAATTGTCCCACAGGTGTGAGTTTTTTCACCTTGTGTTTCCATTCTGAAATAAAAAAAAAGCTGACATGTTGGTACATTGTGAGGTGATACACAAACACAGAAAACATCACCAAATGAAAAACTTGGTGCTTTCGCAACAGAGAGGACTTGCTGTCATGCAATACTTGAGATTACTATCACACAACTCTGTTACTATACTTGCATGACAGCAAACTTAAGCCTATTAGTGCTGTATCTGATGGAGACTCGTCAGTTGCGGAAACACATGGAGTTTCCTCTTTTACTCTGCTTTAGTTCCACCTTTGGTGTGAAAAGGTGATTTACTGGGTGGAGCTCAAACATAACTACAATGCATATGAGATTTTTTTTCAAGGTTTTATATGCATTAACAATGAATAACATTTAACAGTACACCAAAAATAAAATGGTGTTGCATTTCAAACTTGCAAAAAGTTGGTAGAACAGAGCAATGTAAAGAGCTCACTGATGAAATCAAATATGTTGTGGAGAAAACATGCTTAACATGTGTCACATATCATCCAGCAGACAGATATATATGTCCCCCCATCCCTGTAACTTAACCTGATCTTCTCACACTCCAGTCATATACTGTTGACATTTAACTATTTACTTAATGAATTAGTCAAAGTCGGTTTGTACCCCAACCTGAACTGAACTTTCTTCTGCTTCTATTTTAAGAAAAGCTGTGACTGGGAGCATCATGAGATGGTGACTTTAGATTCTAGGTATTAGTAGGCCTCTCGTTTATAAAGAAATAAACAAAAACAAATGGGTAAAGAGACAATAGCTATAAAATAACAAGCACGTTAAAAAGAAACTTATTAAGAGTATGATTTTTTTAGCCGCAAGATAAAATACTCCGAGTGTGAACGTGATCAACTGGCAAAAGAAAATCTCCTAATGGTCATATTCAGAGTTATTTTTAACTCATTGTGTCATGGAAAAATTTCTCTGCCTTTCCGCTGAGACCAGAATACTCCTACCTGATTGTCTGTGGTGGGCCCTGAAGGATGTAGATTATCGGGGTAACGTCTTCCAAGCTCCCACTAACCCCAGTGTCAATGTGCTGCTGTCTTTGAAGGTTAACTGCAACAGTGTACGCTCAGTTGACACCCAGAGCCGAGCCTCCTACCCAAGCGTCTGAGGGTCTGTCCTCTTTTGGCACAACAGGCAGCTCTCACTTCAGGAGTTATATAGAGTACATGTCTGCCCCCAGCTGGTTTCTCATGTGTATGAGCTTGGTCAGCACTGAAACCAAAAGTTTAGCTTATATAAAGGACTGTTCAAAAATGTTTCAAAAGACATTAACAGCAGGGGAGTCATCAAAAACATCCTTTATTAGATGGATTCTAAGAACACATAACAACATGTGCAAATCTTACAGATAATGTTTAGTAAAACTTATTCACAGAAAAATGGCACTGGAGGGAAATGTAAAGCCACTGAAACAAGGTGTGGACACCTTAGGATTTTTAGCAGAGTCTTTTCAGGAGCCACTCCTCTTCTGTTTATGTACAGCAGCCTCTTTTTGACGTGTCCTCGCTCAGTAAAAGTGCATCTACGTACTGTCGATCGTGCTGAGCAACCAACATCCTAAAATTAAGAGAAGTATAAAATCACTGTGCAGCAGAAAGCACAATGTTTGAAAATAAAAATGAGTATTCACAGCACTGACCCTGCTTCTTTGTGACCAAAATAATATGACAGGAACTATTAGGTACAACCCATTTATAGTGATCATGGTATGGTATTATGGACTAAATATGAGTAACTCAGCAAGCAAACACATGTTGGTTCCAGCTACATGAATGTTGTTTGAAGGCATCTCCTTACGCTCTGGTAAATTATGATGGGCGTTTTTCAAAAACTGCAAAAACTGCAAACTGAAGCCTCGAAAATATCGATGAAGTTGAATCAACACCTCTCTGTAACAGTTTCAATGAGGACTGATAAAACTGAATTCATTAAAACTGTCATGAGGGTAGGATTTATTGTGGGACTGTTGTGTTAGGCTGCATTAGTTTAGCTGGATATACATTATAAACTGCCAACTGAGTATTGGCTACAATTACATATACAGTGACTGACTAAGTGTAATAACAAAATGTGCAGGAAAAAAATATGATGTCATACCCAGCCAGGTCAGTCATCAGCTCCTCCATGTTATATCCGGTCTTGGCGCTGCACTCGTAAAACAAAGCCTGGTGCTGCTGTATAAACAAGAAAACAACATTTTATTTCATTTAGCTCAAAAAGTATTTTTCTTCCTTAGCAGAAACATTATGAGAAAAATCACTGAAGAAAGTTGTTTGAAAATTCAAATGCACCTCACCTCTGCCAGACTCTGCCCGTTTTCTATCGTCACTTTTCTGCTCCATCTGTCAGCCAGGTCCAGCTTGTTCCCCAGCAGCATTAACACTGCACCGTCACACATCTTCTTCTGCGACATACAACAGGTCACAGTACACAAATATTAATGTGTTAGTTCTTAAAATGTGATATCGCATCATCCACATTAGCATCTGACAAAAACATCCCAAATAATGAATAAAAATTGTACAAAAATAAATATGTGTCTACTGAGATTCCTCTTGTACTGCACTGTAAATAAAATACATGTGTATTCAAATTTGGGTAAACTGTTTTGCATGTTTTTTACATCCACCCATCTGTGACATCACCACCTGCTCACCTTCACAGAGTCCATCCATCCTCTCACTGCTGTGAAGGAGGGGGGTTGCATTACATCATACATGGCGAGGATACCGTCAGCCTTCCGGTAGTACTGCTCAGTGATGCTGCGAAACCTGGAAAAAGAGTCAGTAAAAAGGAATAAGTAAATATTAACACACAAAAAGAAAAAAAAAAGAGTTATTAGGTGGTAAGAAATATGATTCTACAGCTGTCACATCTGACCTCTCCTGTCCTGCAGTGTCCCAAAGCTGCAAGGTGACTGTGGTGGAGCCCAGAGTTAAAGTCTTCATGTGGAAATCTAGACCTAAAAACAACAGAGTGCCCTGGTTTCATATCTTACTTCTACATATGGAGGAGCAAGTTAATCACTGAGAAAAGAATGATACATTGAAAATCTTACCAACAGTTGCACTCATGTTACTGTAGAAGCGTCCTGTGCAGTAGTGCCGGATGAAGGAGCTCTTACCCACACCCGAGTTCCCCAAGAAAACCACCTTGAACACTCGATGAGGACTGACAATTTTGCTCTAAAATTTAGGTAAAAGGCCAAACTTAACAATTTCATTTATATAATATGTATTTTTTTTTATTCCATTAAGAGGGAGCACATTTTTGCCAGAGATATATGAAAATCTGTGCTCTAGTCTCCAAAAGCCCTTTTATATTCATCATTTCATTACTTCTTTTGCTGCTACTGTGCTGTTAAATTGATAGCTTAAGGATACATTGTGTATATTTTTAGATTTAATAATTTCCCTACCTGAGTTTGAGCCTGTTCAACATTTTCACACCTGACTCTACGTGACGGTTGGATTCTCTTGGCTGTATTTGTCACCACTTTGTCTTTGTCCTGCTCCAACTCATCAGATGAGCTCAGCTGTCTTCAGAATCAATGAATACACAAAATTAGTGGCTTCCTAGGGCAAGGTCATTCACTGCAAAGATGATAAATGTAATATCAGATGCAGTTAGTCATACAAACCTTTTCAGTGGCTTGTCTTGCAGTAAGTAGTTACCTATGACTGACCCTCTCTTCTGCAAAGTCTTTGTGACATTTGGATTCTAAAAAGGTTTTTTTGTGGAAAGTAAGGCAGAAGAAACGAGTAGCATTAAGATTCCTACTTGAATAAACAGATGTGCTATGGTAGATATCCAAGGAGTATTCATTAACACTGTTTTCTCTGCAGTAAAACCAACTGTTTCACACAGGCAGATTATTTCAAAAGCAAGGATTCCGTTCAGTAGTGACATTTATTCTGCTACAAAGTACTTTAACATCATAATCATTTATCAACAATACACTTATTTTATCATAAATTATATGACAAGAAAAAAATATAGGAAATAATCAACAGGTGAATGTTTTGGGTCCTTTGTCAGATTCTTTGTTCAGAAACTTAAATACTTCATTAAAAAAAGACTCATGGAAGCTCAAATCCAAAAATGTCTGTAATTAACAGCTTTGGCAAAACTGCCATATTAATTTTATGAAGGAATGTGGAGGGGATAAAAGGGAACCTGCTAAGAATGTGAGAATTGTGATAAATAAAAGGGCTTTATTAGTTTGGTAAATACTGACCCACTTTAGTTCACTTGCATAAATAGTGCTATGTACAATATCATTCATGAACATATATATAACACTCTTTGCTTCACCGTGTCCTTGACACAGGACAGAATTAATGTCTTTTCAACACTTCACCAACCACAACTACAAGAGAAAAAACCAACAACATTGCTGACATGCAAAACCCCTTAATGGTGTGAGTGACATTAACACAAGTTCAGCCTTTAACCAAACAATAACAGCTGCCCATATAAATAATCATTGTCCAGAGGATGGACTTAGCTTAGGGGGGATAAATCTGCTGCGTCCATGGGGTGCAAAGGTCTTCACTGAGGTAATGAGTTAATGGCAGAGCAGGAAGGACAGAGCTTTTGTGACTAACCCTCCTCTGAGACTGTCGGGCATCTTTCTCATCTCGCAGCGTTTTGTTCATATCCCTGACACAAGAGGAGAAAATCATTTAGAGCCGTTCTCACATTGACTGATCCATGTTTGGAGCAGTGAATGGTTGAATGAAACAGAGACATGAAGTACACACACTAGAATTACATTAAGGACTTTTCAGGTAGTTTTACCTACAAATTCTTGTTAGTACATTTCTTCCATCGTCACTACAAAAGAACTTGACTCAAACAGAAAACAGCAGCAGTTTAGATTTACCTCAACAGCTCCAGTTGTCTGAAGAGGCTATCCTTCTCTTTCTGAATGTTCCTTGACACCTTCATCACATTTCTATAGTGAAACAAACAAAAGATTATTTCCATATTTTTATTATTGTAAACAACCCCCATAAATAAGACTAAAACCAACAAAGAAGTGATCCTACTAAGTGCAACCAAAGCTTGATATACAGTATCTTAGTCCTCTGTTCCAAAAACTATTAACAACACATCAGTGAGCCACACTGTTGCTCTGGAAGACACGTTCCTTATTTACAATGAACATGGACACTGTAGTTTATTTGATCCCACATACACCATCCTGCTGCCATAAATATTCCCCTGTCCATGACACAGAGTATGTTTGCTAAAAATTACAGTGCCCAGCTGTATTAGGTTATTACTTTACAACCTTTTTAATAAATGAAGTTTAATGTTCGTGAGCTGTTTTTAAACATTTAAAGCTGAGCTGAGTGCCACCAACAGGGTGGAAAGTATTGAGAGACAGAAAAACACATTGTTAGTTTGATCTATTTATAGTGTTTCTTGAAAAATAAAAGAATTATGCCAGCTGTGTCCTTTAATAAACCCCTGGTATTCTTGCATATTATCAGATCATCTGCCAGGGACATGGGAGTCATTTTATGCTCAACTGAAGTCCAGGGAATTGTTTACAGTAATTTCATTCTCTACACTTTTGGGTATTTTTAAACTTGTTTGACATGAAACACTTATGTATGCTTTTATTTAATCACACATTCGCTTTGGTGACTTTTTGCTGGTCTTGATTAAAAATAAATAAGTTAATAAAAACACTTTCATGGCCTGTAGCGAGTTTCACTGGAACTACAAAGGAAACTCATATGACACCCATGTGTATTTTTTGTTTTTATTACAAAGCATTCAAGCATATTTGCTTTATTTTTTAAGAAGTACTATTGAAATAAAGTGATTACGATCATTGTAATTAGTTAAAAAATAATGTCAGCCATACTACAAAGTGAGACAGTGTTTTCGTAATTGAATCTCTGATCTTATACTTGGGACTTTCAGGCAGCTCTCTGTGCTGTTAGCCACTCACCTCTGCTTGGCCACTTGCTCCTGGGCAGCGTTGAGCTGCAGCAGGCTGAGCTGACCGAGCGCGGCCTGCAGCTGCTCTCTGCTGCTCTCCACCTGCTCCTGTAACTGGATGTTGAGGCTCCGCAGCTGCTGGTTCTGCTCCTTGATGTTTGCCTGCTCACAGCTCAGCTGCCGGATTCTGGTCTCCAGCTTAGGAACAAAGACAGGTCCTGTTGATTCACTCATTACACTATAGCACTCTTCACACATAACATTAGTGCCATTTGAATGCCTACCTCTTTCTGTTTGGTCAGTGTACTCTCCAGCTCTTGCTCTCGTGTCTTCAGCTCCTCCTCGAGTCGCTGCCCTCTTTGCTTCTGTTTAATACTGTCCTTGATTTCACAATAAATTCATTAATTGCTATTATGACGATCACTCTTGTTAAATGGCACAAATGTTGGACTAATGAGCACACGTGTGTACCTGAGCCCGGTGTTTCTGTTTCTCCTCTCTGAGTTGATTTTCCATGTCTTCATATATGGACCGAATAACCTGATCGTGTTCGGTCTCCCGTCTAAAATAGGAAAAAAACAAACAAAACAAAAACTCACAATCAGAACACTCACAGTTACATTTGTCAGAGTTTATGTACAATATATTGTGTTCACTGTGGACAGTTGGGACCTGCGTAAGGCTTGTTCCAGACTGTCTCTCTCTCGGATGGAGTCCTGTAAATGGGACACAGCGTGGCTCAGGACACCCTCCAGGACACTCAGCAGCTCTGGTCTGTCTCTCTGGAGTTCACACCACAGAGAACAAAGCTCCTGCTGACTGACACACATCAACACAACACAACAGTTAAAAGACTGAGGACATCTAACCTTAACAGCACATCAATCACTTATGTTACATAAAAAGTAGACTGTTGTGAATGGAAACTGAGGAGATTTTCCCAAAACACTTCCAGTTTTGTCTTTTTGACAGTAGCAAGAAAATATATTACGGTAGCAGCAAACAATTATTTTCAGTATTGATTTATTTAATGATTAAATTGTTTAGTCTATAACATATCAGAAAATGGTAAGAAAAAAAATGCCCATCATGATCACCAAGGTCAGGACAGAAGACCAGAAAACCTTCACATTTGAAAAGCTGGAACCAGAGAAATTTGGCATTTAATTGATTCATTGATTATCAAATTAGTTGCCAATATATTTTCTGTTGATCAAGTAATAGATTAATGAACCAATTTTTGTGGCTCTAAAATACATCATATATTGTTTATTAATTAATTTATTATTATTTAAGCTAATACGATGATCAACAGTCACGAAGGCCTTAATGAAAAAAAATTGATCTTACTCTTTGAAAAGTTTGTCGCCTCCCAACTCAATCAGTATATCTACAAATCTGACTGCAGCGGCGTCCTGGGACCAGTCCACCTGGTCTGCATCCTCCTCTGCTTTGTCTTGGCTCAGCTCAGTCATGTCCTCCAGTCCCATCAACTCACCTGCACCACAGACAAAAAGAAGCCACAGAAGAATTTGTTTAAACTGTATGAGAAAAGTTTTTGAATGAATATTAGCTTTCCCCATAAATGCCACAGCAAATTGTGGTCTCAAATTCCTCAAAACACTTCACTCACCAAGTCCTGTGTTGAACTCAATGGGGGTAAGAAATCCATTGCTCTCTCGGTCCAGACTTTCAAACACTGTCTCGAGCTGTTCGGGGGACAGTGGCAACTCCCCTTGTAGCCTCTGACCAGAAGAAAATGCAAAGTTCAGGTCTTGACAATCAGCCTAAAAGTTGTTACTCTGCCACACTAGATGCTCACCTGCATGTCCCGCTTTGTGATGAACCCTTTCCCCTCTTTGTCACACAACACGAACAGCTGCTTGGCCTTGCCCATGGTTTCTGCTTGCGGGCTTCCTGGCACTGCCTCTTTGGGGGAAGCCAGCGGGCTACGTCCGCGGCCCGACCTGGGGCTCCCAGCAGACAGGACCCGTGGTCTGGGGCTCACTGGGACGGCCTCACCGCTGCCTTGACCCACCAACACTTCGCCATCATTCAGCCACATAGACATTACTGTACAAGAGGAGCATGGATATGGGTGGGGGAGGTGGTGTATGTGTCTATAAATTAGTCAATCAACAGCAAAATAATCAGCAACTGTGCAAAAAAGCCAATTATGCAAAAAAAAGTAACCAGCAAATGAATCAATAATGAAAATAATTGCAAGTTACATCTTTAAAAGTGTCTGTATTTCAGCAGCATTCAAATTATTTATCACTGTAAATAATTAGAGACATTTACTCTCATTTTCCTGATAAACTGGACTGAATTTAATGACATTTTGGATCTTCTCTCTTAGTGCTCCAAGCTGGTCCTACAGGTCCACCCTTGTCAAACATGACGTGAAGAACAAACTATAATGTGCACAGTCATTAGACTATGTGTGTGCACATCGTCCACAGCTGCTAGACATGTCTGCACTCAATGAGATTTTATTATTGTTTGAGGGATCCATCATGATGGAAATTTTTTGACACATTTCTATCCAAAACGTAATTGAAAAATGAATATTCCCAGGAGAGGTTATGACAAAAACGCTTGGCTTCAGACAGCACAGCCCCTTGTCCTCACTGTTTATTTAGAATAGGAAAACTTATATAAATGCTATGCTGCCAGAAGTATCTGTGACGGTGCACCAGGATGTGTCGAGGGTAAAAAACAGGATGGTGTCATGTGAGAAGGGTTACTGTGTACTTGAAGAGGAGGGTGGATGGCTACGAGAGAAGAGATGCAAATCAAATATTTGCATTGTCAGAATTACCACAATTACAAACAAATTTCACTCTCAAGAACTATGGGGAAAATAGGCCACAGTATCTCCATGACATTCACAAAACAGTGATTTATGACAGCGTCACACACAATCAGGCTTCAGGTTAGATGGCATTTCTATCACAGCGGAAGATCATAGCAGCATAAATCACAAGTAGTTTTGTTTAAATAGAATAAGAAATGTTTCAAAATTGAGGCAGAAGAAATATATCTCTGGAGCTCATCAGGCTAAAGTGCAAACTGAACTGAAATGTGCCCAACTAATAAATGAAATTATCTATCTAGTCCTGCTATCTATGAATGCATAAAACCTAAAAAGTATATATGTACTGATAATGGCAAGTAATGCACTTGCAGATGATCTATAAAGCCTTAAAACTAGCTTATGACATAAAGATATGCAGGGTTTCCAGATAAAAAGCTCATGTAAACATTATATTTTAAAGGATGTCAAACCAGATTCCCAGTTAGCCAGCAGCCACGCCAAAGGTCAAATAAACTTAAACACACCTCTGACACACTGTTTAGCAAGGCCGGTGTGTGGTGCAAGGTGGAGCTGCTGTCACATTCTGGGAAAGTGGCACCAAGTTATTAAAGAGTTTACAACATGTTGTAAGCTACAAAACTGTCAGTCAAACTTTCTGTGATAAATGTCAACATGGTGCCACACTCAACAACATATGTTGCTTTAAAACACAGTGACAGCTTTCAATAATAAAACAGCAAGATAAAACAGACAGCGTGGTTGTGAAATGCTGATTAGCGTTTGAGACTGTACCAAAAGTTTCATTAAAACGCAGCTCGGTTCCCCATAATGATTGAAATGGCTAACACACGAGCAGTCCTGGTGCAATGCGGCTAAACTGAGGAAACCAAAACCAACGGAATGTACATTTATTATTAAAGGAAAAAAGAGCCGCAAAAACTGCTGTCAGTCGGTTGTTAATCTACCAGGTGAACATGAACATATTCGTCTTAGTGGTTTTAAATGACTCACAACTGTATTTCATGTCAGTGCAGCGAAGTTGTGGAAAGTTTGGCTACTCACCCACCGTGTATTGGACGCAGGTATCTACTACCTTTGGTCGCCTCAGTCACTCAGATACTGACTTCAACCGCTGGGTGGCAGTGAGGATCTGTACCGTAATGTTTAGTGCAGCCTGCAGCCGCGATTTGCAGACACACTTTTCTCGAGAACCTATAAATGGGTTATTATGGTAAGAGGTAGCGTTACCATGGATTTGCGGAAATACATACGTTACCGCCATGGACCATGGTTACCGCTCTCCGAGTGGGTAGCATTCTTTGCTTATAAAAGTGGGAATATGAACAATTTACTGGTTATTCTTGCCCCAAGATGACTTATTTTTGCTCTTCACACGTTTTTTGGTAAGTAAATATCGGTTAACTAGTATTAGTGTAGCTTGCTTACGTAACAGTAAGAAGTCAAACAATGTTGTTGTAGTGGTTAACGTAGAAAACGTGTCTGAAGTGAGTTCCACGAAGTTAAAGCCTGAGCTGTGCCAAATGCCAACAGAGTGTGTTGTGGAAATAAGTCTGTAGTAACTCTATTATCCGTCTCCAAGATTATCCTCTGCCAGGGCTAAATAACGATAGCCTACCGTCATAGGGAGATTAGATGTGTAAAAAGAAAGAAAGGAAGCGTAATACTACTACAACAACAAAACAAGGGTTGGTGGTGTCCGCGGAGGTGAAACTAATCTGTAATCCCAGCCTTGACCTTTCCACGCCTGCCTGTGTAACAGTATGAGCATCTTGACCTTACATAGTTACGTTTACCGCTAATTTAGCGGTGTGAGAAAGCTGACTAGTTACATCAATCCTTCATACCGCACGGGAGAAAGCTAGCCTCAGATAAAACATAACGTTGCTTCCCTGAGTACGGAATAGAGGTACAGAAACAATGTCTTTTTCTATCAAACAATACAATCAAGGTCTCTGTTGTTTCACAGCCTTTCTATTCTTCTTTGCAGGTAATAATGCAGCAAATGAGGAGACTTTCCACGGCAAAGATGTCAACATGCAGCATTTGAAAAGGTCAAACGCGTTTCATCTGATATCTTGGACTGCCTGCAGTCATCACAGATTCTTCTTCCCTGAGGACGACAAACCACATGTTTCTTTGCAGAGGAACGATCTGGAATAAATAATACATAAAACAAAAGAGCATTTATGGAAAAATCCACCACTTTCGGACTATGTGAATGAACAAGCTTTAATTCAGTGGTGTCTGCCTGCTTCTAGACCTCTGCAGTGTTTTAGCACTTTAGTATGTAGGGGTGATTACTGACCAAGCTTTTCACCATCAAGTACCTGTGTAGGGTATCTGTAAACAGAAACAGCCAGAGGAAAATAGGAGAACAGACTGTGAAGCTTGGTGGTTCGCAGGATCAGGCTCCCGAAGATGCTTCAGACTGGTAACTACTCGCTGGTGCTGCTGATCCAGCTAACACTGTTGGCCTACGATCTCTTTGTCAACTCCTTCAGTGAACTTCTGAGGGGAGCGCCTGTCATCCAGCTAGTGCTTTTCATGTAAGTCACTAAACTACATACTGAAGAGATCAGTTAATTTATCAATCAGTCATTAGTCCATCAACTGGAAGTGGATTGATTCCAGTTGATTGATTTTTTTTTAAAACAAGTTATTCATGTCATTATCAGGTAAAAATACCAAACACTGTCTGCATCTTCAGACATGCAGATTTGCTTTCTTTTCTTCAAGTCATATTATTATATGTTTCATATGTCATATCATTATCAACTGGAACATTTTTTTTTTATCATTCTTGATAATTCATAAAATAAATGACCAATTGATTGATTACCAATCTAATTAATCCGTAATGAAATGATGGTTGTTAGCTTCTAACCTTAGACATATTTAGTCTTGGGTTGAAACTAAATGTTTAAGGCTGGAAATAGCTCTAATTGGTGATTATTTATTGATTCCTCAATTCATTCAATCTATAATATGGACACGCTGTTCTCTTAAATCAGCAGATTAATGAACTAATCTAGAGAGAGATTTACATTATTCAGATGCTTACGAGGATATCGGATATGATCACCAACCGTTTATATCCCATCACAATTTCCAGTGTGTATACCTGGAAAGTACAGAGGCAACACCTCTTTGTTACAGAGTCTTATTCAGTGGTTAGTCTTCATTCATTACTTGGTTGGCAACAATTAAAAACTATCACCGGCAAATGTCCCTCTGTTTGAGAGAACAAGTCATGTCCTTTTAGATTTAGCAAAGAGTTTTGGCTTCAAAGACATTGGACTTTTAATCATTACTAAATGGCCTAGTTAGTGAATGAAGCCCTGTAATAACCAGCACTCCTTCATTTCTGTGAGTAATCAATATTCATACAGGGTCTATATTAATATCTTACTCTATCACCTTTATTGAAAAAACACTCTACATGGTCATGTGTATTTTGTTGACACTTTTTGGACATTTTTCTGTATGGATAACTTAATTGAAGGCCCATACTGCTCACTCCATCAGAGACCAATATGAAAAATAAACCAGTATAATATGTGTTTACAGAATCCAGGACATTGCCATCTTATTCAATGTGATCATCATCCTGCTGATGATGTTCAACACCTACGTGTTCCAGGTCGGCCTAGTGTCTCTGTTGCTGGAGAGATTCAGGGCTCTGCTGATATTCTCTGCTCTTTACCTGACATTCAGCATCTGCTTCCACTGCTGGGTGCTGGTACGCTCCATCACACCATCACTGACAGCTGCATATCAACTCTGTGCTAAAACTAACTTAAGCCGAACATGTTATTGTTTCTAAGTGAAATATTGATGAAAATGATACTATCCATATATAAATTTGTACTTTCTTATATCAGAGTGCATAATGTTAATTCATATAACCTGTACCTGATGAGAATTTCTTGTTTTTTTTTTGTTTCTTTAGAACCTTAGGTGGCTTGATTCAAACCGCTTTGTTTGGACAGATGGTCTACAAGCTCTTTTTGTTTTCCAGAGAACAGGTAATTGGTGGATTAATGCAGTGGTACATTTTACATCACGACTAATCCATTTTCTGTGTCGTCATTGAGTAACTGTTCTTTCTGTTAACAGCGGCAGTGTTATATTACTACTTATACAAGCGCACAGCCGAGTATATGGGAGACCCGAGGCTGTATGAGGACTCTCTGTGGCTGCGCGATGCCTTTGCCAGAGCTCGTCAGTGAAGAAAGGACAGTTCTGAAAGAGAATTAAAAAGATCTGCCAAGAAAGCGCCCCCCCCCCGCGTTCCCTGACAACATTGCAACATTGATCATCATGAGCTATTCTGAACTTTGAACTATTTTCTAAGATTTTTTTCATAATTGACACTTGGAAAGCCTGACACTATTACACACAAAACAAAGCAATGGGCTGATGTTGAACACTGATGGAACTGACTATCAGATAAATAGGATGAAGCAAAGTCTCAACCACAGTTTGTTTACTGGCTCTTCATAGCCAAGCGGGCAGCCAGTTAAATGGTTTACACTACAGTGGCAGGTAAACCAACCATGGCTTGTGTTATTGTTTTAATCTGGATTGAGTCTGTTAATCTATGTGGCCTTTGTAATTCAATTTGAGTTGTAGACAGAATGCAACAGATTGAAAGAATGTCAGATGTTTAGGGGAGCTCTGTTCAGGTATTGCCTTCCATGGCATTAGTTTGTTTTTATCTATTTTTATGTATAATAATTTGTAGAACTACATGTAGTAAAATTGCTTTGTTGGAAAGGTTATTCCCCTGCAAAGGAAGAAACGTTGGTTTATTTTGCCTTATATAAGATTAGTATGTGCTGTTTACATGATTCATATTTTAATAAGCCAATTTTCATTCCTCCTGTCTTTGAGTGAGGATCTTTGAATCGTGTTTACTGCTGTTTTTATTAAATAATCCTTCTGTAATCCCAGTGTAATCCTTCATCTCGGGGGTAGCCAGTATTATCCTGGAGACAAGGTGAAACAGGCTGCTCTATTTTTAACACGAAGATTAATCAGGGATTGAGGTTTTAGGCGCCACTAGTGAAACGTACCATAAATAGTCTTTAGTGCGACAAAATAAATCTTCTGTCCTAAAGCACCCAACAGGTTAAGTTGCAGTACACTTTGGGTCTGGTCTCAATAAAACTGTTAATCAACATTTTACATAACGGATAAAATCAATGAGATAATGATAACTATTTATCATTGCAGCAATCATGGTAAAGAAAAGAAAGACACCAAAAGTTGTACAAATCCCCTTTACTTGTGAAAACAAAACCAGAGTCCATAAGATCCCACAATGTCAGTGCAGTCCAATTAAATCCAAAATCCATTTTGTGTTGTGTGTGATGTCCTTCGTTCCACTGGAATGTGTCATTATTATTATAAGTCAGTCACCCGAAACTGCAGCAAAACGAGAGAGAGAACGCAGTTAACAACTACAAAACTGTTTCAGTGATTAAAAATAAAAACCATTAGACTTTAACATTATTTTAAATGTACCTTCATACATAGATGCCAACCCAGAGTAGTAAGAACAGCACACCGAAGCCCATGAAAAGTGAAGCCACGAGGGAGATCAGCAGCTCTTTGTAGACATCCCTGGTGTATTTTGTTGAAGTCACCTCATAGCTGATGAAAAGTTAAGGCAAGCTCATAAAAAAGTCTAACCACCAGCAAAGTTATGTGCTCTACTCAAGGTCTAATGCCTCCTGCTTCATTTGTGAGTGTCGCTTATTTTGTAATTGTTCGTAGTGTTGGTGTATTATACTATACTGTCTGCTCTGTCATCCTGTATTCTTTCATTACATTTTCGTGAATCACTATTGAAAAGGGCACACTGAAAATGTAGACAAAAAAATAGAATTTTGTTCATTAACAAATTCAAAATTAAAAAACAGGCCTTTTTTACACCCGTTTACTAACACAACCAAAATAAACAAACCTTTAACAGCATCTGAACATAGACTTGGATTTCATCCTGGTTCCAATCATGGATTTTAATTTGTGGTGTAAAAGTTGTATCTTGATCTCATATCATCTCAAATCTCATACTGACATGGACTTTTCTAAATGCTTTTTAGTGGTAAATAAGAACGCTTTCTGCATGAGGTTAATATTTCTTCAGTTCAGCCAAAATTATCCCCCACTCTTTTGGAGATACGACCAAAAGGGATCGAATTGAAAATATCTGTAACTATCCCTTATTGCACAGGAAACCTGTGTGGACACCGTTCTCTAACAAGTTCCATAGGTCAAGTAGAAGCAGGAAGTCATTCTGCAAACTGTCATGTTTGGATGTTTACACCTGATAGCTTAGGTAACAATTTAATCATTCACCTTTGTTTTCTCTTTCCGGCTAAGTTTGGCTAACCTGAGGTTTGTTTAAAATGTCTGCATGTGTTTCTTGTGCCATCATGCTTCTTTTTAGAAGTGTCACAATGTTCCCAATTTTAGCCATTAAGTTGGTGAGCACAATGTTACTGTTATTGTAGAGGCAGGTTTACCTGTGTCCAGTGGTCTAAAAGTTCCATTGTTGGTAACACAGTAACACACCACATTTGTTAGGGTCCCATGATTTACAGCTTTGCAGGATGACAACCAAGGCTCCACAGGACATGGTAAGAAACTGTGTGACCCCACAGCGGTGCCACTCATTGACTGACTGACTGATGAAATTATTCTTTACTCATGAATGTTTACGTGATTCATACCTGCAGAGTACTAAAGTAAATTATAAATCTATTAACCTTAAATTAATTCCAATTATCCTAAATACTTATTATCAAATATTCAAACTTGAGTACTAAAAAGTAAAAAGGTGCAGTCATGGTTTGGCTCATACAATTATCAATTAAAGTGATGGCCTGACATGTGAAAGTAAGTACCAAGTTGTAATAAACTGCAATTATCTTTTGAAGTTCACATTGACTCAAATGAGTGGAAAGCAGTGGGTGTCTGGAAGGTATAAGGAAACTGATCTAAAATCCTATGGTATTATGGTATTATGTAAAGCAGACCTGCAACAATTAGTTGAATAATCGTTTAAAATTAATTGGCAGCTATTTGGATAGTTAATCATTTCAGTAATTTGTTTTTTTAAACTGCCAAACATTCTCAGATTTCAGCTTCCACAATGAGAGGATTAGCTGCTTTCCTGCTTTATATCATCGTAATCACTTTTCTGATATTTATAGACAAAGTGATTGAGCAAGCAATCTAAAAGATAATCGCCATATTAATTGATAATGAGAATAATAAAGCTAAAGTATCAGTGCCTTTACTTGTTGAGAGTTAGAGTAACTGATATGATCTTTCAATTAATCTTGCAAGGTCTTAAAGTATTTTATTCTACAGTAATAATGGTCAGTGGTATGACCCCTAATTTCATGTTAACCACATACAGCGTGGTGTAGAACAAGCAGTGAAAGGATACACGAAGAACCAGGCGGTGAAGAACATGCCGATGGCCAGCAGGACCACAGTAAGATGGGGGAACACAGCCGGGTTCACCGGGCTGGTGTATCTGGTCATGGCCTCGAGTTCCTGCAGAGACAGAGAGACAGAGAGAGAGGGAGCACACCCAGGTGGGTTAGAGAGGCTACACCACCTCAACGAACCTCCTTCCAAACCGATTAGTGGTGCAGAAACTTACTTCCGTCAAGGAGGTTATATTTTCACCCGTCTGTTTATTAACAGGATAACGCCAAAAGTACTGATTTGCACCGAACTTGGTTGAGAGATAGGGCACGGGCCAGAGATGAACCTATTATATTCTGGTGCACAACCAAATAATTTATTGTGAATTTGAATTTCATTCTCTCAAGTCTGGTGTATGCTGTTGGACATTTGCCTTGGCGGAGGTCTGTGCTCTGTGGGCACAGTTCTAGTTTATTGTCTGGTTTAGTTTTAATCGAGCAGCTGAATCGGTGAATTTGACAAGACAAGCTAACGATCCTCTGCTAGCCTGCATATCTGCAGCTACAAACAACGCTTTCACACAGAGCGCAACGTCTTACACATGAAATAGAGAATAACGTGGATCCATAAACCATAAACCATAATGATGTATTAGAGCTGAATTCATATAAACCATATAAACTTGATTTATTTTACCATTTTGTAATGAAGCGGAGCTCCTGCTTCTATGGTTCAAGATGATAAGGCCACGTACTGTCTATTCCTTCCTGGTGTCGTGCTGACGTATGCTTTACGTCGCTATTTTGGCCATTACTACCCTCAGTTTTGTTTGTCAGGCTGCGTGGAAATCTCCACTGGTGGAAGAAGTATTCAGATCAGAAGAACTCGCATTTAAAAATATTGCAAGTAAAAGTCATGCATCAAAATATATTACTTAGTAAAAGTATGTAAGTATATCTGGGGAAATGTACTTAAAGTAGTCAAGTAGAAGTAGCCTACTCAATGCATGATGCATTCATGCGTAAGCAGCTGGTCAAGGTGGAGCCAATTTTTATTCATTTTAACTAATGATTATTTTTTAATAATTATTATTATTTTTTTGATTGATCTTTTAAATAGTGGGAAACTCACAGTTCACAATTAATACTTATCCAGAGCCCATAGTGACACATTGGAATGTCTTGTTTTGTCATTAGTTATCTTAGTTATCTTATCTCAGTTAATTATCAGAATAATTACATGGAGAACGCAGCTAATCCTCACATTAGAGAAATGTTAAAATTCTACCACTGGACTCTTTCTTCTGGACTGGAAATGTTCTAACTCATAGACTTTACACTATGTATGTTTAAAATCTCCACATGCCAGGCCATAATTACTTGCTTGTTAAAGCTTATTGTTTGGTGGTGGTGAACTTTTTTTTTTAACCCAACAGGCCAAATTCTGGGCATCTGTACTTTCTTTGGTATTGTCAATGAATCTTTGGCTGCCATCTAATGGACGGAATGAGCAACTAACCACTTTTCAGCTCAGAGGAGTTGGACAATCAAACAGGACACAAAATTCAATCACAAATTTATTTACTGCATGCATTCATAGTATTACAGCATAATTTTGACAAAAGGCATTGAAAATGTAATGATAAAATGAGCTAAAAAGTAAAAAGTAGTGATATTAAAGTATGCAACAAGTTGCAATGTTATGGCATTTTCTCTTAACAAACAGTGCTAAAATTAGAAATGTATTTGTGTGTGTTTTCATGCTTATCAATCGTTTCTGGGCTCCAATAGCTAAAAGTTAATATATTATTGACAATACAACAACCAAAAAATATCAACTATAAAAACAATTTGATAAAACACATTGGATAAAAAGGAGCAGTGGTAGTAACAAAATGAAGCTATACAGTTACATGTAATGCAGTTCTACCAGAGTATTTGAAACCAGTCTGGTGCACTGGATAGAGCTGTGAGCAGTTCATATATACAGTGCAAAAAGTGCTACAGTGGTTTCATTATGCTAGCTGGTGCTTTATAAATAAGCTAAAATACAACACTATACCCACTTAAGTAATAATAATTATACTAAAAACACTACACAGTGTCTTCATATTATGATAAATTCCATAAACTTTTGTCAGATGGCTGTTTTTCCTATATTCCTTATAATATTGATTTTACATTTGAGATACACTATTGTGTTTTTTTTGTTCTGAATACAGACACATATGGAATATGTATTTAAAAACTAATTTTGACAAAAGCAACAAAAGCATGGTGGTGTAAGTATGTGAGGAATGCTTTTAAAACAAGAAATAACAGAAAGGAAAACATTATACAATTCAGTTATATCAAAAGAGTTATCACTGCATACTCTTAATTGTATAGGCACAGGAAAAGTATTCAAAAACATCCAGAGAAATATATGAAAATGTCCAGTGTATAATATCCAATTTTATCTCTGCAGTGTGCGTATATAAATGCAATTACATTGTGTTTACCTGTGAGCTGAGATGTATCATTTTAGAGAAATGATTGGGCGTGCACCTGAAATGATATATGCCATCTATTGCTTTACCAGCATTCTGTCCAGTTAGCAAAATACAGTGTAAGCTATTCCAGTGTTTCTTGAAATATTGTCAGTGTTGGACTTGTTGCATGTCCATTATCAGATGCTAAGAGCTGTCAGTGTTTCTACACTTTGATTTCCAGTGACTTGTTTACTCATCCAGTCTTATCACGTTATCCAGTGACTCTGCCGATATGGACACCTTCATTTAAGGAGTGGTCATGAGGATTTTCTTTTTTAGTTTGATGCATTTGCATGAACATTTTATAAAACAATTTGATATTTAATTCAATGTCACAATCGAGATAGAAATACTACACAGTATTTTCCTCTCTGTACAGTGTTGAGTCAGATGCTGCATGAGGAGACAGCAGACAGTCTGGCAGACTGCAGCAGTCTCAAACACAAAGCTCCACTGTAGAGACCCAGGATTTGCCAGTGTACACTACTGAGGTATATTTTCGATGTGAGTTGCAACCATTCACTGAGGCCTTCAGCAGAAGCCAATGATCTTCGCTCCAGTGTATAAAACTATTGAAAAGTGTTTTTGTTTTCAGTTGACACTGGTTTCAGTGTACATATAGACTCATAGTATTACAAAACGAAACGAAAAATGTGTGCGGTGTCATCTACAGTATCTTAGCCTGGACTTGATTTAGAAACATGAATTCTGCTAAAAAGTAATTATGGCTTATATTAAGTATGGAAGACATAGTGATCAGTAATAAAGTGAGCTATAAACTCATGGGCGTTACTTTCACAATAGCAGTTAACAGTGACACAACACAGTCGTCAATTACAACGATCTAAAACATTTTCAGTGACAGAAATAAAAAAAGAAACTTAAACAGTGTTTGAAACTCCAGTGATCACAGCAAAAAGAGATGTCTTAATGCATATACATATGGAGGGGATTACAGTGGGGACAGTGGTATATAGTTTGTTCTGTATTAAATCTCTTTAAAAACAATGTACAAGAATGAGACAAAACCCTTTCCCATCACAACAGCGTATAAATGGAACCACAAAGGAGAAATGTGGCGTATTTAAAGGCACCTGGGACACATCATCTTCCTCCTCACACACAGCTGCTTTGAATGAGAAAATGGTAGTCAGAGTATGATGAGGTTTCTCCTTCAGTGGCACAGCTCACTTCACTCTGTCAATGAAACACATGTGGAGATGACAATCATTAATCAGTTCCATCCAATGTCTTTTTTCTCAAACTAAGCACTACCATGAATCCCAGGACACAGAGAAACCATGTATATCCACATTCTGCATATTCTGCCAGGTTTACTCACAGACTGGGAGACACGGAAGTGATAGGTGATGTCCTGGAAAGACAGCACAGGCACTGACCACAGGTGACGAGTCCCCTTAGAGAAAAGTAGAAAGCATAAAATTATAAATTTATAGTAAGTCACCCTTGGGGAAATATGTTTTAATTATATGAGGAATCATGTTTGAATATATTATAAAATACCTTTGTTGATGTACTCTGACCCCCGTAGAGCTCTGCATCTGTGTGGTTGGGGCATAAACGTCCCTTGGTGGCTCCACATTGTTGTACCCACACGCTGTTTGTGGACCTGCAATGAATAGGTAATGCTTTATTTTATTGGTCTTTCATTTCCTAATAAATGTCTAATGATCGCTTGAACGTTAACTGGAAATAAATGCAAAATGCAAAATTCTGAGTTTATTGTTTTAAACCCAGTTAATGATTTATGGAGGGATTTCCTTGAAAGAACTGCTTAAACCCAAGTAAAATCATCAAATTATGCCTGAAGACTTTATTCTTCATATACAGCATGTTGAAATGTATGCTCCCCTTTGAACAAATTGCACAGATTTGCATGTTTGGCTGATCTACTGTGAATGACAAAAGACTCTAGGCTAAGACAGCTTGGCAATTAATTGGAATTAATTTAATTTAAAATGTACCAATTGAATACTGTCTCTACGTTACTTATAATGATGCCAAATTCTTTCAGGGAATCGTCCCAGGAAATTATTTGGAATTCAATTTACACTGGTGAAATAAAGTGTCAGCGCTGCATGTGTGCAGTTATGTAGATGGTGTGAGGTTTGTATACTCACGTCATGTACAAAGTGATTTGTGAGAGGGAGGAATTTCTTTTTCCATGGAGCGATACTGTGTAGCTAAAGTCAACATAGAGAAAAGTACTATCACCATACAGAGGCCTGAAGTCAAACTTGACTGTAAAAACAAATGATATTTAAAACATACAGACAAGTGACAAATTAAAGAAAAAAAGTGAATAAACAAATAGAGAAGCACAACCAATTCAGATACTTCCATACACGGCGTGATGTGTCACTGACTAGTTAGATGAGTATGAAAATGTCACCAGATCGTAACACAACTGAACACCTGTGGGAGATTTAAGACAGCTCTCTCCACCATTGTCTTAGGCACGCACAAGTTGCTCTGGATGCTTGAGTTTACATCATTTTTACATCAGTCGGTATATCTTTACCTGCAGCTCTTGGGTGTTGCACAACTTTGTGCTGTGATCTCTTGGTTCGTCTCCACAATATGAAGACTAGTCAGGGAGGGAGCTGACCTTCCTCCTGCAAAAGTGAGGGAAGCTGCATTATGAGCGACCGTACCCATAACATTCCTTTGTACAATATGTAGACGAGCTTTGTTTGCTGCTGTCAAACAAATGGTTTTACTGTGTTTGCGTACCACATATTATGTGTGTGAAGAAAGTGCCATGTCTGGGATGTGTCTGTGGAGTTACCCTTTGTGTGTAAGCTGCGTTGTCTTCGTGGCAATGGTTGACCCCCGGGCAGACGGTTGGTAGCTCCCACTCCGTCCAGGTCTGTAGGTGCCGGCTTTTTGGACTTGGCAAAGTACAAGGGTGCTGAGGTGTGACTCAGTCGGTTTCTGCTGTGGCCATCCTTGTCCATCAGTCTGGACTTGGCCTTCTTAATAATAGTGCCCAGTGTGGGAACCAGGCTGCCTACATCTAGAGAAGGAAGATAATTAAGCTGTAGTGAAGGCAAATAAATAATGCAGGAAAACACGTCTCATATTTGCTGATTTACCTGTTGTGGATTGGTTGTTACTCTGTGTCAAAACTGTAGTTGATTGGTTGTTTATGGCTGTGGTTGGACAGCAAGCTAGAGGATTTGTGAGACAATGAGAGAAATGGATCAGATCTAAGTAGAAAATGTGTATAATATATATTCTCTTATATATTCTGAATGAGCTTGTTAAAGGGGCTATTTGTAAGTTGTCTATGCCACCGAATGTGGTTTCTTGCTGGTAGCAGGTTTGGCACTTCTTCTAGACTGGTGAGTAAACAGCTGTTAATGCTAACGCTGGCTATGTAGCGAAAGCAAAACTTATAAATAGCTCCTTTAAATGTTATTTCCAAAACCACCAAAAGGAGAGGTTTGATCCTACAGGCCACTTAGTTGAGATCTCCACTCACCAGGTGCAGGGGTGGTGGACAGTGGAGTATATGGACTCTTGCGTGAAGATCCCAGTGCAGCTCTGGACCTGCACAAATCAGATGAAGCAGTACAGCAGGTGGAGACCATGCTTTAGTTAAAATAATGATGCACTTAAAAGCTAATGAATATTAGGGTGTTTAGATAAGTGACTCATGATCTTGACCTCCTTTCAGAGAGGACAAAAGAAACACCCAACTAAGCAATCAAAGATAAGGCTGAAAGTAGATCAGAAGTGGCAGGAAAGACAGATTTTGAAAGCGTACCATGGGCAGACAGGCGGACAGAAAGTTACAGTGGCAGTGAAGATGGGCATCCAAGAGATGTAGAGAACACAGGAAGGAACAAAGCTACAGAAAGCAGGGACAGACATCATTATTCTAGGAGATATCAAAGAGGAGAATTGGAAAACTGATTAAACCCTAAGTGTCTGATTTCCTCAAAAGCACATACGCGTCTTTCTCTGTGACGTCTCCTCTATGGTGAAGAGTCAGCACATAAAGGACAGACATGGAAATGACGCTGTAGGGAGACAAATAAAGATCCAGTAGGTTATTGTGTCATTACTGTGTACAGATGTACCAGTTTTTTTTTCGCATCACTATCTATTCAAACACATTCTTTTTCAGACCTGAAGGCCATGACAATGACTAGTGCCAGGATGGTCCCCTGCATGAATCTCTGACTGATGCAGCCTTGATCTGGAAGCGAGTTCTGCAATTAAAAAAACAAATTGCATACATTAAAAGCTTTACATCCTGCTGTTCACTGACTTATTAAACCTTTTTATATACACCAAGTATCCCCACAGACCTTGCTCCCAGGTCTGACTGTCTTCTTCTTGAGTGGGCCGCTTCCCGTCCTGCTAAAATAGCTCCCTGATTGGCTACATAGACGAGAATAACAAAAGAAATACATTACTTCTTTTCTACTCATACAAGATGCTTTCTGTCAACATGTAACGCCTACTTTGAAGCTTAAATCTGTTAGCGATTAGTCATTGCTCTCACCTGACAGTGCCTCCACTCACAGTGCTCTTCATGCTGTCAAGACGACGCAGCTTGGCCAGTTTGCGACTCCAGCGCTCCAATTCGTCTATACGAGTCTCCAGGTTGTCTGTCAGCTTACACAGCTCCTTCACCGCGCCCACGTTCTCCATGAAGATACGTTCCTTTGAAATTAGAGGGGGAGAGCTGTTAGTGTGTGTAATGTCTGACTGTGCTGTATGTATGTGTGTGTGTGTGTGTGCGCGTGTGCGTTCATCACCTTGTTGACGACTAACAGGTTGGGAATAGTTTCTCCATTGGCGCACACCACATCACCCCCCTCCTTCACTGCCTCAGGCAAGATTTGCTGGACCTCCTGAGCGATCACTCCTGCAGCAGGAAACAAGTGTTGATGGGAAAAAGAGCAGCAAAAGCATGGCAGCATGCACAGGTACAGGACACACGTGCATAATTATGCAGCAAGAGACAGATCACATATTAAGACATTAAGATGATATACAGTGTACAAAGAAATGAGATGATGGAGCTAAACATTTAAATTTGAGCAAAAGGTTATTCATGAGGTTGTTACCAGTCTCTGCAGTGTTCTCTATGCCCACGGTGGCAGCAAACTCAGGCTTATACTGATAATGGACCAGCCTCATCTGAGAAATCCGTTTCAAATTGTCTGTGGTGTCCACCTACACACAGGCAGAATGACAGTGACACCCATGCAGATGGTATGAAAACACATGTTCATGTTGCAGATGAAAATGCTTAGATCAAGTACAATGAAAAGACAAAACTCAAAGTGAAACTGCACAGTCAGGGAACTGTGCTGGGCACAGGCCTCTGTATGACATGATGCATGATGACAAGCACGAGGCACGCAATGACGAACTGACAGTTTGGAAACACACGCATGCACACACACACAAACACACACCCATATACATACACACTGAGTGTCATCCTGACCTCCTGGACATTTTCTTTGGCCCTGATGTCAGACGGGTGCACCAGGGAGCCCATGACCTTCAGGTTGCCATGGACGACAAGGGCCTCGTCAGGCCGGTCGGTGTTGATGCCGACTCTCCCGTGGTGGTAGACTGAGTCTGGTAGTTGGCCGCGCTGCCACAGCACCTCGTTGTCACTTTCAAACTGGCCTGGGTTGGATGCCTGTAACAGAGAGACAAAGAGGAAGGTGCACAGAGAAACTGTGGTTCAGATATTTCAAAAAAATTTGCTATAAAAAACATTTGCAGTATTTTTAAAAGAATAGTTTGACATTTTGTAAATAGGCTTATTTGTTTTGTTGGCCAGATAAGATTGATATTTTGTTGTGAGTTTCAGAGGTGCTGGTAGGCCTATTTTATAGATATTGTTTTTTTTCCCTGTTTCCCCCTGTCTGTAGTCTTTATACTATGCTAAGCTAACTGGCTGCATTTTACAGTCACATATTGACTGCACAGATACAGTGTGAGGAAAGAAAGCAAATAAGCTTATTTCCCAAAAGGTAAAACTGTTCCTTTAACACAAGCTTAAAATGTAAAAGATTGACTTCAGCCTACATTATAACTTATAGCTTAGCCAGTGTTTAAATTCAGTGTTTATTTGCACATTTAGCCAAGAACAAGAAAGTGAGTGTGTAGCTTTCAAACAGCTCTTCTGACACTTATAAGGCTCATACAGTTAACTATACATTGTCATTCCATGCTTTACACATCTGCAGTATGTACAATACCATCGCTGTCCAGTGAAAACCATGCATTTACAAATTTGGAGAATTTTAAATTTCTAGATAAACTGCAGGAAAATTGCAAATCTTCCTTTATGTGTTAAGAAAATCTTCCTAATCCTTAAGCTAAATAAATAATTAAAAACCACTGAATCATCTGTTTTTAAGATACATGGTGTTTACAGGACAACAACAATACATCTTGTTTCATAGTTTGAACTCTAACTAAACTATGAATTTTGGATTGTGTAAGTGTGCTGGGGATCACTGCCACGCAGATAAAAGGAACGAAAAGACAGAAAATGGAGGGGATGTTGAGATCTACACAGTGATTTTAAAGTGCCAAAAGCTGTGTACAGTAGACCAAGAGAAAGGTGTCACATTCACAAGGGATATGATTGTTGTAGGAGGCAGACAGACATGGCCAGACGTTACCCTGACGATGATTCTCTCAGACACGTGAGCAGCCACAGTGTAGCTCTGACTGTGGGACTGAGCATGCAGCGCCACCACCAGCATGAAATACCTGCCATGACAAAAAATCGTCAGGAGACACTGTGATTATTAGAGCTTTCATCGGACCACAGTGAATCGCATGTTGACGATGATGATGTGATGCCATGTGTGTCACCTCTGGTCAGGGTTTGGTTTGCCCTTCTTCCTCATGTTATTCGCCGTTGTCTCGCTGAAGTGGAGCCGCCCCACTGTGACCTTTGTGACCTGCTCTGGGGGCAAGGTGACACTGCAACAAAATCACAGAGACATTATGCAAAAAACTGTTTCCTCTTCAATTAAAGGAGAGGCTCACAATATTCCAAGTCTGTCTTAAAACAATAATCAGGTGCCCACACGAAAATAGAAACAGTTTTTACTTGCTGCTGTTATTGTTCCTGCCCCTGTTCATACTGGCCATTATAAGATCCAGTATTTAAGTGATTTCAGTGTAAGTGATGGGAGACAAAATCCATAATCCTCATTCAGTCTCATCAGCCCTCATCAGTCAGTGGATATCTTTCAAAGTTACAGTCTTTGGTGTGAAATTCCCCCAACAGTAACTTTGTAAAGTAACTTTGGAAGATAATAACTTCATTTGTCCATCTAAAGCCTCATATTAGCTTCAGAAGCATTTCTGAAGACATTACTGCATGAAATGAGGACAGTGGATTTTGTCCTTCATTACTTAAAAAGAAGTAAGAGCATCTTTTAATGGCTGGTATAAAAGAAAGAATGATTACAGCAAGTTTCAGTGTCCATAAGGGAAGTTGAATATTGTTTTTAAAAAAAAATGTTTTAAGTGTTCAGACTCACAGCACTGGCTTGAAGGGTCTCTTGCTGCGGTCGGACTGTGACTGCTCCACACTGATGGACTGGTTCATGGCCTCCACCTAGCAATGAAGAGAGAAATAAAATATGTACTAAATACACTGTTGAGCTAACAATTATCCGTCACATCGATGTCATGTTCATTTTGCCTTCACTCACCTTCACTCCGTTGAGTTTGAGATAGAAACAGTCGATGGGCTGCAGGCCTTCACTTGTCTTGATGTACTTGGGGTCTCCCAGCATGCCTATGTATACTGTGACCTGGAAATGGTTCTTCTTCTGGCAAACAAAGGCATCATCAGCCAAGGAGAAGTTGAAGCCCTTGTCAGCATCGACACGGTAGGTTGGCATCGGGCTAAAGACGGGGAAAGGGATCATGACATGTGAGTAATGTGAATGGGAAATACATGTGAACTCGCATTTGTTGTAAGTCAAATGTAAAGTGGAGTTTTTTTTTTTCACTAGGGGGAGACTCTTTACTCTGTTACAGGGGCTTCTGCATGTTCTTGGGTCTGAAGAGAAGACTGTATGGAGCATATGTAATCTATGTAGTAGTCTATGTAGTCTACTATCTGATAAAGAAATAGACATTTTAGGTAATGTGAACATTGGAAAACCTTCAATTCTATTATTCTTTGGAAATGCTAACTTTAAATCAGTAACATTATAGTTAAATAAACTTTGCATCATTGTTTGGGACCCCGGGGCCTCAGTTTTGGTGACGGTACTTTATCACACAGGGGACTAAAATATTCTGAAAGACTTAAATCTAACTTAATATAAATGAAAACCCTCTGTTTCCTTTATGTAGGTGTGGTGTGCTCGAACTTGTGATGGGCAACCAGGTGGTTGTGATAACACATCTGCAAGATCTTGTGAGTTCATTGTAACCTTCCTCCCATCTATACTTCTTTCTATTTTGGCATTGCAACAGCACAAGTAGGTGCACACTAATTTATCCCTTTACCCCCTCCTCACAAAACCCTGTGCTCGTTCACTCCCCCGCACAGCTCACTCCTGAGGAATTCGTAGAACTCTGCAACCCTGCTATTCCTTTGGCGCTCCCCCTGTATGCTTTGCTGAATTATCCATTTAGCCAATTATAACTGCTTTCATTTTTGACTCTCTTTTGGCTCTTTTTGTTCCAAAATAAAGACCTCAAGATGTACAGGTATGCCAAAATAAATTCCACCCACAGCTCTTTGCAGTTTGCGTCATAAAGTGGTGTCCACTTGTTCTGCTGGTGAGGTTGCCACTTAATGCACTGATAGTTTGGGTCCAAGTACGTGTTGTCTGCATCCTGCATTAAACCTGTGACAAACAGTTTAAAATATCAGGAGTTAAAATGAGACCAAAGACTGTTAAGAATGTCCACAACTGCTCTGCAAAAGTCTTTATCTGTGTGAGAGTTAAAGGGTAGAGGGTAAAAGCAGGTGAGGATCAAGTAGAGGAGATGAGGAAGAGAAGAAAGATGCCTGCCTACCTGGTTCTTGTTTGATGATACCTGTGAGGATTTGGGAATTGAGGGTGCTGTTGGGAGAGTCAGAGTGCTTCCTCTTCTTGGCCTGGTGAACAGGGATGCCGCTGCGTGAGGAAACGGAAACACGGTCAAAACTTCCCACCATTCCTTCCGTTCCATCAAAACTGGAAAGCGCCACCCTCCCTCCCTCTCTCCCTTCTTCCCTCCCTCCTGCATAACTTCATGACTCACTCTTGCCCCTGAGGATGCTGCAGCAGCTGATGAAGCATCTGCGTCTGCTGCATGTCTCCACTTCCGCTCGTGGCTGGACCAATAGGATACTGTGTTATCATGGGCTCAGGCTTCAGGTACATGTCCCGATGCATGCTGGGATAGTGCCCGTGTGGTGGGAGGGGTGGCGTTGGAGTCATGTGACACATGTTCTCTGGTGTCATGGTCCTGATCATGTGAGGATCTGAAGGACACAACAGGGATGTGGCATAATGGTTACACGACCGTGCACACTGTTTGCACGCAGAATGCAGCTCAGTATTTCTCTCTGTTTCACATTTCATTTCTCCAGTTTACTCTACTTTCCTCCAACCTCGGCAGAAGGTACTTTCCACTGTTTCAAACTGGAGGGATGCCAATCAGATAACACTATTCCACACCTTTTTTTACTAATGGGCAAGACCAACACAGGTGTGTGAGCAGCAAGAAGTACATCATGACTTTGAGTGCTGTTGTTGTTCAACTGGGTCAGTCTTTGTGGAAACGCTTGAAATGAGACTGATTTTAAATGATAAAATTCAATTTCAAGACAGTGCATCTAAACTGTAGATTAATAAAATGGCAGACACAAGCTGTCTTTAGTGACTTGATGTATTGATTTGTTAGCACATGAACTCGATATTCTCCTCACCTGTTCAAAAACAATGAAGAGATGAGTAACAGATATTGACTAAAGCAAGGAGGTTGCTGTGACACACATACACCTTGAATACTTACTTAGTCACTCCCTCTGACTGTGCTCACAGTGCAGTCTACACATTAAAGTACCATTTTGTTTCTTAAATGCTTTGTCACTCACATTTTGACATGGAGAGGAAAAAGTGTCTGTTACTTACCATTCACCTGCTGTGGAGAGTACGGCTCTGAGCTGGAGTCCGGGGGGGACTCAGGTAGTGTCCTAAAAACCACAGAAAACAGTAGATGTTACATTCACAAGAACAATAATGTCAGACTCTCAAATTGATAGAAATTGGTCAATTAGTACCATGCTTCAAGTTGGCAAGGCCTCCCTGGAATATTCTTCCTATTTTCTAAGCTGCCATCATATTTCAGGGAGAAACTCTCCTTTGGGACCAGAGTCAGTGGAGACGTTCTTTACACAAGCTTGTGTGCGTCAGGATTTTTTTGCAGGATGTAATCTGACTCTCTCTCTCTCTGTCTCTTATCAGTCTCCCTCCCCCTCTTGACCAGCTAATGTTTTATTTGTACAAATGAAGCTTAATCAACTATTGATTGCATAATGGTCCTGTAGTAGGGTGTGTGTCTGGTTTCGTTGTGTGCTTAAAAAAACCCACTGCGTCATATGCTGCAACTTCTGCCTAATTTCATGTTTAAAGTGTGAGTTTCAAAGAACATCTTGAGCATTTCTTCAACATTCCTAAGTATCAGCTCATGTTATATATTTTCTCCTTCTTGTGCCCCGATCCGTCTGCCTCTGTGGTACTGTGCTCACCCTGGGGCGTAATGGCCCCTGTGCTCTGGCTTGATGTGAGCCTGCTGCTGCTGCTGCTGCTGCTGCTGCTGTCCCAGGCAGGGGTAGCTGTGTCGGAGGCCCAGGGACGGACCTGGAGGGTAGGCGTTCTGACAGTTAGGGGGCCCAGGCGGAGGGGCTCCTTGGCGTAGGGGAATAGGGGGGCTCACACCACACACCAACCCCCCAGAGGAGGACACTCCTGCCTGGGGAGATGAGTAATTTGGTCCGGGGGTACTGTGGACCTCTGAGAAACAGCTGGGAGATAGAAGAAGAAGAAGAAGAAAAAGAGGGATTAGCCTTATCAGAAAAAACAAATTCCTTTGTAACGACATGATCTGATTCAGTTGGTGCATGTTGTTTTGACGTTGCTGGGTTGGTGTGGAGTCCCCACTGACATGTCAGTGCTATCGTCCTCCTTGCTGATGTACTCTTCCAGGATACTGGTGTCGATGTTGGCTGGCTCCAGAGAACTGGTAATATCATGACCTGTGGTGAAGGGAGGGTCGGGAACACAGAGGGGGAGATGGAGAGCATCTGGGAATTAGCAACGAGAATCTTTCATCAACTCCACACACTGCCACAACAGCTCTAGTTTCAACACAAGCTTTTGATGTTACAATTCCCTTTAAGATTGAGCTAATAACATATTACATACTCAGCTTGTTTATTATCTGTGGCTTTTCCTGCATATTCCAAAGGACTTGATTACGTTGTATTAATGCATTTGTATGTCGGAAAATGTAAGTAACTCAGTTCTGACTGGCTCAAAGAGAATTTAAAGATTAAGGTTACAGGAGTGACCAATGGTCTAATTATGTTAGTAGTCAACATTACAGATCACGTACTGATGATTCAGTGCTGGTTACACATATGGACTGGAATCCCTCCAGTTGATGGAGATTATTTTGTACCTCAGCTGCTTTTTCCCCGTTAGAAAAAAAAACTTAAAACAGTTAATATAGACTAACTACATCATAATTACTAGATGTGTTGTCTCTGTTTTCTTCGTTCACTGCAGTTCATGTCTACATTAAAGTCGGGATGAATCTAAAAGGGCTGCTGCTTCTCATTGTGTTTGGGATGATTTGAAATATTTTCTATACGATGATAGAAGTATGGTAATTTTATAATTTCCTAATCCTCCCGTTACTTCACCTCAGGGTCATTTTCACCCTTTGATAACCAAAGCCTCATAAATCCCAAACACATGACCCCACTTAATCTTTACAAAACCAACATGTGGAACAAGCACTTTCTTCTGCATATATTTAGAAAAGAGTAAATTTTCTTCCATTTCTTCTGTTTTTCTATTGTCCACAGAACATTTAACACAAGTGTTACATGAGAGACAGAGATGAATTTTCTTTAAAGCTCTAGTCACTAGTCGCCCCAAACTGCAGATGCTAGAAACAGAGTGAGTGTGGGAGAGGAGAGAGGGGGAGCAGGACGGAGGGCGTGAAGCAGAGGGTAAGGACCTGATATAAAGTGGGTGGGCAGGCAAACCCCAGTCTCACACACACACACACACAACAAACACACAATGCACACACACACACATCACGCACACACACCACACACACCACACACACACACACACACACACACACCAACAACACAGCCACAACACACACACACACACACACACACACACACACACACACACACACACACACACACGCTTTCTCTGATAGATTAAGCAGCTACTCAGTTGGGAATGTGAGGAATTTTTGTGTTAGCATTAGAAGAAATTCTCTTTTTCCCTCCTTTTGTCTTCCACTAATGCTTCACTTATCAGAAACCCAAAAGAAATGTCATCTATTCGCATTATTGTCACAGTTCCTCTCCTGACCCTTCTTGTGAATAATTTGCTTTGAAGCCCAGAGTTGACTGTGTACAGCAGCATACACGTCAGCAACAACCATCAATCAATAAACCCACAAAACAAACCACTTGTCTCTGATCAATCAGATTTAGAAATACCCAGGTTGTAATGTTTAATAAAACCTCACATTACCACATTATTTGAGAAAACTAGCATGTTTACACATACTGACTTTCTTCGCTGGACAGAAACAGATGGTTAATGTCTTTTGATATGTGCCAATGCGAGGGGAGAAAAGCAGGATGGTTCCCCTTAAATAAGATCCAGATGTGCACCCCACCCAAAAAGGCAGTAAATTTAAGCTGGCAGGCCTGATAACGAAAAAATACAGAGATGGAAGGGGAGGGGAGGGGAGGGTAGACGGAGGCTGAGGAGAGCTAAGGCAAGAAAGACAAGAATACAAGTTTGATGTCCAAGGATGGAGTGATAGAGAAAAGAACCTGTAAGGAAGACGTTAGAGAAACTACTGTGTGAATCAGGGCTGGAGTGAAGAACGGCTGTGTGTCCAGGAGAAGTCCCAGAGCGAGCACAGTCGAGTTCAAGTCAAGAGTGGCAAAAGTTCAAGACCTAGATTGAAAATCAAGTCCCCCAAGACCCAGTTATGTTTACTTTTTTAAAGACATTTTTAGAGTCAGCTACAGCCTCTACCTGTTCACTCAGGACTATCCGTGTCATAAAATGTGTAAATTGGAGATGTAAAGTAAGACATAGCTATACATGGAAACAAATTCTGGTAAACAGCTCCAAACATAGATGTGCCTGCTAACAGGCTGAGCCCTTGAAGGAAGAGTTGTGATTTGTGATTTTGGGCTATTTAAATACTTGATTTAAGTATATTACTGGAAATAGTAGACGTTCAAAAGCTTTTATATAGCTGCCACTCATCTTCCCACTTGCGTCATTTGGACATTAAACTAAATATAACATTACATTACCAAACTCTAACTAACATAACTACTTGTGAAAAGAAGCTCTGTTAGATCACTGAGGTAACAATGAAAGCTAACAGAAAGTCAACAGGCACACACAGTTCATGGAGCAGATACAGCGAATGTCAAACTACATCATGGAAATCGAAATTTTTTCTGGTAAAACAAAATCACAAAGAACAGAACTACATAAAGGTTTAAATGGATCTGGTCAAGACCTGAGTCGAGAGTATGGCAACCACAGTGCTAGTGTCCTGTAAGTTTGCAGCTGATGAACATCTTTAATGAGATCAGACATTTTCGTTGCCTTTTCTTCTGGAACTTTTCAACACCTTTCTAACAATCCACAAACAAGAGCGCTGCCATGTCACATTTAGAAAGGAGATTTATAGTTAAGGCTGTCATTAAATGCTATTCTTGTGCGGATAAAGAAGAATAGAAAGATAAATTAAGTAACTGTAACCACTAAATCACTGAATCAGTTAAGTTTAACTTGCTGTGAACTGGATGTGTAAATTTCCCTGTCCTCTATGTTTTTCTCTGTCCAGCTGTGTTCAACAAGAAACAGTGAAATGATTGTCAGTCCAACTTCGATACAGACTGGCCTTTTGAGAGATTAGGGGCTGAGAGGGGAGCGTGTGCGTGTACGTGTGTGTAAGCATTTGCGTGCATGTGTGTGCGTGTGCTTGTTTGTGTGTGTATGAATGTGTGTGTGTTATTCCACCATTTCAATGCCCGAGTTGTCAGCGCAGTAATAATCTAAAATGAACACAAACAGAGGGCCGAGTGTGTGAGTGCCCATTAAACATGGTTTGACTTATATCATTCAGTCAAACGCACAGCTTTTCCTTTTCTTTGCATGTTTTTCAAAATAATAGTCTATAATGTAATTGTCTTCTTTTAGAGTTTTCATCAAATATTATCAAGGCCAGTGACGGCCAAGAAAACGACACTGAATGAACATAAAAGATGAACTTGAACAAAAAATTTTTTAGGACTTAATCTCAACTTTTCACCGATTTTTGCTTCTAAAATGAGATCTGTGCAGCACTCACATGTGTGTGTTAATAATTAAACACTTTCAGAGTATCTTACTAAGAGGGAACAAAGTCCATCTGATTATCAAACAGTTAGGGCAGAATGAACTTGGCTGCACACCCACAACACATATACACACACTGTAAGACAGTCACCACAGTAGGATATTTAACATCAAATTACATACTGTACAAATAAAACCTTGCAACAAAAAAATAAAGCTAGTCTTTGTAGAATCCTTCAACATATTATATAACAGGTCTACATTAAATGAACAGGAGGCTTCAGCCTATGTCCTGTACCTTGATGCACTTTTAGCCTCATTTTATCTGTTTTCCCAGTAGCACTTTGGAAGAGACTCAAAAAATCAACTAAAAGTAACCTAATGGATCCTACTAATGTCAATATAACCAATGTACAAAGGCAAACAATGTCACAGCTGGTCTAGAAATTGCTCGACAGTCTAGAAACACAAGAATTGTGTCTACAGTGAACATCTTTAACACAGACAAACAAATAGACACAGATTGTGAAAGGAAACGTGTCAAGTCTACGGGAGGAAAGTGTAAGAGAGGTTTGACATAGCCTGAGAATTATAGACCTTCTCCATTTGTTTACAAGACAGGGTTACGGGTACAAGAGCGAAGAGCATTGCTAAGACACCATGGACTAATAAATCACATCTAAAGAGAAGCAGAGCGGACAGAGCGGCAGAGTACCTGCGCGTAGCCAAAGCATGTTGATGTCCTTGAGATGAAAGCACCTGAAACAGAAGATGAGAAGAACAATTCCTCTCTATTTTTCACATGTTTCCCTACTCAGGCTGAAAGTAACTTTCTTTTGCAGACCTGAGAGTCGCAGATCAGGGTATCAAGTGTGCATGTGTGTGTGTGTGTGTGTGTGTGTGTGTGTGCGTGTGCGTGTGTGTGTCTGCGCGTGCATGCCTGTGTGCAAAAAGCATATTGTGTTTGTGTGCGAGTGTGTGTGAGAAAGGCTTGCGGAGTGTTATAATGAGGATTATTCCCCCAGTCATGAGAAAGGGCTGTACCAGGCTACCACACACAGCCCTTGTCGCACACAAGCACTGGTCACACCGGTGGACCTGGCTCAGGAGATTACAGGAGTGACAAGGCTGGGACCGGGACACGGAGAGAGGCTGGAAAAAAAACGCAACACTGCAAATGCGAGGTTGAGTTTGAGGGCCTATGCTAGACAGAGTTATAGAGCGTAAAAATAAGAAGATGTAGAGCAACATGTAGAAGATGAAGAGGAAGATTTGGCTTATTAGACTGATAATGCTCAGAATTCAGGCTTGAGAACAGAGTAGACTTATGTAAAACAGATGAGTAGAAACTCTTTTTTTCCTTTTAAACTACTGAATTTCAGACAGAGCGTTTGCAGTTATTATGCCTGTGCTTTGGATTTATAAAGATATTTGTGGATAGCGACCGATGACATTCAGGCTGCAAGCAAAACATCTTATAACGCCCTTAATCTGCACATCACGTTCTTTTTTCCATAACAGCCTCTCTTCCAGTTACTGCACAAATGTGAACTCACAAAGTGATCAATCCTACAGGGTCTGGTTCTACCATAAACAACATTCACTGGCTGAAGATTTCTCAGTTGGCACTCAGCACTAATGGGAGTAATGCACGACCATGAAAAACTTAAAACCCACCCGTAAGCACTGTAAGCCTGGCTGCTCAAAAACAATACATTCCTCTGACTGCAATTCACAAACCGTTTTGATTTGTTAAACCCCGTAAATCAGAGGAAGCGTCCATGACTCACAACTGTTGTGGAATACAATGTGCCTTGACAGGAATTTTTATTTAGTATCACAGGTGAGGTTTAGTTTTCAAAGGCAAATATTGAGTAAAAACATGATTAATCTGCCTTCAGGTTAGGAGGTGAATGTGCTCCAAGTTTTATTTCTGAGTTTATTAACAGTATCTTCCACCTACACATGTTCATTACAAATTGAAGGGTTTTTAGCAGCACTGGCAGCTCTTAGTTTGTTCCACAAAATATCTCAACAATTGTGTAATGGATTGCCATGAAATTTTGCACAGACATTCGTGGCTCGCAGAGGATGAATCTTATTTACTTTGATGATCCTGTGACTTTTCCTCTAGTGCCACCATGAGGTCAAACTTTTTCTTTATCCCATGAAATTCCTCGATGTCTGCCTACAGGATTGGCACAAATTTGTGTTCAAATACTCAGACAGTGAATTCAAATAACTTGTTGATCCCCTCACATTTCCTCTTCCTCTTTCCTCTTTTCAGTATAGTTAACCGACATTCCCATTTTTAGCTGCACTTTGTTTTACGCTAAATTTGCTCATGGCAGCATGCTAACATGCTAAACTAAGATGGTGGACAGGGTATACACTGTACCTGTGAAACATCAGTATTTTAGCATTGTCAATGTGAGCATGTTATTTATTTATTTATGTTCATTTATTTATCTATGTATCTATTTAGTTAGTTAGTTAGTTAGTTAGTTCATTTCTGACTACAGCTGAAAGAATTAATTGATCAGTCAATGTTGATGTTTTCTTTGTCTTATGTGACTGTATGTTGGTCAAAACAAGACTCACTTGGACTTTAGGACATTGTGATGGTCATTTTTCCTTAACTGTCACATTTAATTGAAAGGATAATGAGCAGTTTAACTGATAATGAAAATAACTGTTAGTTTGAGCTGTGATTTGGATGTTAGCATTAAGCTAATCAAAGTGTCAGAGATCAACCTTACAGAACCACTGACTGAATGACTATAGACCCTTCGTCTTGTTATATTTATACACAGTCTAATGTCTGTTGGATCCATATTTATTTCAGTGTTATTTGCCTATTTTTTCTTAGTAATTTTCTAAATATTGCTGACATGCTAAAGGTGTAACACAAGGATGGGTGATTACTTGGAATAACACAATATAGCAGCAGTAAACGCGTGTGTTATGTTTGTGAGTGAGTGTGAGACAACTGTTTGTTGTCTAAGTGAGTCAGAGAGGAGAAGGTCAAGTTTTGAGGGGGTTGGTGGTTTAGCTGCGTTTCTCTCAACAGGCCAGTGAGTCTGCACTATCTCACCTCCTCACCCTGTCTGCTCACTGTCACTCTAATGGAGTCAGAGAGAGCGAGAGCCTGGAGAAGGCCAAATAGCCGAGGAGAAACACCAGTCCCACCTCATTGTGTTTTAACAGCCACCGAGGCTATGCCAGGAATGTACACTGTGCATTAGTGTGAATGTATACATATTTCACTAATCCTATTAAAACACAGTTTACCACTGCCAAAATCCATTATTGTGCAGTATCTCTCTCTCTCTCTGTGTGTGAGTGAGTGTGTGTGTGTTTCTTTTAGATTAAGGACAAGATAAACATGGACACTTTGACTAATTGTGTAATATTTAAAATTTGTGAGTTAATGGTCTTACTTTTTGCCACCAATTTAAATTCACAGTTTATTACCTGAACCCCTGAATCCACGATCTGAGAAATATATAACTAAGAGTTTTATAACATAAGGTTTACTTAGGAGGAAAAAAAAAAGTTAAATGGGAAAATAAGCATCTGAGGCGGCACCTACAGTATAATTCTCATAGACAAGTTGACATTTTAGTCCAAGCAAGAGTAGCTGAAATAAAGCCAGTGTAAGAACATCTCTCCAACTCCCAAAGCAAGAATGTAAACACACTAAATTCCTGTCAGAATGGCAAGGAACCTCTGACAGGCATGGGTGGCTGTGTATATTTAAGTCAACACTCTGTGTATACAATAATAAAGCGTAAAGTCTCTCTGCAGATAACTCATTATACATAAACCACAGTATATGTTTTCATGTGCACTTGACTTCTCCTGGAACACTTGACATTAAGTTCTTTAATTAGTAAGATGTGAGTTCTGTGGCAAACTGTAAATCACAGAGCACAGTGAGAACTCCTTTAATAAATGTGACAAAATGTGATTGTCTTGTTTGTGATATATATATATATATATATATATATATATATATATATATGTTCATTGCAGGAGTATGATGGACAGAATAAGGTTCACAGAGTCGTGTATATATTGTCAGATTCTGATTCTGAACTCGATTCAGTCCAGACCATCAAGTCTGCAAGACGTGGAACTGAGATGTACAAAAAAAGCTAAAAAAAAAAAAAAAAGGTTAGTAAATTATAATAGGATATAATAGAAAAATAACCCTAACAAACTCTTGATTTATATGTGGAAAAAACTAAACGAAAATCTCAATGATTTAAAGCCATGATATAAAATACTATATTTTTATTGAGCTGCTTTCTGGGGGGATAAACATAAATCATTGCTTTTCTGAACTGAGTTTGATTCTATTTCTGATCGTTTGTCTGATGATGATCAACACAACATCACTCACAATGCTCATCTGCGTCTGTAACACACACACACACACACACACACACACACACACACACACACACACACACACACACACACATTGTGCCACAGTTCCCTTGCAAAACACACCATTTATCTTGACTTAAATTCCTACACCCTTCCAACCCTCAACCCCACCCTCCTCCACCTCGTTTTTTTTCTTAGGATTCCCCGTTTAACTTGATCTGTTACCCATCACCAGCACTTTTGCTCCCTGCACCCGGTAACCCTCCTGCTTTGTTGCATTTTTAGTTTTTTTTTTTTCATTTTTTTTTTTTTAAAGATGAACAGCCAAGAGAAAACTTTAAGTGGAGAACAGAGTGCACGTTAATGTTTGGGCAACTTTCACATAAAAGATCACTACAAATGTTATTTGATCATAGTGATGTTAACCACCTGTCATGTGTAGGCTACATGCAGCAGTTTAAACCAAGCTTTAAGACACTGAGGCTTCACTGCAGCTACGTGCAAAACACCAGGCAAAACACTTCAACACCTTTCATGTTTCTCTCATTAAAACAAATTAGTCACAAGTCAAAGTGGTTGTGAGAGTAACAAAAAATACACATAGGACTATTTGTCAAATCTGTTTAAGATTTTCTGAACAATGAGATAATACTGACCCGTATTAATACACACGCACAGGCGCACAAACACACTCACATATACATATATATAGGCTATATATATATATATATATATATATATATATATATGATTAGAAATTCTTACCTTCAAAAAATCTCTGTAACGCTTCTGTTTCATCTACCACGTCCATCCTAGCGGGTCCCACATAAAAAATCCATGAAAGTCTCCCCTTGTCCGAACGAAATCAATTCGGATCGGGGAAACTTTCACATATACATCACGGAATCCAGATTATAATCGTCGTGAGTTTTCTTTATTTTACATAAATCCACCGCTCACGAAGAACTAGTCCTTTCTCCTGCTCAGCAACTTGGCGCTGGATTCACGTCCCTTATGGCCAAACGCCTCCAGTGACGCTACGGTTCAGGCTTTAACTTTAAAACTAAAGTCACAAGTGTGTTTTTTTTGTTTTGTTTTTTTAAAATTAAGGTGCCAACAAAAATCCATAGAAGAACAACATCAACACATTTCCCTTCAGGCGCACGTTCACTTCAGCGCCCACAAGCTTCATAATAAACTTTGGTTTCCTCTCTCAAAAAGAATCATCAGCCTGTGCGAAAATGATTTTAAAAAATCGAAGGAAAATATGAAATATATGTATAAAAAAAGTGTGGGTTAAAGTTGTTTAAACTTGACCCCCGAGGCTCTTGAGTTGCCTCTCTTCCTCCTGCGCCTCTCCCTCTCAGACAGGATGTGAGCAGCTGAGAGTCGGAGGAGAGGAGCTGAGGCAGGTGAGGGATGTGCGCCAGGCTGCTGCGAAGATCCCCGCACAAAACACACGCTTCAAGTTTCTGTAGGGGACGCATTGAGTCCGCCGCATTCGATTGGTTTACACTGACCTGACATAGCTTAATATATTATGTGCATTTTCCGCGTGGGAAGAGTTGCAATGATTAATCAATTCATAATTTCAGTTAATTTCAGAGAGCAAAAAATTACTATTAGTCAATTTCCCCAGTTTCCAGCTTCGTTTTCATTCACAATAGTTAATAAAATATGTTTGGGGTTTTCATTGTCAGTCAGCTAAATCGAGTAGAATCTGAAGACATCACTTTGGGCTCTGGAAGATTTTGAGGGTTTTTCACTTTTATAGACAAAAGGATCAATCAAGAAGATAACTGGTAGATATTTCTTAATTAGCATTTGGTTGCAGTCATTCTCCTATGGGTCTATAGTTTGGTCAATAAATTTTATCAGGATAAATGTATTAGCCTATCATGCTCTAAAACAAAGCAGCTGAAATATGAGATTTGGGCTCAAATACACTTTGTCTTTCCATCCAGGGAGGAGGGATCCTGCCTCTGCTGCTCTCCCTGAGGTTTCTCCCCTTTCTTCTTTTTTAGTGAAGTTTTATGTACAGTACACTGATTTTATTTTCTGATCCTGAGAGTCTGAGGAAATTGGGTGCTGAATTGATTGAGGAAAATGTTGATAATGAAATTGACTTGACTTGTAATTCATGAAAACACTTGACCTTAACTAAAACAGAATACAGTAGAGCTATAGAGTGAGGCTGCATTGTTAACACTTCAATTCATCAGTGCATGATGCACGATCCTTAAAATAAAGATATCCTCTCTGCCTGATCTACTAAAACTATTTGTGAAACCTTGAACTAAAGCAAAAGTTGTGATTTAAAAAACGTATCTGGGGCCCTTTCGAATTCCTCCAGCTTAAACAACCACAGGAGTGTTTTGTGTCAAGGCTTCCCAAGGGGAGGATTTGAGGGAATGATCCATTTCTCTCAACCTTATCAGCTGCATCCCACCCCCCCTTATAACAATGCCACTGTGTGCAGCCCCCACAGCCTGGACGCCCACCCCCCGCTTCCACCCCTCTCACCCACATGTGAGATGCTGTTGTGTTGTCTTGTTCCCCCACAGCTGGAGCATCTCTCTCTGCACCCCTCCACCCCTCAGCTTTTCCTCCATTCAACCCAAACAACGCCTCCGTTCTTTCAGCCACACTATGCAGATTGTTTCAGAGGACAAGCAAGAAAGAGAAACAGATAGAGGCTGCAGGGGACAATGAAACAGCTGGCTATGTTAAAGCAGTTCATTTTGGTATTCTGTATTTCTTATCTCATATAGCTCTGTAACTGCATGTGCATGAGTGTGTGTGCATGAGTGTGTAGCGTACTTGTACTATAGTCTTACGCGTTGTGTGAATATAAACCCTGTTCTCAAAGTCACACTACGGGGACTCACTTCCTATTTGGGACAGAAATCTCCACAAGGTGAATTGTTAAATTTTAGCATTAAGATCAGGTTCAGGTTCGTAAAGTCCAGGGAATAAATGTCAGTCAAGCGACGTCCTCCTGCGAAAATAATAAATGCTCAAGTCATCATTTGAAAAATATGAACTGCTAATACATGTGTCAAATTGTGTCCTGGTACAGTATATCAGAAATGATGGACTTTATCTTAGCAGACACATCGTGTGATCGGACTAATGTCATGTCATTGCCACTTACCATGAGGCAGTCCATTAGACATTATTCAAAGCTGCACTCATTTATTTTTTGGCCTGAACAAGCTGGAAAAAAAAATCAACACACTATCACTTTACAAAGTTGTTATAACCAACATTTTATCAAACAGTTTATTCTGTTTACATCTCCAGCAGATATGTAGCAAACAATATAATTTCATTCACATGTTGAAAGAAATATTTATTCTCCATTTGTCTCTGCTTTGGTCTTTTTTTTTTTTGCTGAAAACAGTCGCCTACTATAGCTGCTGCTGGAAACAAGGTGAATTAGAGTGAATTAGAGTGAATTAGAGTGAATTAGAGTGAATTAGAGTGAATTAGAGTGGGGTTTCCAGCCCAAAAGGAGCCGAGGCAGGCTGCAGAGTCTGGTGTTAATACTCCGTGGGTTCATAGTAATCTCTCACATTACGCATTTGATCCTTACTATAAAAGAAACATTGATTTATTTTGTTGATTTGTAAGCCATGTTTTAACAGTGAGATTTAACTATGGCTGTGTAAATTATAACTTAGTAAATCTACCTCTATAGAAAGGTCTGTCATTGTGGGAACTCAGGTATCCTTTTTTTATTTCATTTAATTCGATTGAGCAAACCTGGGACGCAAACCTCAAAGTACAGCCTCGTCAGAAGAACAAAAAAAAAAGAAAAGAAGAAGGATGTACTTTGTGTCTCTGGTGGTGAACTCTTCACCCAGATCTCATCTGTTACTGTTAATGTTACTTTCCCAGCCACTGCAGAGACCGACGGTGTTCTACTTTGTCCTCTATCTCATGATCAGTCTCGGCTCCATCATCAGAAAGAGTGAGTGCTGGACATGTTACACTCTCCCAGGTGCTTTGATGTAGTGCACCTATAGGGGGTGTCTTCCCCCGCTGACGCTCTGCTCTGTGATGTCAGTTCCTCCATCTCCTCTCTGGTGAGAGAACAGTCACCTGCTGAAGCATGATTGCGTTTAAAGCACGCTTTCATTACATGCTGCCTCTTCAGCGTAGATCCCTGTGCTTCTGATACAACATCTTCAAAATAAAAGAGATGTACAAAGCACCATGCCAGTGTCTGCATACGATTTATATACTCTTAACATGCTAATAATGCATGTCATATGCACATCATATTGTTTAAGTTGATTCCATAAATCTAATTATAAATACACAAATACACGAGATGCAGCATGTGAATATACTTCCACCGCTTCGTTGAGGTTTTGGGGAAAAATTAAATACATATTTTCTATTTTATTTTCATTAATTTCAAACATATAAAAGCAAAACAGCAAGAGAGCAGGATCAATGTAGATGTGTGCAGTGGGGTCCAGAAGTCTGAGACCACTCGCTCACTCGCTGGAATGGGAAGGTGTATTTATATAGTGAGAAAATGATCAAAATAAAGAGGAAGAGTAAAGACAAATAACATTGCAGATAATAAACCGTAATGGAAAAGAAACATGAATACTTAGTTATGGAAGGCTTGCCTGCTACACAGAAGAACAAATAAATACCGTAAATGAATTTCTATACACATAAAAACATAAATTAGGCTCAGTGACAGACAGATAAATAATAAAGGGGGAGTTTCTGCTATATACAGTGCTTCCTCTTGCCTCAAACTTAAATAACAAACATGCAGCAGTTTATAATGCAAATTAGCAGCTGAAGGACCTTTTGTACTTTGCTTCTTAAGTGGAGTGGCATACATAATTCAGACATCCCAGCAGCTTTCAAATGTGTCCTGACTGATTCTTAATCGCAGCATAGACACAGAAAACACAAGCAGATTTTTCACAGTAACAAAACCTATTTTGATAAAGTCTCTGAAAGTTTGTTTTTTACACAGTGTTGAAATGAGTGGAAACCATGAGTTGTCTGCAGGGTGGCAAATACAGATCCAACAATAATGTAAAACAAAGTCTTTGGCCCTGTGAGTCTGGCTCATGTCTGCAGGTATGAAGGGCAACCTGACAGAGAGCCAGAGCTTCAGTACGTTCTGATTTACCTCATTGCGATGAAGACAAATAATCTGCTTTCAATCGACTTCCTGCTGGAGCACAATAATGACCGTCTGCGTGCATGGGCCAGCTCACCTTGTTAGTTCCACTTTCATTTGTTTTTATTGCAGCTATGAAAGCGCACCAGTCATTATAGATGAAGAAGCTTTTGTTGATTATGTAATCACAATCATATTTTGACATGGTTGCATGTCAGCATAAATAGGATGGTAAATTACATAACTATCAGGTGACGAGACTGGCCCACATTTTAGGCTCCATTTATCTTGATTGACAAGATACGTCGAGGTAATTAGCATCTCATGTACTGTACATATTTTGAAAGACCTGACTGCTCTGAGCTTTCTTTTCATTGCTGCCTTTGTTCATGAATGAAGTAAGCCCTGGTTCCCTTTAGGACTTGTTTGAATTATTGATATGGGTAACAATCATTCAAGTGACACTGTATACCTTGTACAATGTCGTCACATCACGTCACAATTTTCCTCCCACGATAAATCCAATCTCTTATTCTGAAAAGATGGATACTGTATATTCAGATGGTTGGAATGAATGTATAAATCAATCTGGATGCAGATTTATGAAAAACTGTCAGACCCTAAAAATCCAGCTGTATGCAAGATTGATTATTGTTCAACTTAACATTGTTTCACAAATGCATTTTGTGTTTGTTAAGGAACAGTTTAATGTAATAACAGATGCTTATGTGTTCTTCCTTTGTCTCTTTCAGTATCTACTCATGAAGAAAACCTTCTCTTCATCGTCATTTTGTACGTCACAGCTGAAATCCCAACATCACACTGTTTCACACAGAAACTGAAAAGTAACATGTTTGAATGTCTTTAATTTTATGCCTGTTTATTTGGACAGGTTTTTTTTTACCTTTGTTTGACACAGTTTGTATGATACTAATGAGACAGTTGTGCTAAGTATTCCTCTGGGAACTCACTGTGATAGAGAGGGAAAACGTAAATAAATTTGTTCGATATTTCCTGACTTTCTTCTGTTTATTTTCCTCTAAATGTGTTAACGATAAAATCTATATTTGTGTTACTATTGTTTATTTGTAGCATATATATTAAGTTTTGTGTTTGTTCAGTTTTTCTCCAGTAGAGGGCAGAATTGTTTTGATAAAATAGTGGCAACTGTGGTTGTCGCGCTCAAAGACATTTCTTTTCCAGTGCTTTGAAATGACAGTGCATGTCTGTAGAAATTTATACTCAAGTCAAATGGACTCTGGTCACACTTGTTTACATGTGCACCTCACACATCATATCACCTCTCACCAGTCCTCTATTAACATACCACAACAAGGCAAATTCTAACTACATGACACAGACTCAGTGGTACCTGTAGAAATCAGGAATTGAGAATGAATGTTTGAGTTTGGCCTCTTTAAACTTTAACTGTACATATTTGATGCCACTGACCCTCAGTACATCAGGTAAGGATCTCAGAGCACTTTTTCAGTGTTGTTAACTCTTCATCATTTCCTTCCCCACATTCTTAAAATAGGTGATTTCTCAGCACTGACAGGTTAAGTTAATGATCAAACCCAGTGATAAGGTTTCCAAGGCAACTGCTTTCAAAACAAATCACATTTCAGAGTGCCTGTGCTAGAGCAACAGCCGAGCATACAAACACTTGTGCATTTTGCTCACTGCAGGTCAAACATTTACATATTCCCTCATATAATAATACATTTTGATTATTGTAGCGGTTGTTTATACAGTATAATATACCCACAGGAGTGCGACTGCATTATCTTGGTGATTTTCTTTGCAGGGACAGCTGGACAAAGAGTGGTCAGTCTAAGCAGCCAGTGACATTGAAACCTGGGCAGTGTTCCACACTGTTGCTCCTCTTTCATTCACCCTGTTGAATCCAACTAGTTTAGACCAGTCACTATACTTTGCTGCACAAAGTGAAACACTGAAGCACTGTGATGTAATCGGCTGTGTATTTCTGATTGCATTTGTAAATCATAAACAGCATTTTTGAAATGTATATTTTTTTGTAATATTTTATTGCCAAACTGTAAATGTTGGTTATGGCACCTGAGGCATCTCATATAAAGTCAGATATCACAAGAAAGGAAAAAATATTTCTGCAAATTATGTTTGCTTTTCTAACTGTTCTCTAGTTTTTGCTTATGTCTTTTGAAATACACCTCTACCTATTCAGCCAATAAAAATACTTCTATCAAGCTGTAAAAGAAAAAAAAAGAAAAGGACAAAACACTTTGGTGGAACTGACCAGAAATCATCTCCACACTAAGGCCATAACGAGATGATTCAACTAGGCCACAGTAGGCTATACAGCTTTATTGTTAGGGGTCATAGCTAGAAAAGGTAGGAAACACTGCCATAAAGTATCTCAAGATTTACAGTAGGCTACCTTATGTTTTACAGCGCAGAGACTGCTGATTGAGTTTGGGATGTTGCTCTATGCACTGCAGGAAGGTGAGCAGCATCACCATCGTGCATCCACACTCTCACCACAAACACTCACACAGACCGACCCACTCTCACAAAAGTGTCCGTGGAGCTCCTCCCCTCTCGGGTTGAGTTACCTGCAGAGTCACGTATCACTCACCTGCTCCCGCGTTGCCTCCACAGCGACTGTGTCTGACAACCTCAACAAACGTCTAGCTGCGTCCTGTGTTGTGCTGTGTTGGACGCCAACCGGGTAGTTTACAGTTTTGGGATCCAAAGGTTGTACCTGACAGCAGGGGATAACACTTATCGATTATTTCCTGTGGAGTTTATTTGTTGATCGGCCGCTGATGACAGGCTGATGCGTCACGCGCTGTTTCGCCCGCGTTTGTCACCTTGAGCATCCCGTCCGGAAAACACCACTGTGAGTTCGTGTGACGATAAACACGCTCTTTTCTTTTCTTTTCTTTTCTTTTCTTTTCTTTTCTTTTCTTTTCTTTTCTTTTCTTTTCTTTTCTTTTCTTTTCTTTTCTTTTCTTTTCTTTTCAGCACATTGCCATAAAAAAAGTTCACCCGTGTCTTCACAGTGAACTCCAACCTACATAAACATGACAAATCTCATCGCAAGGTCCACTCAGTGGCTGTTCTGGAGCTTTCCATTGTGTCATTTGGTCTTCCTGGGCAGATGGAGTTGCTTGGTTACTGTTTTTTGACTTCTCATTCATGTTGGTTTAAAACTTGAGATTGACTAGTTCCATTTATTTATTTATATTGATGATTTATGACAATTTCTTATTCTAATCGTTTTATGTTATTGTGTAAGTGAGTATCAAATGACTCAATGGATAACATTAATGGCAGCAGATATGAAGTGATCATAGACTAACGTTAATGTTGCTACTATACATTTATATTTGATGCAATCCACAACCTTAATTTCAGCATTGAGCTCTGTGGTAAGAGGAATGTGCTTTGATTGGGGTACAACAGGTTGACATGCTGCACATTAACAACCAAAGGAGAAACACTGACTGCTCATTTGAGGTGTCTTAGTCTTTCAGTATGGGTTTTTGTCTTGGCACAAGATTGTTGTTGTCAGTGTGCTGGGAGGGTGAAATGAATGTTATGTGAACAAACAGGAATCATGTGTGTGAAATCTGAGCTGATTTTGTCTTAATGCCCTGAGTCAGCGAATGCGCTCTCCACCCTGAACCTGCACATCCAGAAGAAACCTGTAACATCATCTCCAGCCATCATAAGAATGTAATGTGATTCAGTCAGATAGCTGGATGACTCCAAATACATAAAATCTGATAACTGTTGTCTCTTACAAAATGCTTACTCAGGGGCATGGAGCAAAGGGCACATTGCTCATATCAGAGTGAGCTCATATTTTTTTCTGTCACATTAGCTATACTGTCAATATTGCTCAATTTTAAATAAACAGCCTGTGTTTTGTACAATCAGGCTGAAGTTGTCTAAAAAGAAATGCTGTAAATACTGAGTTTATTCCACCATTGACGGTTCTGTCAGTAGTGATTTATGTTCTCAGCATATGTCCCTGTTTTCTTAAATCCTTTGTTAAAGCTTCAGGTTTGTTTTGGGGCGTGTGTTGTCAGCCAGACACGTTACTGTAGATACTTATTGTGTTGCTGCTGTTGCTATGCTTCCCATGTGGGTCCAAAATATCTTGTGGCATATATGTGGCATTAGATGTGTTTCAGACAAGCTACTATAACTCTGTTATTTTATTGTTGTGAGGTCATATGACATAGATCCATTTGTTTTGTGTGCTTTTCTCATATTGCTGTATCATTTGTGCTGTGTGTTTGCACAGTTACAACAATACAGTAACGTTGCTGTCATTGTCTTTTGTGTGTTGAGACACAAATCCTGGCTGCGTTCATTGGTTTACATTCGGGTTTACATAATGACACACTGTTTATCAGACAGGCGCGGTGTTGTGATGTGGAGATGTTGGTTAGTTTGTGAGGATTTTGGAGCTTCTTGTGTGTGTCTGAAGAGAATTTTTTCAATCCAAAATGACGTTTAAGACGTGAAAAAAAAAACAACAACACAGATGCAGCATGAAGGAATAACACAAAAGTTGTATATCCTCATTCAGTTCAGTGTGAAAATCAAAACAGAGAGATTTTATGAGTAATTTTGAAAATGAGACCAGCTTTACGAGTACGCCTGAGATAATCATCCTGCACACTCTGCGTCTTCTTTTGTCTGTAATTATTGTTCTAATACCCTGTAGTTACCTCTGAATAAATTTGTTATTATTGGACAATAAGCACCTTAGGCTGAGTGGAGGAGAGGTGTGCAGACAAAGGGCCTTTTGCCATTAGGTTGACAACACATGACACCCAGCCTCTCCTGCTCTGGCTTCACCTCCCTCCTGAAACCTGGCATCGGGCCAGAGCTGGAAACAATAGAGTGTAGAGAAGATGACCAGATAGTTAAGGACAGAAAGAGGAAGTCTTTTTGTTTGTGCAGACTTGCTAAAGTAAATACGAACAGTTTTCTTTCCTTATTTGCATTTCTCTGTGAGATTTTGTTGCGGTAGTTTTCGATCACGATGTGGGGGGGGGGGCGTGGACCTACATGTGGCTCTGTGTAAATAAAGTCATACTTTATCATGCACTGACTCCGGCCCAGGTTGTGAAAGCTATTGTTGTGATTCGCCCTGTCTTTGTTTGCAAAAGTTCTGAGGAGATTATCTGTTGAGAGCGATTATGTTTATGATCTGCTGTGAGATAAGCTTGAGTGACCGTACCTGTAACCTATAACTGTCAAACACAGTATTTACCCTGTGCATGTGTAGTGTAGCGCTGCTCCTTATGAAATAACAGATTTGATCTTCAGAGAGGAGGTAGGGCATGTCTTGAGGAAATGGTTGTGTTATAGCTTGGTTAAAAAAGGGACACTGAAATGTTCTTACCTAAGTGACATGAGGTCAGTATTTTATAGATTGGATTGTTCTTTACAAACACTTCAAATGCTTGCTGGAGACACAGGATCCTAACCTCTCGCCACCGGTTAATAATACAAACTGGACTGGTTGCTTAAAGCGATACATGGCTCCTTGGTGTCTAAAAGTCACATAAGGTAAAAGGTGATTATTATATCAAGTATTAGATAGTGTTTAAATATTTAAATAGTATAGTATTTAGTAGTTCACTTTAGCCATTAACTGAGGAATGTTTATTTAATGCGGTAATAAAACCCATAATAGGATTTAAAAGGAAACCATTCTGTTGTGTAACATGACTTTAGGGTCCACAGCTATAGTATATACTGATACTGTATATGTTCAGCCAGTGTGTGCTGTAGACCTGATATATATTACATAACCTTGTCAGTGCGTGCCTTGACAGACACGTCACAGACACGAGTCTCCAGGCTCTGAGGTAAAGGTGTGGGAGAGTTTTGTTCTCTCATTTCCTGCTCACAAGAATCTCTCAGATTTATATTTCATACCTGTCTCCTTCAGAGGCCATGCTAAGGATCAAGTAGTTAGCAGCGCTGGATGTAAAACCCAACCAGATTAAATAATTTGCAGCTATGCAGATATAGTCATCAACAGAGTGGATCTAATTACACAGTGCATATCAGCCTGCTGTCTTCCATTGTCTCAGATCAGTCCCCTGACTACCAGCAGTACAGGCCCAACACCTGCCTCTCCACAGTGGAAGAACAGGCTGTTCGGTAGACGACTCATCAACTTAGCATATTATTTCTACAACCGTTATAAGGTGTCTACAGCTTTTTAAGGTTATACACCGTGGTCCGTGTATTAGAGCTTACATTGAAAAATAAAAGATGCAACAGGTTTTCAAAAGGTCTTTTTAGACTAAATAATGCATGTTTGTTTTGGGTGGAAAATGTTTTACCTCCACCACCAGCCACTTCTCGTTCTGCGTGTCTCACTATCACTTACGCTTTCTTTCCCAGATTCTAATTCTCACTGTTTTTTTTTTTTTTTCAGGTGGATGCCTGAAATCATGAGTGTCCTGGGACCTCAGACGAGGCAAGCCAAGTGAGTATCGTACACCTTCCTGCTTCCCCTACATATCTAGAGAATCACTAACCCAGTATGTGGAAGGTGGTGTGGGTCAGGGACCTCAGGCACAGAGCGTCTCTGTTGAGAGTTGTTTGCTTTGCCTTGGTTCCTGGCTCCAGCCTCCCTCCATGCCCTCCCCCCTCTCTCTCTCTGTCTCTCCCTTTTCCACTCTCCCCCTCTCGCTCCCTGGCTGGTCCATATGCTCAGAATCTCAGGCTAATCTCATCCACTGCTGGCCAGTCTGTTCTCCGTATATCTCTGTGTGACAGTGTGGGAGATTCCGAGGGTTTGTGACACTGACATCCAGAGGTGCAGTGGAGAAGATGAAGGGCGCACAGCGTAACCCTGTCTCCTCTTCTTGTCATTGCAGTGGAGTGGCCAGATCGGACAGCAAGATCAGTGCCAAGGCCCTCTACGGTAAGTGGCTGCATGGAAGTGCGTAGAGGAGTTGGGCCGTTTTTGTCAGTAGGAGTATTTTATTGTTGGCCCGCTTTCAAGACTTTGCCCTAACATGCCTTTATTTAGTTTGCATGAGTCACTACAGTACTACACTATGACTTACAGCTTAGAATTAAGGAGATTGTTAATTCTTACTTGTCAAGGAATAGTTTTACTATTTATTAAGTATGTAGCTTATTCAGGTGTTGTACAAAAACTAGTTAAACTCATGAATGAACCACACTGTTGCACTGGGTGACATTTTCCGTTATTATGATCAACAAGGACACTGTAGTTTATTTTGACACAAACACCGCCCTGTCCTTATTGACCCTGTTTGAGTAATGTTTGCTAAACGATACAAGGCCCCGCTTTTGCAGAGTACTTTCCGTTTTTAAAAAAATGAAACTATGTGTTTAAAAAAATGTGTCTTCAGCAGGAACAAATCTTGAATGGAATACAGTACATAATCCACTTCTTATGCCCTGATATCTCTCCAAACTGTCAATAGTTGAGCTGTGAGCATCAGCACTGTAATTGACTCAAATCACAACAATATTCAATTTGCTATGCAAATGATTCTGCCAGGAAATCCGGCACTCTCGCTCTGCAGCATGTTGCTGCAGCCCCATGGCCTTGCTGCACTATCACAAACACACACACACACACACACACACACAGACACACACACACACACACACTCACACACTCACACACACACACACAGACAGTGATAAAAGGGGGCCAAGGTCCTGCTTAGGGGCCCCGTCGTGCTCAGCCTGCTGACACCTCTGTTAGGCACTGAGGGACATGAGAGGGAGGCTGGGCTCCTAAAGGGAACATGACTGTCTTTGCTTTATAGTCACATTCTCATGCGTGCAGATGCATATTTATGTTTTGCTGTCTTTTTGTGCATATTTTGAATTGAAGGATGTGCTATGGTCATTGTAGTGCTCTATATTGTCAGGCTGCATCACTGAACTGTCATGACTGCGGTGGCTCTCAGTAATACAGTCATGATATGCTTTTACTATTTCAGCAGTTGCATGCTTGTGTTAGGGTGTGTTTGCGTGACTGAAATTAGTTATGTTACATTAGCTGGGAGTGCAGGGTGTGCCTGTTTTTAATGTGTGGTTGGAACAGGGTGGGGATGCCCATGTCTTGCAGGTGAATAAAAGATGCATTGAAAAGTGAAAAGAGGCAGACTCTCACTCAACTCTGGTCCTCCCCTTTGCTGCCTCAGACATTAGCTCAATGGTCCCTACCAGCACCTCCTTCCACACTGCCAACACAGAGGAACATTGTATAGCATGTCGTAGGCCCAGATAGAAACCTGCACCAAGGTATGACAAGACAACCTGCTCTCCTGCATGGCTGCACTGTTCCAAATTTAGAATCGCTTCAAATGACAGATGACGGTATTGCAGGGATGCAGGATGCTCCCAAACTATCTGACTGCGCACCTCGTCGTCTGTGAAACATTTTTGTGCCGTAAATCCAAATATCCACAGGATGCGCCCCCACTCTTGTGATCTCAGTGAAATATCCTACTGTATGCAAGATGAGACTGTGCCGTTTGGTTGGCTCGTTTCATCTTGTGTGGCAGATGGTCACCACCACCTTCTCACTGCAGGATGACACCAGCACGCCTCCATGTCCTCCTGAACCAGAGAGGCAGGAGAGCGGACAATATTGTGCAGCATCCGTAACAGCAGCAGACATTTGGATAGATATGGGTCTGCGGCTTGCTCCTTGCTGAATAAACATGCAGAGGAACAACAGCAACTCAATCTCCCATATGCAAAACTCCCCGTCATTCACGTGTTGAAGGGCAGCAAATAAGTGATGCAAATGACACGCAGTCCTCCCACCCGATCTGTTATCAGCAGCTCGAACTTAAGTAGAGCAGAAAGATGCCACATCAGACTCAACATCCCAGGACTTTGGACTATCAAACAGGCTTTCTTGACTTTCTCACACGGTTTGTGGTTGAGGTTGAGGAGCATGTCTCTGTCAGGTAAAATGTGTTCGGACCGAGTCGAAACTTCCATCTCTTCCTGCTGCGCTGTTTTTCCTTTAACCTTTGTGCATGTGTTTAAAATTCAGTTGAATCTCCATAATGGATTTGAGTACATTAATTCCTTTCAGTCAGCACCATTCCTGAGTATCACTCCTGTTCTTTATGTTTGATTTGGTAAATCAGTGATTTTTGTGGCAACATTTTAAAAAGTCAACAGTACGTCTTTGGCTCGATGCACAAATGCACAATGTAAACCGGTATGAATTTGCTCAACACTAGTTTGAGAGAACAACTCAGTGGGGAATGAGGTTTTTTTGATGTGATAGTTTCTGGCGACACTTCCGTATCCAGATGGTGCCTCGGGGTCAAATCGAAAAAACAAGAAACAAAACAAAACAAAAAACAGGCCATCTTGTTCCAACACAATCGCTTATTGTGTGGGTTATCTGTGGTCGGACTTGTTCAGTCTTTTGATGTCGAGATACAGGATTATATTCTCTTTATTAATCAAAGTGAACTGTAAAAAATAGTTCAGACAGTTGAACACTTTCCTGGCATTGCATCAAAGATCGTTACTGTCTCGGTTTTCGGTTGAGTCAGGGTTCATTGTGTTTAAAGAGCGGTTATTAGGGAGGTCGGGTTGTCTGATTGATCTGGGCCGTGTATTGGTTTGATAATCTGCCAGGCAGCCATGTTCATCACTGGTCATTGACTCTGGAGAGCCCTGAGGATCTGCCCATCTGCCTGCTAAGTGGTTCTTATTGCAAGCTGTCGCAGCGCTTTGAATTGATTGGCATAAACGTCAGTCATTAATAAGACATGTGGAGAGCTCGACTTTCCGAACGACACCTGACGCTTGTGTTTCACCTGTGGGGAACCAAGCAGGAAGGAATCAGCAGAGAGGAAATGGCAGCAACAGGAAAGACAAACGCTTGCGTCATTTGGACAGTGACAGTGGTTGAATGGATATAGTGATCTCTGAAAGTCTTTTTTTTTTTGTTTTCAGTGCTGCTAAATATGGATCAGCCACAGAATTATTAAACATTTACATCACAAAGATTAATAAGAGGATATCAAATAGTGGAAATATTGGAATGTACTGTACGGCTTGGACACATATTTTGTTAAGTGCTATACAAACAGCAGGGCTTTTGTGTCGCAGTCACCCTAAAGCACATAAAGCAAAATGTGTCTCAACGTCTGTATGCTGAGAAAAGCAGAGCTGCAGTCTGTGCGGCATTAAAATGTTGACTCAGTTAGGTGGGGGACAGAAAGAGACTTGATATGAGATCTGGCAGTGGAGTTGATAGGAACATGCTCTCATTTAACCGTAATTGTTACCTGCAGACTATTCACTTGGTAAATAGGTCAATGAGAACACTGGCCCCTGCCAAGAGCGCAGGCAATGAGGTGAACAATGGTGCCGTGAGTGAGTGTCTGGATGTGGATATTAAAAAACTTTAAATGTGTCTAAATCAGATTTTTGATATCTCATACAGGATTTTTGTAACTAAATTCCTGCAAAACTAATGACATTCCCATCAGCCTCGTCTGTACTTTGTGTTTAGTAAAACAAGATGGTGGACATGGTATTCCTCATTATCATACTGCTTATCCATTTATAGTCTCACATTGGGTGAGGGCGGGTTACACCCTGAACAGGTAGCCAGTCTCACATGTAGACACAAACACCCCATTCATGCTCACATTCACACCTATGGGCAGTTTAAAGTCGCCAATCAACCGGACCTGCATGTCTTCGGTCTGTGGGAGGAAGGCCCCAACTGGCATGACCTGCACGATAGGTTGAGATACTGTAACGCTCTTTTTACCTGTCTGAATCAAACTTCTTTGAGCCGTCTCCAAACTGTCCAAAATGCAGCCGCTTGGCTTTTAACCAGAAATAGCAAATAGCAAGAGAAATTAAATAAATTCCGTATCCATTTTAACATACCGGTGCTCACCTTTAGAGCCTTGCACGATCAAACACGCCCATAAATTGCTGACCTCCTCCTCCGAAACCAATCGGTCTACTAAACAAAAATTACTGGCCGTCCCTGGAACCTGCTAGAAAACCTGAGGTGAGCGTGCTTTTCAAGCCGTGGCACCCAAACTATTGAATGCTCTGCCCCTGTCCTTCTGATCCATTCACTCCTGTGACGGCTTCCTTTAGCAGGGGAAAACAGTTTGCCTTGGTTAGTTTGTCTGAATACCTCCTCCATTTTATCTTATTGCTTTTTATTTATTGTATTGCTTTTTATTGTCTTATTTATTTTTCTTGAACTTTTTGCACTTTTTTATGATGTAAAGATCTGTGACTATTGTGATGGCAGATGTGAGGCCTTATGGATATTTTGCTTATCAGTTCATCTGGTTGCCTTTTCACTATCCATTAAGTGTCATTGTTCTTTTAGTGCGCTTCTGTACAGTTACGGTTACAGACTCTCTCTCTCCACTTCCTACACTCATATTTGAATCTAATTCATTTGCCAAAAAAGAAACAAAACATACAATAAACAATTTTAAAGATTAATTTAACTCATAGCATTATTATTATTATTATTATTATTATTATTATTACTTAATTTTCTATTGATTGTGTTTTTGCCACAGTAATTGTGCATTTGAAATCTGATATGGTGACAACCTTACTCTCAGCATTCCACTTCCTGTTTACCGTAATCCCGCTTGCCTCACTACTAAATAGGTTTAATGTGTTGTGACTGTGTTTCAAGTTAACTGTACAGCATTTGTACGAGAGCTGACTGATATGCAAACAAAATCATATCGCGATCATTTTGGCAGATGTTGTGTTTTGTGGTATGAGTCACGATTTCAGTTGTAATGGTCATTTTTGCATTTTCATTTTTACTGAAAAAAAAAAAAATCAAAATGTTGATGATATGATTTTGAGTTGGGTCACGTACCAAACAAGCATGTTCTCTTATGTCTGGAGAACATGAATTGTAGACCGGGGGCATCTCTGTGGCAACACGATTCCTCATTTATGGTATGTTGTGACGCATTTTACCTTTATTAGAAAAAGTGCAGCTCCTGTGATAATGATATTGCACTTGGCCATATTGCAATCGATAATATTCTGATTAAATGTTCAGTCCTAATTTGTACGTAATAGAAGGTTACATGTGATGAATCACAATACAGTGCCACAGATTAGGACGTAAACACGGCGCTGTTCAGAAGTAGCATCACTGACTTTTGACCCCACAGTAAATCTGTGCCTCAGACTGGTCCCTGCTAGGAGCGAGTCTTGCCAACATAGCCTACTATAACGTTGGATTAGGCAAATGAAGTCACAAAGACTCTTTGATATGAGATTTTTAATAATTAACATCTCAGATAGGACTTTCTCCATTACACTTGCCCTCTGGCAGGACACTTTTGGACATAAATTGTGCTAAAAGATTTGAGAGAATACAGTTTGACCTTTGTTTCATTTTTTTGCAAGGAGAAGTGCATTAACATTTAAAGAAAGGCTCATTATTTACTGTCTGTTTGCTGCAGGATTTGTATTTACTTCCTTTCACTTCAAAAATCAACAAAATATGTAATTTGCCCAGGAGTGCCCAATGCTTTGCAAACAACTGTAAGTGGATACCCAACAGTACAGTTGGTAGTGAGGTTGCCCCACATATACACACAGACACACACACACACACACACACACACACACACACACACACACACACACACACACACACACACACACAGAAAAAAAAGTGCACACATTACATGTCTGTGTCACTTCCTTATTGCCCTGCTGATCTTTTCAGCTGGCACATCAGTCGTTCAGTGTTTCATTTCATCTGGTCGCTGCGCTGAAACGTTCAACATGTGGACTTATGGTCAGTGTTACTGCTGCTGCTACATCGTAAAGGATTTACAGTAAAATCACAGACAGGACTCGGTGGTTTCTCAGTTTCTCACTTTGAATATCTTTGTTTTCTTATCAACAGAACAGAGGAAAAAATACTCCAACTCAAATTTTATCATGCATGAGACGTCGCAGTATCACGTCGAGGTAAGATCTTTTCTGTCTCTATGAAAAGTTAAACACGTGTTTTTTTAAATGTGACACTTTATGTACTTTTTTGAAATCAAGCAAAATATATATAAAAATGGAAAGATTGGTAAATCTCACCTCATGTGTAAAAGTATTACAGCTGAGGTAGATGGATCAGTGTGAGAGGCACTACACTTCAGTAAAGTGAAATAAAAAGTTAATGTTTAATAGGTTTTTTTGCAGTAATAAAAAACTCACTATGATTGATTTCAGACTTTTCCATTTTCCTTTTGATTTATTATCATTTTGTATTATCTGAATGTTTATTCAATTTACTGTATTATTATTATTTAGTTGCATATTTATGTACCTGTTCACCAGACTGGTGATAACTGGGAGATAAAGAAAGGCGATAGAGATACCATGAGTTTTTTTTAAAAAGGGACCAGATTGTGTATTTTTAAATGTGTATAAAAATGAGCAGTTAAGATGGAAAATCTAATAACTGGCGACATAATGCAAAAAAGGCTTAAAAAAGAAAAACAATCTTAAACTGGTGCTCTATAAATGGATGGATCTATAGTTTAAACAAGGTCAGTGAATGTGAACAACAAGATAAAAGCAAAGCACGTATTATAAATGTAGTGTAATAAGTGCTTTACTGGTGTTGTTCTTTTGCCCAAAGATAAAAACTGACAGACCACTTAATGTCTTGATAACATCTAATTTACGGGAACACCGCCTTAATAAAGTTGTCACGTCTCTGACAGCAGCAGTGGGAACCTGATGTTTGGAAGATTCAATCAGAGACATGCTTCAGGTTAGGGATGGTGTTGAACTATGTCCCGCGTCTGCGTGGATAGGATTTCTCTAAATGCCTCCCCATTATCACACATGGGCAGGTAAACACAGATAACAGCCACAGTGACAGTGGCGCCACACGCAGACTCATATGTAGCAATACGGCCGTTTTGACATCAGATAAAACAGGGCAGTAATTTAAGATGCTATATAACAAGGGAACATGAAAAATGTTGCATCAGTTGAAATAATTTTGCAATAACAGTTCTAAGAAACAGGCCTGAATGATGATAGAGTCCAGTTAACAGTTACAGTTAAAGGAACAGCTTGACCCTTTGGGACATAAGCTTATTTGCTTTTTTGTCGAGAGTGAGATGAAAACATCGATACCACTGTCATGTCTATATGTTAGCTTAGTTTAACAAAAAGAATAACAAAAAAACAATTTGGAAACCAAATCTGCCCATCATTAAAAGCCACTATTTAACACTCTGCTAAGCTAAGCTAACTGCTGGCTCCACCTTCATCTTGACAGTTAGTGATAGAGGTATAATTTTTCTCATCTCACCCTCAACTCTCAGCATGAAAACAAAAATGTATATTTCCCAAAATGTTGTACTATTACTTTAATACAAACAGTAAATAATGTATATTTCAAATTCCCACCAACAACTTTCCAAAGTAAATCTGTCCTGCTTTCCATACAGACAATGATTTTAGTTCAAACCAGGATCATTTATCAAACTGTTTGTTTCCCCTCAGCATCTCTCCACGTTCATTATGGACAAGACAGAGTCCATTGTCACAGTGGACGATGCCATTAAGAAACTGGTTCTTCTGGATTCAAAGGATAAAATATGGACACAGGAGATGCTCCTCCAGGTCACTGACAATGCGGTCAGACTGCTGGACTGCGACACACAGGTAGCAGCTCCACACCTGCCCACACATCGAGCACTGAACGTGAAATGAAACATCACATTTACAGATTGCTTATAAATTATTTACAGGAGGCCTACATTACAAAGTGGGTGTGTTGATTCATCAAATGAGCGTATTTGCCAGGAAGGAAAGATCTAATGACAGATGCCGTTGTTGCATTATGGGAAGTGCAGGATCCAGTGTTTTAAGAACTCACGGTGCATTGATATTGACCACTTATTTTAATCTGTCTCAAAAGTTCTCCAACTTTTTTTAAGTGGCAAGACTAAACTGCTCAAGTGCCTAAGGGGTAGATGAGAACATTGATAGCGCTCTCATGTCTGTATAGTATGTATAAAATTACAGCCAGCAGCCAGTTAGCCTAGTTTAGCATAAAGACTGGAAGGGGGAAGTTTGTATTATTTTATCTCACTGAGGACTTTGCCAACTCATGTTGTTCCTTCTCCGCCTCCACCTCTTTCGCTCTAACCACTATTGTGTCGTTCTCCTGCAGGAAGAGTTGGAGAACTTTCCTCTCCCCACCATCCACATGTGTCAGACGGTGCTGAATCAGACACGCTACACCTCTGTGCTGCTGCTCGTGTGTCAGGACAAGGAGCAGCACAAACCCGACATCCACTTCTTCCACTGTGACGAGGTGGAGGTGGGTCTCGGTTTGAATTTTACAGGCTTGGCTCAGTTTGCGTCCTTTATTGTCCACACTCGATTGGTTGGCTTTGTCTTTTATGTCATTCATAAATCTAAGGGCCTGTTGTTAGAGTGCTAGGTCAGATTTCAGTGCTGTTCGTGGCTGTGGGTTTGTGTGTATCCTTTTACATTTTTTTTTGTCTTGTTCAGAGATTTTAGCGCATGAGAAGATCTACCACTGAAAGGCAGTAATCCAATAACCACTAAGACGTGACCTCTTTATTGTATAGAATGACTACTAGTAAGTTCAACAGAGGCGTTTACAAGGCACCGCGGATCATCATCGACATTCACTAGAGGATATGAATATAACAACCTTTGGTTCATCGCCATTGTCTTAATTGAAACAATATAATGAAAGTTCTTACTCATCAAAACTGTGATGCAACTGTCATTTGGTGTGAAGGAGGAGCAGAAAGCTTGGCGCGTTCAGAGTCTTTAAGATTCAGGAGAAGAGCTGGATGAACTGATGAATTTTATTTCACCACACACAAGCTTTTCTAGAGCAGACATCACAACACAAACAAACACAGTACGCACGTCATTGCAAACCCTGTCTGTTGCCTGTTTTTTGATGTAATTTAAATAAGTTCACACTGCTGAGAATCCTAACGTAAGTAAGAAGGGTACAACAACAGCAAAAGCGTGGGCCGAGTGCTCTTTATTTTTGGCAGCAGCCAGGGATTTGTGTCGTAGATGATCAAAGACACAATGATTGAAAAACATGAATTTGGCTGTAAGCTTTAAATCCAAATGACAAAGGATCAGAAACAGGACGGAAACCAATTCTCAGCATGAATGCTGTTCATAAACAGAATCTAATTAAAAACTGATATATCCTGTCCTTTCTTCCCCTGCCCTCCTCATTCCAGTCCTCAAAACAGTGATGCCAAAAACTGTGCAACACTGAACACAAATATGTGGCTTAAACTGCACAGAGAGGCATCACTTCTATCACACCTCTCCTCTACCTCTGGAGACATGTCAGATGTAGGCAAGCTTTACAGAAGTGAAGTGTGTAGGATTTTAAACTGCGTCGGACACAAGACGAGCCTGTAGGTGTCTTATCCAGAGCACCTTTCCAGCAATGTTGCATTTGAGACAGCAAAGCTGCAGTTGGAGGCAGGGAGGTGAAAGAACATTTTTCTCTAACTATTGCATATTGCAAACTGCATATTGATGTGTGTAACTCTGTATACACAGTGCACATGTTGAGTCTGCCTCCCTGTGTTTCTCCTCGCTCTCTCCAGGCTGAGATGGTTCACGCAGATGTAGACAGTGCCATTGGAGACAACAAGCATGGAAAGAAAATGAGGCTTCAGACTCTGAAGTGAGAACATTGCTGCTGCAGACTGCAGACACACACACACACACACACACACACACACACACACACACACACACACACACACACACACAGTCTAATGGTGACACTGATCTGTAATCAGTAGTAAGTGAACTCAATGTTAGGGTGCTGAAGGTCTCCTCCTAATCATCCAGGGTGAACCAGGAGAAAATGAAGCGTCACAGAGAAACCATCCTCCCGCCCTCGGCGCCCAAGGGCCCCTCACCTTCTCCGAAGGGACGAGTGGCGGCCACAAGCACACAGGGTGAGTGTGCTCACAAGAATACGCTCTTTACATGCACCGTTCATCAAAATGATGTTCTGTCAGTGGCGGCGTTCCTATGTTTTGTTTTTGTGTGTGTGTGTGTGGATGTAGCTAGACAAGCCCCTGGACAAAATGACACGGAGTCGCATGAAAAGCTGGCCCAGCGCATTGAGAAAGATGTGGTGCGTGTTTGGTTTTTTTTATTTATTTTTATCCATGATGATATTACACAGCTCCTTTCACTGTCTCACGATGCTGTATTCTACATGCTAAACCCCAGGATTTGTCTCCCACAGCAAATCCTCAACTGTGCCCTGGACGACATAGAAATCTTTGTGGCGCAGCTGCAAAAGGCAGCAGAGGCCTTTTCCCAGCTCAACCACCGCAACAAGAGTAAGAAGAATAAGAAGAGAGGACCAGCAGGTCTGTCTCCCTTTCTTCTGATCTGGTGGCACGAATGCAGTGACAATATGTTCATATTGCTCACGTCGCCATGTTTGTGTCTCTTTGTGTCTCTTTGTGTCCTGTGTTGCGGGACATCCACTGATGTATGTGTGGTAGTAGAGGCTGGTTTGGGGTTCTGATAAGCAATACAAATCTCATCACTCAGTTTTAATCACTGATGTAATATTATTACTTCTTATTCACTCCAATAGAGTGCTGATCTGCTGTATTACTCTCCTGTTACACCTACACCTTTGGTGATTGTTCAATGCGCTTCTGTCTGAATTGCATTATTTTTTGTTGTTGTATGTTTTTGTCTGACAAATTTAAAAAGAAGAGTTGATCTTAATTAATCTTTAAAGGAAGTGACACCAAAAGTGTCATCCTAATAATTATTAAGAGAAGTAATAATATTACTGTTGTATTACTGTACAGTGGTGTGATGCTGTGTTCTTACCGTATATCACCACATCTCATTACCTGTGTTGTGAGACATACATGTAACACACACGTGAGTCTAAAAAACAATCTATTGTTGTCTGCGTTCGAGGTCAGGGGAAAACACACGTGCAGTGACTGTTACTTTTACACACATCATTTGGTAATAACAGTGTAAAAGTACCAGAAATGTGTGTTGCCCCTGACTACACAGACAGATGTGCTGAAAATTGATGTATTCTCTATCCAGAGAATCAGTTTCTCAACATTGGGGTCAGAATCCCATGTGCAGTCACTTGTTAGACAAAAGATTTTAAACGTCATGTATTGATTGATATGTTTGTTTTTTTTTAAATATTCCTAATTTAAAAATAAAAGCAGTAGGTATGAGATATATCATACCCTTTACAGTAAGCACAGTGGAACTTCACAACTCCTGAGAATACAATTTAAACGAATATCACACTCAAATTGACGTCACATAACTCTCTGTATTTGGGGTCATGAGAACTACGGGACCTTCTGGGTCGCAGGTTGAGAAACTCAGATGTAGCACATTCTTTCTTGGGCTTTTACTTTCTGTCTAAGGTGAAATTTTCATCTGTGAAGCTGTTTATTAACTAACCATGATTGTGTTGCTAACCTTTGTTTCACCGGAGTCATAAGCTAAAAAGACATAAGATAGTACGAACGAAAAATAACATTTAGGGTTACGACTGTGAACCTTGACCAGAAAGTAAAACCTGTGTCTGTAATGTTTCTGTATGGTAAGCTGGTAACTCAGGAGTCTGTGTGTGGTCATTGTTGCTCTGTTTGTTTACAGAGGGCATGCTGACGCTACGAGCCAAGCCCCCCTCTGAAGCAGAGTTCATTGATAGCCTGCAGAAACTGAAGCTGGCCTTGAACCTCTTGGTGAGATATCACAGCTCCTAACCTCCCCTGTTCTTCCCGTTCATCGTCAGCTGCCTCTCTCCTCATCACCTTCTCACTGTCTGTCTGTCACTGCGCCCCCTGCAGGCCAAACTGAAGAAACACATACAGAATCCAAGTGCGTCTGAGCTGGTTCATTTCCTCTTCGGCCCTCTGGAGCTGGTAAGAGCTAAAAAATCATGTTCAGAACAGGTTTTTATGGATGAGGGCTGTCGTACAAGGCGATGACATCAGCATGAAAACAAGGCGATTTTTTCTGGATGTCAACAGTATAGATCCATGTCACACTAAATAAGTTCTAAATATCATTGGATACCCTCAGTGTTGACGCACAACCACAGGAACATCTGACAACGGTACACTGAACTTTTTTTTTAAAAGCACAGAATCAGAACAGTTTAGTGTTTGCATTGTCGCCATAAAACACTCCTCTTACTGTTTTTTATTTTTGTCTGGCACCACATCCACTGCTGCTCTGCTAATCTCTCACCAGACTGGAGCGACGTGGCTTTCAGCTCTGGCACAGGCGCTGCTGCACTTACATAATGTTGGTTTCCCAAGCCTCAGCGTGCAGCCACACCCCTCGATACTGCTGGTTAGAGACACAGAGCAGTGATTAGGCTCTGTGTTGATATGGTGCTGTAACCTCTGGACACTCTGGATTTGCTTGATAAGGTCGAGATAAAGACGGAGCAGTAATAAGTGTGGCCCCATGGCCATTAGCTGTCCTCGACAATCAGTCTCAGTACACAGCAGCTTCAGCCACATCTGTCTTCAATTTCTAATCGCTTTAAAGTTCAAATGAGACATCATTAGTCTGTGTTTTAGTGGACTGAAATTTGTCAAGCAGTTAACTGTCAATATTTAATCCACAATGTTGCTATTAAAATGTTTGTTTAATAGCTGTTGTTTATCGCTGTTTATTTATTGCTCTCAGGCCTTATACAAAAGTGTCTTGAGATTGAATGGCGGAAATATATTGCTCCCAGTTTTTGTGGCATCAGACATTAAACTGTCGAGTACTGAAATAGATATTTAGATGCTCCCTCTGGATCTTAGTCTTGTTTATTTCTTCTTTGTAGAGAAATATTTTTATATTGCCCAAACCAAAGGGGAAAAGTAGTGGTACTAAAACTCAGGCATCATTGTGTCACCACTGTGTTACATTTACAAAAAAAAAAAACTGCATGTGTCTGTATAGACAAAGCCTCTCTTCTGTGGTGTCACATCAGTATGTCTATGAATGGGTCCACAGGTGCTGCAGAGCTGTGGGAGTCCTGAACTGCCGCGTTCGGTCATCTCTCCTCACCTTTCCAAAGATGCTGTTGAATTCCTGCGGGGACACCTCAGCCCCAAAGAGTTGACCATCTTTGAGCTGCTGGGGGAAGGATGGACCAAACCCAGGTACATGTGTATCAAGGCTGGCTCAGTCTGAACAGATGTGTAGCTTAAAGGTCACCTATTGACGATGCCTTTACTCCTCCTGCTCCTACAGAGCAGAATGGTCCAGGGATCAGTGTGCTCCTCCTTATTACCCGAAGTTTCGTAACGGCTGGGAGCCGCCGATGGAGCTCTTCAGGACAGCCCCATGGGAAACAGAGGGACCCACAGGGCTGGGGTCCCCCAGCAGCCCTGATTATAGGAAACACTCAGCCGAGGATGTAAGGGTTATATATAATGGCTGTAAATGCACTGATCATTACAGACCCCAACCCTTGAAAACATAACACTCTGCCTGTATTTTCAGTTTTATGGAACTCATTCCTCAAGCTCATCAAACGGGTGAGTAATAAAATCCTTCACACACTTTCTCACCAAACAACACAAACACAAAAACAGGTCAAACTGTGATAAAATGTGTCTTAACAGGTCTTATAACGGGAAGACCCACACCCGAAAATATGCCAAAATTCGCTACCACTTTGTAGCGCGGAATGCCAACGAGCTGTCAGTGCTGCAGGATGAAATCCTCGAGGTGAGGAACTGTTTCTTCTTTCTTTGCCCTTCGTGTGAAGCTTAAACCAAATATAGGCGTGGATGTGGTATATGGCAGGGATGAAGCCAGCCCTCTCTAGTTGTCAGCGAAATTCAACATGTCAACTTTGCTGTATGTGATTGTGTCCGGTGTAAACAAGCTGTAAACTGTTAAAGTGAACAGACAGCCCAGGACACAAAGCAATATTGAGTTTAATAGCGGATTTCAGCGCTGCGAAGTGAGATGTGTGCATCGTTTCTCACAGGTGATAGAGGATGACAAACAGTGGTGGAAACTACGGAATCGAAGTGGCCAGGCCGGCTACGTCCCATTTAACATCCTGGACGTGGTGAAGATAGAGGAGCCAGAGGGCAACTACAGTCAGGTGACCTGCCATGCATATTGTTTATCTGCAGTGTATTACCTATTACATTATTACCTGTATTAACATGACATTCTTTGAATAACACCCATAAAACTATGAGTCTATGAGGGTTCTTCTCTGCATGAGTCCTTAAAGGAAAAAATCCACTCTTTTTCTGACAGTTCTTAAAATCACAGCCTTCAGTGTCACATTTTGCATCTCTGAGTATATTCTGCAGCTGCTTGCTTTATTTTTAGCAACTAGTCAAACCAAACAACTTCATGTCATGACAGAAAGTTTCCAGCAGCTACACTGACTTTTGATTACAGAAAATAGTTAACACTCATTTTTGCAATAGTGTTAAATAATTGTTCGGACACCAAGTTCGGACTCAGTGGACCACAATGCAATGCAGCCATGTTCTGTTTTAAATAGATGTTTTTTTTAGTTTTTGATACCTTGAACATACCATATGTGTCGGTATCACTTTCACTCAACTACAGTTATCTCAGCTGCAGAAACTCTGGCATGTTGTCAGGAATGAATTTCGGGAAATGTGGGCAATCACGAACTAAAGTTTATGGTAATGAGACAGGTCAAGGTTTCTTTATCAGAGCTTGTGGATAAATTTGTTTTGCAGAGTAGGAATCACTGCTTCCAGGTTAAAAGTACAGATGATAATTAGGGCACTTGGACAGATAGCTCATTTGCTACAGAGTGTAGGGATCATGATAAAGAGATTTTCTAGAGATAAATAAGTAATCAGATGAATAGAAACACAGATAACAACAAAATTACTTAATTACAAAATGTTATCACAGTAGAGTCGTGTCATCTGAGCTCTGGTTCTAGATCAGTGCAGCCTCTTGTACAAACTCTCTGCTCTTATTGACATTGTGCAGCATTAGCTGCCCTCACTGAAAGCTTGAATTCCTAGAGACACACACTGCGCTCATATACACTGTATGCAGGTTCACCAACGCCCTGCAGCAAGTATTGCATGCAGCTACTCCTCCTGGTCTGAAATACTTTCACACACATACTTGGCTTTTGGCTCCTGGGCAAAAATGTATCAGCCAGAATGAGATGAAAGACAAACCTGTTTTTGGAATAATATCATCTGTGTTTTTTCTCATGAACTTTGTTTGTGTGTGTGTGTGTGTGTGTGTGTGTGTGTGTGTGTGTGTGTGTGTGTGTGTGTGTGTGTGTGTGTGTGTGTGTGTGTGTGTTTTCACGCACTTTTTTTTTGTGTGTGTGTGTGTGTGTGTGTGTGTGTGTGTGTGTGTGTGTGTGTGTGTGTGTGTGTGTGTGTGTGTGTGTGTGTGTGTGCAGCAAGGCTACAGGACGTCACCTCCTGGTTCTGTGAGCCATGGAGACAGTTTCAACATGGGTATACAAAAAGACAAAAGTGAGTGAACACAACAAAGTACAGATGTAGAAGCAGCTTTTACAAGTTGTTGCTCTTGTTCTGACGTCTGCTGCCATCCTGTTTCTGTGCTGCAGTGATGGATGATGTCACCTCTGAGTTATTGATGATGATCACTGCTAACAAAAGCCAGCCACCCGCCAGGAAGTTCCGTGTGGAGCGATCATCTGGCAGCCAAGTACCGCTCGCCTTTGACTCAAACCCAGAGCAGGTGACTGCATGGCTCAGCGCAAAAGGTTTCTCAAAACCGTAAGTCACCCATGACGCTCATCGATCCAGCAAATCAAAATACCTCCTCACACCTTAAAGAGTGACTTAACACCCCTTTGATAAGCTTGTCTTTGCTGATCTCCTGTGGTTCAACCTCTCACCTTGCTGCAGTGATGTACAGGTGCACTCCAGGACACTGTGACATCAGTGCTGGGTGTGGCTACAGGTGCAACAAAGCAAAGAGGCTTTACACTTTCAACCTGTGAGGGCAGCGAAACATTGCTTTTCAGCCTGGTGTTGAGTTACCCTTTAAGTTCTAACTGAAATTTCAGGAAACATTAAAACCTTACCCCGTGTTTCTACATTGTTTATGCAATAATAGATACAGCAGTTGCGGCTGTAGGGATTGCAGTGTCAGTCAGTCTGTCTGCTACTTTAGGTCAGACTGAACTATCTGAACATCTACTTCATAGCTTGTCATAAAAAATTTTGCACAGACCAGGATGGATGGAGAATGAATCCTATAGATTCTGGTGATCCCATGACCATTTGTCATTTATGATTTTGAGTAAAATATCTCAACAACAATGAAATTTGTTGCACATATTCATGTTCCTCTCAGGAAGATTTATCATGAGTTTATTGAATTTTTAAAATTTATGAGCAAATACTTGAAAAACTAATCACATTCCAATCAGCTTCTGCTGTAGTTTGTGTTTAGTGCTATTAAGCAAATGTTAGCATGCTAACACGCTAAACTGAAATGGTGAACAAGGTGCACTGAGTACAATTACAGCCAGGATGACGGTGGACTATTAGTTTTGTTCAAAGATATTTTGTTAATTGAACGCGTTATTATTGAGACTAACAGCAACATGTCCCGACTAATGTGTTGTTTCCAGATGTGTCAACCGTCAACTGTTGTTACTTTTTCTTTCTTTTGTGTCTAGGTTGTTATAGACTTTTTTTATATTTCATAGGATGAAAAAAGCAGGTGTCATCAATCTTTAAGGCTTCCAGAGAACCAGCACATACACTATCATGATACTGGAAAAGACACACCCCAAAAGAATCCAGTTATAAATGTTATTGATTACACCTGTGCATTTCTTGCCTTGTCTTGTCTGCAGGACGGTTGAATGTTTGGGGATCCTGACGGGAGCCCAGCTGTTTTCCCTCAACAAAGAAGAACTGAAGGCGGTGTGTGGAGACGAAGGCAGTCGTGTCTACTGTCAAGTGACTGTACAGAAAACACAGCTAGAGGTTGGTCACACACCTGTCTGTACCTGAACATAAACCCTTTACACACCTTTTTTATTCATGGTTAGACAAAAAAAAATCTAACCCAGAAATGAATACACCTGTAGAAATGTTGAAATCCTTCTATAGAAATGAATGAGACCGCCATGTCTCAACTTAGTCTTTATCTGGGCATGTTAAGACAAGTGAACACACACAGGAATACAAACGCTCGTGTCAGTGTCAGACTGTTAGGGAGTCACACTTTATGATTAATACAAAAAATGGGTGTGTACATGCAGTGATCAGGCCAGAGCTAACTAGGCAGGATTATTTGTCAATTTAACCCTTCTATGTGAATTTCTATATTCATTATAACAAGCATGTACAAACAGAGCAGAATAAATGAAAAACCCCGAAGTGAAGCAAAATGCCTCTATAGCAAGTTATTAGTGTCAAATATACGTGTGTCACATTTGAATTTATATTTGTGGTCTAAAGGAAACTCGTCTACTTTGGTATCTTGGTGCAATCGTTTATCACATTTTTTGGCTGCAGAAATAGATAAAATAATAACTGTGACATTATTAATTACCTGTTGCATTGCCCATATTACTATAAATAACATTAGGATATATGCGAAATTTGGAGTAAATAGAAGGACATGTTTTTATTATGCTGTTTTTCCTTTCATGTGCATCCATTATCCCTGTAGAGACCAAATACTCTACATGTACATTACATTCTCGCTTTTGCACAACATTTAGGTTAATTATACGATGTGATGTCCTTAATCATCTTACATCTGACCAGATCATTTGCTGTGTCTTCCCTTGTTTTAACATGCCCTGATAAAGACTTTGTATTTATTTTATTTATTTAACCAGAAATTATTCTTCGATAATAAAAGTGGCACTCCTTAACCAGCCTGTTGCCTTTACTTTTACAGATTTGAATAGGAAAATTCAATAAAGAGACATTCATCTTCTTTTATTTCCATACAGCAAACCAATGGAGACTCAGAGCTGCAGGAGATCATGAGGCGGAGGCAGGAGAGAATCGACTCAGGCAGCAAAGACTGAAGCTGCCGACCAGCACGACCCATCCAGGCGCTTCTTCTCCTGCTTAAATCAATCTACCGTTAATCATGACCCACAGTAGAACATGCGTTATATGTTGTATACATTTTAATTGTTGTATATTTATTTTGTATCATGCAATGTGTATGTATCCAAGTGTTTTCTCATCTAATTCTTTTGCTTTTGTCTTCATTGTCTCATTAGACTTTTGTCATGAAGAGATGTTTGTGTACGAAAAGAGGAACATATATAATGATGTACAGTTTGGTTTGTGCGGGTGTGTATGTGAGTGTGTGCGAGCATGTATATGCACAACGTGTATGTAACATACATATTTGTATGAGCAGTGTAGTCGATGTGTATGCTCATTGTCATTAATGCAGCTGTTTACTTAATGACCTGGTAAATAAGTAGATCTTAGCTGTTGCTGTATCTAAATCTGTGCCAGAATGTGTGACACGTCTTCTGATATATAGCCAATTATTTTCACATCACTGTTTACAGCTATAGAAAATAATAAACCGTGCTCTGTGATAGTCCTCTGAGCAGATATCAGAAATACAGCACTCATCCTGGTTGGTAACTGGAAATCAGCAGTAGGTCTTAATCTAAATAATCTTGCTGTTTATAATCAGAATTCAGACATTCACCAAACAGAAAGTCACAATTATCATTGTCGATAATAGTGAAATGCTGTCATTAATATGGTTTTTTGCAGCATAAACTGCACTGACACAGGAAAATTAAGTAGTACATACAGGAGAGTACATTGCTCTGCTATGAATAATTAAATGAAGACTTAAACGAAACGATGTAGGGGGTTTGTAAATACTTTGGGACGCAAGAAGATAATCAAAAATAAACTTGGTAAATATTTGATATCACATCTTCTTTTGTACATCATTTTAGTGTTTTTGTCTGGATTAATAATACCAGAGGTGGAGAAACAGCCAACACAGTTTCTTTATTGTTGTATCAGAAGATGAGAAAAGAGTTGCAGTTAAAGAAGGAAACTTTAGGTTTGACAGGAGATAAATACAAGTGCAGAACATTTTAACCCTGTTACACCGGAGCTGGCATTTGTCAGCGTAATGGTCATGTTTTATTGTTCAAACGGTATCACACATGATAGATAAAGAAAAAAAAAAACATCACTGTAAATAACTCACGATCAGTTTTTCATTGTTGTATTTATAACAGCATACTACTGTTGCTCAAGATACTGTAAGGCAATCCTACGTGCACTAAAATAAATCCTGCACAGAATCTGAAAAGTAAGCTAAGACTTAACTATAACACCAACGGAGAGAAAAGATCATTCCCACACTTCACTGGATTATAAAACCAAACAGATACAATCGATTTGTGATGCAGAAGAGGAGAGAAACACCACTCCTTTCAGGTATAGTGTAGGGAATACACTTTGTCATTTATGGAGATATGCATCAAGCCAGAGATCTCCTGAGTTTTTCAGTGACCTGAGAAAGAAAAAAAAAATGTCAAAAAAACATCAGTTAAACAGCAAGTGGACCATCACTCTTGTTTGTTTTTGGGTAAATCTAAGACCTTGTGGGAGTATGTATTTTGTGGAATTACCATGAACTGGTCATTTTTACAAATATTGTTGATACATTCTGTGTTCATTAATCTGTCACTGTAGGTTCACATGCATCTTATAACCAATATACTATTATAATTTAAACTAGAAAAAAACAACTGTCCTGTCTAATAAGTCTTGAAACTGTACAATGGCAGTCATTATTAAACGTACCTGACAATATCAGTGAGGCCCTGCCACATAGTTTTCATTTGGTAAGGAATCCCATGTTTCTCACACAGTGCACGTACATGCGGGGCCACCAGGTGGTAGTTGTGGCGCGGCATCGTAGGAAACAGACTTCAGAGACAAAAGGAGCAGAGTGCGTTCATCAGACTGTATAACACATCCGACCTGTGTCAGCATTTGTTTTTAGCGGTTCAGTGTAGTGACAGTTGCCTGTGCACAATGACAAGCTTTTATTAAATGGGTTCACACTCAAAAGTTCACTTTTGGTGTCTGTGTATTATTTTGCAATGACACCTGTACAGCAAGACATGTCTACTTACATGCAGAAAATGTTCACTTCCAGACGACACAGACGAATCAATAATTGCGAGTTGGACATTGAAAATATAGTTCACCCAGAAATGAAAATTGAATTATCTCTAAAAAACATAAATCTATCGTCTTTTCTCAGTTCCACAAGCACGAGATACATCACTCTGTGCTTCAAATTCACTCAAGATCCAGAAATATAAATACTTTACATACTGTTTCTTGAAAACCAATTTTCTCAAACCCTCAATCAGTCTGAGTGTTGGTGTTCTACATGAAAATATTTTACTTCCAAAGTTTGAAGAGTTTGAAGAAGAGAGATTTTCTGGTTGTTGTTTTTTTTTAAAAGCAGATAAGCAGGTTTTGGGTGTTAACCTCTTAAAAATTTTTTTTCCCCCTTATAACTTTAACTTTGATTGCTCCACCCTTGTATATCTAATAATGAGAAATAGCTACTGAACCTGAAACCAAGCAGCTTTACGGTTGTTAAAATGGTCTTCTACAGTCATATTAGGTCTCTGCTGCATCAGCTTGTTCTAACTCTTCAGTGGAATTTAAAATGAAAACTCAGTGGGTTTGGGGAGTGCTTGGCTGCACAGTTTGAGTTTGTAATGGTTGGCCACTGCTTCTTAAAGAGTTAATTATTGGTATCATGATTTTCAGTAGTCTCTTGTGACTGTGCTCAGCCCCTTGTCTGCAAGCACAGAGGTCCTGGACTGTAATAGTTTGGCCTCAAAGCACTCGATGGTGATGATGCAGCAGAAGCTTTCAGAGATGTTTGACCGACCCTCTATGCCTTTTGTATCTGTAGAAAGATTGCTTCTAATTTCATCTCAATACTAAAAAAAAAAAAAAAGTTGACATTAAACTTTAGAAACTCTGTGTTTCTCCTACAAACTTTCAGCTGATGAGTCCACTCCTACTTACTGGTGTTCGATTTGAAAGTTGAGGTGCCCACTGAACCAGTCGTTGAAGAAGGACTGTTCGATATTACAGGTGGCCCGTAGCTAAAGAAGAAGAGCAGACAGAAGAGTGCAGAGGAGTTCATACATCGGCATCACTTGCAGGTGACTGTGGATTTCACAGCACTTAAGAGGTTTCCTTCATAAACCAGGTACCTGCATGGTTAACCAGTCCTGGTGCTTCTCATGGTCGATGTCCATTGGCAGATGATTCATCTGAGTCACCCACACAAACCAGTGACTCTCCAGAAACCTGTAACATTCACAACAATGCCAAACCAGTCACTGAATAATGTGTGACACCATGTGATCGAGGTGTTGTATGAAACTGAGCATCGTTCCTAATAAAGCGCTCTTCTACAAGTCTTTGTAAGCTGAGACGAATGGGTTTATTGATGTGAATAACTCATTTATTATTGATTTTTCACTATGAGATATAAAACACCACAAAGTACAACTTTTAAGTTTCCAGGGTTCTGGTATGTTGCCTTATAGACCACCTTCCCATTTAAATTTCACTGACAATGAATGTGTATCTACCACAAAGTTCCTACGACAAATTTTGACAGATGTCTTTTCAGAGGATGTGCTGCAACATACGTTTAGTATGTTAAATAGGAAGTGTGTTTGTGGTTTTATGGCAGAGTACCATGTACAAGATCTTTTACCTGACGAAGCTGATGAGCGCCACTGAGCCCAGCAGGCCATACAGGGGTATGTAACAGCAGAAGTAGCGAAGATAGTACGACATGGACCAAACCAGATCCTTCACAAGACAAGCAGGTTAATATGATTAATTTAATTAATTTGTTATCAAGACTCATGACTCCCTAACTCATTCCATATTTTTACATGTGTCATACTCACTCTGCAGTGTTTTAGTAAACCGTTTTTCTTTAAGTGTTGTAACACAGATCATTACATTAAGAACTGTTAGGCTACATTATATGAAAAAACCTCATTTAGATTTGTTCGTGCCACACAGAAGACAGGCTCTTACCACCCAGTCATGGCGGGAGATCATGGTGTGCATTATCTGAATGTGGAAGAAAACTGGAATGAGCAGCGGTGGTCCGACTGTAAGAGAGACAGTTACCAGTTATCAGTGCTCTAACACATTCATGGTTACATTCATTTTAAATGACTCTTGAAAAACATACCAAGAAAGAAGTACTGGTGTTGGCGATGGTAGGGCATGTGTTTGATCTTTTTTATGCCATACTGTAACAGAGAGGAAAACAGAGTTAAGAGTAAGCAGCTAGTGAAAGATTAAATCAGGAATCAGAAATATCAGCGTTGTGCTACTTGCCTCCACAGGTTGAGTGGCTCCAACTACAAAGATGCTCAACATGTTGACATCAGGGTCCTTTCTGAAGACGTTGGGTTTAGCGTGATGCTGGAAATGTCGATGATTCCACCAGTTGGCAGAGGCTCCCTAGGAAAACTGTATTTTAATATCTAAGTAAAAAAAAAATTAAGAAAAGAAATGCATGACTGAGACTCACCTTTAAATGGCCGATCGCAAACTTGTGCAACAAGTGATTCCAGCGGGACTTCTTGAAGACAGACAGGTGGCCGAAGTCGTGCTGCAGCCACCCAGCCTGCGACTAGAGAAGAAGAAGAGCGGTATTTTGACGTTTGTTTGCCACAGAATCGGACGTCATCAGAAACGTTTAGACCAAGAGATGATGGTGTCGGAGTCACCTGAGCGGTCGCCAGCATGACCGAGCACAGAAGCGTCAGCATCCAGTTAGTTCCCCAGTGCCATATCATCAGCCAGGCGAGGGCCTCCAGGAGCACGATGTGACACAGGTGGAGGCAGAAGAACAAAGGCCGAGCTCGAAACAGACCCTCGCTCTCTGCCTGTGCACGTAAAGTGTGGAAATCCTGTATGATTGCTGCCTGAGAGCGGAGAGGAGGGAGGAGACGGTGAAACAGATACATCCTGTGAAGCTCAAACGGTGACGTTCTGCTGTGGCATTTGCCAGTTTTAGAGAAATGTATGTTCTTAAAGCATTTGAGGAGACGTAGCATCAAGGTTTTCATACAGTAAAGAACGAGGAAAACAAAAGCAGCTTGAGTTATCTAACAGCTAACAAAACACGAGTGTCCAGAATCTCACACGTGCCTAAAAAGTCAACTCAAAAGCAGTTCTGAGAATGGTCTGACCTAATCTTGTTCCTCAGGTGTTTCCATGCATGTCACAGTGAGACTAAAACTGTTACATGAATAATGTGAGGTTTGCTTTGAAGAGGCTGAGATGAGTCTCACATTTTTGTTCCGGTCCTGGCTGGGCTCTGACGCTGCCAGCTCTCCGATCTGCAGGGGCTTCAGAAACTTTTGCACAAACGTTGGATTAGGATGAAAAGCAGCAAACGCCTCCTGGAAAACAGAGATGAGAAATCCTGTCTGTCATGAGGTAAATGAAAAGTTCTGTAGATTCATCAGTGGTGGAAGAAGCACTCAGGCCATTTACTTAAATAAAACTACCAGTGTTCTTCACAAATATGAAAAAAAATGAAAGTGTTTCATTTTTTAAGTTGCTATCACTGATATCAATAATACATAAGCTGCATTTTGCTGATCTGTATCTGGTCGAGGTGGAGCCTATTTTTGTTTTTTTTTTGTTTTTTTTTAACTTAGTTTTTATTTCAGCCAGTTTTATTTTATACAGTTTGGTAGATTAGTTTCTGAACTAGGGGTCAGGCTCCCTCCACAGGATCACACGATAAAACAGGCGTCATGAGATGATTGATGGGGTAGGAAAGAAGAACAAACAAGTTGAAAAAAGTTCTGTTGCTCAAATTAGTTTTAATTTTTCACACTTTTCTCTGACATTTGCTTTTTTTTCTTCTCTTGAACAGCTATTTAAATGAAGAAGAAGTTTATAGGGGAAATGTCTCTTTGGTTTGACTGCTAACAACTCATAGACACCTGAATCTGACATGGATCCCAGACGCTGCTATTTTGTGAAGGGTTAACCACTGTTTTAATATTTAATGATGTGTTGGATTTTATGAGCTCATGTGTTTTTATGTAAAATTTGAATAGGTTCAGTAACTTGTAAATACACCTGTCTGATAAATGCAGTATTTGGTGAGATGTGGTGGTGTGGAAGTATCAAGTTGCATGAAGTAAATGCTCTTAGTATGAACACCACAACCACAGTTATATTCTCTGAAGTGTGTTTATACATTACTTTTATTTTGAAGAATACACTAAGAAAACAATAAGCATATTTACTGTGGCGTCCTCTCCAGCGTAGTGGCTGATGACACGAAACCCTCCTGGATGCCTTTTGGCCCACTGAGTGATGTTGTAAACCTTTCGATCTATGACCAGCCACTGGTCGTTCCTGCTGCTGTGGCTCTGCACCTCCTCCCAGGTGTAGACGCCTCCAGCACGCCCGCTGCCCGGCTCTGTCAGCTGGCCCCCACCTCCCATCCTCACCGCTGTCTCTGGCCTTGATCCTCCTGCGCACTGAACAGCAACTCAGCCACGAAGTCTGACACCTGGATGTAAAAAAAAAAGAAAGAAAGAAAGAAAAAAAGGTGTTTTTAACAGCAATCTGAGAGTCACAGACTGAGCAGAGGGAGCAGCTTTCATAGGAAGAGGTTTTAACCTGTTGCTCTCTTTACTTTAACCATCAGCTGATAAGTCAAGTCAGACAAAGAGCAGGGCAACATCACTAATAATTGATGATGAAATCAACCAGGAGGCTGGCGCGTGTTTCATCATTTGTCTATATCGACATTAAACATGAATCTAAATGTCAAGAGCACACCTCTGCATTAATTTCCGATAATAATATATATTTAGGCTGTAACCCGCGTCGTATATTTTTATAGCAGCGCGTGTAGGTGGTCGCAGTTCATCATAACGTGCCATTAATGCGTAAAAACAGGTCACAAACACACCTATTAAACCACAAACTGCGCCTCGGTGAACGTTTATCGCCTGTGCTTTGATTAATTCAACAATCATCGCGGATAACGGGAGGCAGGCTGTGCAGCCCCCAGGCCCACTACATGAAGATGAGAAATATTTCACACTTACAGTTTCCAGATTTTTAGCTACTCTCTTTGGTCTTCAGTCACATCAGCAGACCAGCTCGCTTTATCTGCTCCCGTTCCGTTCAGGTCCATTTTAAATAGTAAACACCCCCAAAATCCATCCTGTGCCTTTCCTAATGTGTTCAGCGACACATTCACCCTCTCATTCAGTAGAAATTCCGAGCTGATCATTCGAGGGTTTCTGGGCCAATCGGCGAACAGTATATCCTGGACAGACGGGCTCATGTGCAATGGGCTCAACAAGCTGCTCATTGCAGCGTCGCCTGAGCGCTGAGATGGAAAGAGTCAGTAGGTGGACGTCGGTCTGACATTATCCCCCATTATAACAAATATTTACACATACGCACATTCAAGAGGTTCCTCACTAATGTATAACATTACTCAACATTGCCACTGTATAATTTCATATAGATTTTTTTTTCTGAAGCAAAGTAGATTGAATGTGCCTTTTTCATAAAAAGACTCTTTAATGTCAGTGATGTGAGACACCAAAGTGATATGATTAATGTTGTTAAATGTACTGTATTGTGTATCATATACATACTATATATTGTTGATGTCCCTTCAGTAAGTATTTCATTAATCTAAATACACATAGTTTGTAAGAAAAGTCAAATACAGCTTGATGAATATATGTAAGTGGATTTTTTGGCCAATTTGAGCATATTTTAAAATGTAATAAGTGATATAAGGGAGAGCCATAATGAGTACCTGTGTATTTTTTCATTGTCAGAACACTCCGGCACATGGCCTTGGCATTGGATTGTCACCTCAGTCATATACTTTCAAGTGGACTGACACTGTGTGTAATTATATTTATTCAACTGCTATGCTTATTATATTACAGAAATGCCTATTATCCTTTTACATATTTTGAATTTTTATAGGCTACTATGTGATTACTACTCGGCCTTGCATATTGCCCCTCGGAGAGGAATAAAGTGAATTGAATTGAATTGAATTGAATTGAATTGAATTGAACTGAATTGAATTGAATTGAATTGAATTGAATTGAAGTGAATTTAAAAGTGTTGTTTGATCTATATGTCAGATCTCAATGCTGCAGGAAGCACAGGGCCAGGCGTTTTCATGTCAATGTATTTCAGCTGGCTCCATCTCTAAATCACAAATATTGTTTATTGGGTATTTGCAGTCAAAAATAAGGAGCTTTGCAAGTTTAGTATGATGTGTTATTATGTTATTAATAACATACCACTGATGAGCACAGCCATTATGGTATGAAAATTGTCTTTTGCAGTTCCCACCTCCACCAGGGGGTGGTGCAGATGTGTTCCTTTGATCAGACACCACCTTGTCCTCATTTAACCCCGTGGATGCCTCAGCAGATATCATCACAGTCCTGTGTTGCCTCTGTCATCATCCAGAAACAGACGTGTAATTTAAATCAAATGTGATGTTTTATCGTTAATGATTTGCTCTTGGTTCATGATGATAAATGACTCCAAAGTGCTTTGGCAAAATTCTCAAATGATAATGAATTTATTCAAAACAACAAATTACTGGGCACTTGTCCACAGCAGATCTGAATTTCTCACTCCTTTACAAATTGCAAATGTTTTAGCACATATATGCAAATGAGTACATGTGTTGCTGATGAAAACTGATAATGTTGCTTCTCAGCTGAACAGTCGTACTCTCCAAAACATGTATGAATTCTTTCATTGTGTAAGTCTGTGTGAGTCATCACATGTACCAGTGAACTGTCACAATCTATCAGTAAGAAGATCTTCACAGTAATATGGATTTATTTGTAACGTCTGCTGAATATGTAAATTGCCTGTCAGGTGAAACTTGACTGTTCAGGTTTCTCACATCTTACATCAACCAATCACACATTCTGTCTCATCAACACTGGATGAGACAGAAACTCATCAACACTGGAATTATTCAGGTTACTTTTCAAGTTTTGTGTTGACTAAGGTGTAATACAGTTACTATATGTAAATAAAAAATACAGTAACAATTTCCATGTGAGTGCAATGTGTAATGTAAAACCTTGTACTGTTGAAATCTGCATCTGAATTGTATCCAGTTTGAAATAAAATTAGCAGTCAGTTAGCTGAACACAAATAACACTCTAGTAGCTACAGTAAAGTTTCAGTGTCAAGAGTGAAATGTGGATATAAGGAACGTTCCCCATACTGACAAAACATCTAAACATTTTGACCACCATTGTTTGCACAGTGCTAAACAAAGTTTTCATTTTGAGAGAGTAAGTAATGAAGAAAAACTGTAATATCTATATTTGTTTGAGTTTTTTAATTGCTTGTTTTTGTATATATACAGTATGTGCTGGCTGGGTCATGCAGTGCTTCATCTGCATTCAACACATTCACCTCCACAGTCACATCCATTCACCCCCCCGAGGTCTCTGTCTGTCTGTCTGTCTGTCTGTCTGCTGCTGCTGCTGCTGCTGCTGCTGCTGCTGCTGCTGCTGCTTACAGTCCATTGTGTCATTTCAGGGTCGTTTCAATGCGATGCAGAAATTTGCAAATCAGCTCTTTAAGTCCTCAGCATATCAGACAGGATTATCCTCAAGCAGCGTGCAGCCTGTCTCCCCGTTTGTCCGCCTCTTCTGCCACAGTTCATCAGGCTGACAGAAGCGCTGCACATCTGACCCCAGCAGCTTCTCCTGGCTTTTCTTCAGTATCACAACCAGCAAAACACACTGCCAATCAGAAAACCTGTCTGCTATTATCAGCTATTCAATAAAGTCAGAAGGCACTGTATTCAAGTCCAATTCGGATGTAGTAAATAGTAGTCACAGTAAGAGTGTTATCTCAGCATCACCTACAAAAAGTGTTAACATATTAATTAATAAACATTAAGTAATTTAAAAAAGACTGTTCCTGTAGCTTACTTAGATTTTATGAATGAGTACATTCTTGCTGGTTCTATACAGTGGTGGAAGAAGTATTCACATCTTGGGTATACATAGCAATAATCAAAATGTAAAAATACTCCATTACAAGTAAAAGTCCTGTCCTTTCCTATAAAATCTATATAAGAAAGAATACAGAGGTATTTTCGGTAAAATATCCCAGCAAAAGTACAATGTTACACAGGTGAAAGGCTATCAGTGTTTTGCATTATTATTGTTTTGGGATTACTATTACTCATGCACGATTTTGAGTCAAGAAGGAGCTCATTTTTATTCTTTAACAGTACTGTTTTTTTGTTTTGTTTTTTTTTATAGGAAGAGAATACATCATTTAGTATGTGTTTTAATCTGAAAGGTACTAGTTACTTTTACATCCAAGTAAATGTAGTGAAATAAAACATACAAATATTGGCCTCTGAAATGTAGTGGAAATGAAGTATAAAGTATCTAAATAAATATTAGTCAAGACAAAAGCCTAAAGATTTAGATTTTAGATACAGTACTTGAGTATTTGGTCACATTCCACCACTGGTGCTACACTTTAAATAACAGCATGCAGTTGTGATGGAGTATTTTCACATTGCTGTGAGTGGAAACGATGTGAACATTCTTTTACTGGAAAGTTCGTCTGTGCTGTAACTGTTGTTGCCCTTTTATCTAAAACTTGCTCAAGGCTCTTTCAAATTTTGCAGCTATTTTGAGCCACAGTGTACGAATACATTTTAGTCATGTCACATTCATTTCAATATCCATTGCATTATATCTATCTATCTATCTATCTATCTATCTATCCATCTATCTATCTATCTATCTATCTATCTGGTCGTTTCACATCATCTGATAATTTAGCATCAAAACTGAACAGCTTATTTTTCTTAAATTAGTGTAAAATACCACAATAACACTGCAGAAGACTAAACAACTAATTATCCTACAAATGAATGAATCAATAATTAAATAAATCTCTCTGGTTCTTGTGTCAGGTTGAACACTGTGAGTGTTGGCAGCAGTTTATATGTTATTCTTGTGTCTGTTCAGTGTCGAAGCAGAAAGTCGTCACAGTTTTTTAATTAGTCTATAAAAACCTGCTAAAGCTAATGTCTGTAGTGTTTGATAGCTTGATAGAAACCAATGCTGGGATTACCATCTTTGGAGGTCAGGGACACGGTGTGATGATTACTGTTCTCTTACTGTTCTACATGTATTAATGTATGATTATGTTTTCACAGTAGTGGTAGAAGTGTTTGGATCCTCAACTTACACAAAGTAAAAGTAGCAGTACTTCGATGTACAAGTAAAAGACCTGCATTCAAAATGTTACTGCAATAAAAGCTTGTAACTGTCATAAGCAAAATGTACCTAAAGTATCAAATAAAACTATATTAAAGGAACTAACTCTTCCTTATGCAGAAATGGCTCCTGTCAGTGTTAGCTGCATATCGGATTGTTGTGTGAGCAGTATTTGTAATGTTGTAGCTGATCGAGGTGTTTTGTTTTTTTCTTTCTGGTTTTACAGCATTTGACTCAAAACCATGGTTCCTTGGTAAGTGGTGCAAACATGTTCAATACAATAATGACAAAATAATGACAGGAACAAAGTACAGCAACATTATTTAAACAAAAAGACAACTTTCTTGGGCAATTTACTTCTGGGTGATCATACCAACATGAATTACAAATGCATATGGACGGTGTAAATAGCTCTTTGGCAAGTACTTTTTCCCTAGTTGTACACTGTTCTTACATTTTTACAATCAAGCAAAATATGACACTGGGCTTCAAGGTTATTGTCAATGCAAAGATTGATCCTATTTACATTTTATTTTTTTTATTTATGTTCAACCTTGAGACTGTTGCGGTTTTCTATTTAACAAAAAACGTCTAAAAACATGCAAGAAATAGGAGAGATTTTTTTAATAGACTACTTCCCTAACACACACACACACACACACACACACACACACACACACACACACACACACACACACACACTGACCATGTGATGTGAATGTCCCCTTGTTCCGGTTACAGAGGAGCCTGGGAGGGAGGGCTCAGTTGAATGTAAACCTTCACACTGATGGAGAGAAGCGGCCAACATCAGGAGCAGAGTCTCTCAGTCACTCGACATTCACTTTTTCAAAACGTTGCAGTCTCTGTCTCCAGCGCGGATCACAACTCCGGGAGAGCTCGGCCTCTAATGGGCAGCAGCCGCATTAACTAGTGGACAGACTTCCATTAACTGTTTTTCTTTGCCGCCGGCCAGGTCACTCCGCTGCGCACACACTGTGGACTCCTGCACCGACAGCCGGCAGGAAGAGCGGCAGTAAGCTGACTGTTTAGTGTCCTAAAGTGGCACTTTTTTTCCCTCCTGCTCTGATAGAGAGACCGGATCACGTGAACAGGTCATCTCAAAGCTGCGCGTTCTCTTTCTCTTAAAAGCCTCGTGGAGGTTAAAGAGGAGAGAGGAAGGGGTAAGGACTGCAAGAATTCAATTTCAGATCAAAATTCGGCTGTACTTTGTTGAGCTAAACTACCAGCTACATTACTACTATTATTATTACTACTACTACCACTACTATTATTACTACTATTACTACTATCATTATTATTACTCCAGACTCTGTTAGACATTTTCCACTGGTGTTTTTATGATGAAGCGCTAGATGAAGGGACAGAGACAAACCTGACACACTGCGGTGGCATGGCTGCAAGAGTGTTAATTGGCCCGGACCATGATGCTGTTTGCAGCCAGTGGGTTCAACCACAAAACAACAGCAGCTCCCAGGCAGAGGGTTAACTTGTCACAGAGAGTACAGCATCAAATGACTCTGTCCTGACTCACATAAGGAGTCAGGGGCTGCAGGCCACAGCATGGGCAACTCCTCCAGGAAGGGAGAGGGAGAAGAAGAAGAGGAGGGGGGAAAGGATGGCGAGGAGGCAGAAATCACAGAGAAGAAGAAAGAGGAGGAAGTGGAGGTCGAGGAGGAGCTTCCACTTGGGGTGGAGGAGTTGCTGGAAAGTGGAGACCCTGTGCTGGACTTGAGCTACCGTAAATTCAAGAGGTTACCGTTGCGTGTTTGTGGACTGATGCACCTGGAGAAGCTGTATGTTTGCGGTAACAGCCTGCGCACTCTGCCGGACAGCCTCTCCCAGCTGCCGGGTCTGCGGATACTCGCCCTTGACTTCAACAAGCTGGAAGATGTTCCCATGGCCGTCTGCCAGCTCACTAACCTCACTCGCCTCTACCTGGGCAGCAACCGGTTGATGACCCTCCCACCTGAGCTGAGGAACCTGCAGAGTCTGCGCTGCCTCTGGGTGGAGAGCAACTACTTCCAGAGATTTCCACGGGTACTGTACGACCTGCCCCACCTCAAGTCCCTTCAGATCGGGGACAACCGGCTGAAGACGCTGCCTCCTGACCTGTGGCGTATGGAGGCTTTGAGGGGATTATGGCTCTATGGAAACCGCTTTGATACCTTTCCCAAAGTCTTGCTGCGCATGGAGAACTTGGAGATCTTAGACCTGGACCGCAACAAGATATCAGAGTTTCCCAGTCTGAAGCGTCTCCATGCCTTGCGCCTGTTCTCCTACGACCACAACCCGGTCAAGGACCCTCCTAACGTGGGTGAGGAGGCGCTGATCGTCGGGGAAGGGGCTGCAGAGTTCTTGGAGGAGCGTGAGGCCAAGAAGGAGAGGCGACGAAAGGCCGCAGAGAAAGAGGCTGAGGAGTTAGCTCTGGCAGGAGAGGAGCCGGTGATTCACGGTATTCTGAAGAACAGCAGCTCAAAACAAGCTGCAGTGACCATAGACAACGCAAATGTTAAAGAGGAAGAGTTCCTGGTTAAGGGGGAGGAGGTGGAAGGGGAGTACGATGGTGCTGAGCTTGAATATGATGAAGAGGGCATCGAATATGAGACTGAGGAGCTTATATGTGAAGGAGAGGGGTTTGACTACGAGGGCGAGGATCTGGAGTACGAAAGGGTTCAGATGGACTATGAGTACGAGGATCTGGAGGACATGGGGAGACAAGATGAAGGGGCATGAAAAACCCCTCATACCTTCAGAGGATCTGCAGGCAGGTGGAGGCGGATGAAAGAAAATCTGCAAATAGAGTATTTTAAAGAAGCTGACACAGGACGAGTGTGGGACTGTCTTAGCTGCGCTGCTAATTTCTAATCCGTTGTTAACTGTGAAAATAAAGCTGGGCATTATGATCCTATAAACTGACAGCACCTGTGACATCTCAATCAGCTGGAAATTACCAAATCAGAGCAGGTCTCAGGTGGAGTGAGTGTGTGTATTCAGTGTTTATGGCTGTTTTAAATTAGCGTTGTCCTCTGAGTGTACACAGGAGACCAAGTCTTCCATGATTAAATATTAACTCCTTTGATGAAGTCTGTCAGTCATTCATGTTGAGATATTTCTGAATTCAGAACCAGTAAAAGCAGCAGCTTCTGTTTACCTGACTGACACACTGTAGTATTTCCACACATCATGGTCAGCGTCTGTTTTATGTGCTTGCCAGTGCAGCTCAGCTCTCGCCTCGTCGCTATTTTTACAGCCCAGGCCGTGCGCACATGTAAATGTGTGTATTGGATTTAGATTCACAAAGAATTTATGCCATGCTAAACACAACCCCCTAAACCTTGTCAGTGTTGTGTAAGCAGTACTGTAAGCGTCAGTGCCAAGAGAGAGAGGGAGACAAGCTGGATTATTGCAGCGATGAATAGCTGGGGTGCCTCACCATAAAAGGTAAGTCCATAGGGAGGCTCCACACATGAAATGCATGGACAAAAGAATAATTATTCACATTGAAAAAAACATTTTTCAAAAAGCTGAAGCCCTCTGCAGGTCAGAGTCCATCATGACCTTTGTATACTCCTTTTTGTCGGTGACTACACCTTTTCTAGCTCCATCTCGAACATGAAGCAGGCCCGGGCCTTGTCCTCTTCTCATCTCTGTACTCATTATTCATGTGGGGCTCGTATGTAATCTAATCCTCTTTCGTTCCACATATCTTTTTCTCACATCTAATTGAAAGAGTGAAATATTTATCCCCACGCTGAAATATTTATGCTCGGTCTCGTGTGGCAGCGTGTCTCCCTACTCCTGTGTGTCAGTGTTGGGGAAACAGACTCAAACTGATGATTGCTTCTCTTTATATTTCCAAAAAGTGACACACAACATTGCCCCCATTACACACATGAAACCATACAGTATTTATTACATACATGTAAGGGTATCAGTGACATACCAAGGACTGCAAGTTATTTTCATTATTGATTGATTGTTTGGTCTTTTGAGTAGAAATCAGTGGAAAGTTGACCATACGATCATCAAAGTGATTAGGATTCATCCGCTTTAGACCATGAATGTGGTTGCTGAAATATTTCGGTGCGCACCAAAGTGATGGACTGACCAAAAGACTCCACATTCTCATCCTTAGAGCCACGAGCATGACTACAATTTCCATAAAGTTTATTATTTCACTGTTCACCTCATATATTCAGCTAATTAAACTAGATCTACTAACTGTTCTTATTCTGACACCAACAATTCTCTGCAGACCCTCAGTGTGGTTTTATGTGTCTCTTGTTTTGACACAATCTAGTTTATGTGACTTTTGTGGGTGATGTAAAGCCACTGCAGTTTCAGACAGTTGGTCCACAGTATGTGTGCGTCCTGTATGGAGCTGCAGTAAATGACACATAATGTGACGGTGGTGGAAACTCGATCCTCCTCCTCGGTCCGTGCTCGGCTGCTCCTTCCATGGCTGTGGGTGGCAAAACAGTCTGACACAGCACAGACGTCCACAGGAATCAGTGCCACACTCAGTCTGAGTGTAATTATTTTGCTCATTGGTTTACACTCCTCTCATTCTCTGTAGGTCAGTGACAGAGAGGCGGTTAAAGACAGTGCTTCAACGCCTTCACTCCCTCTTTGGCTTTCACACTGCTTACTTCACACAATTGTCTGACTGGCAGCTTTTCAACTCACACAAAAAGGACTTCCCAAAGAGATGAAAATTAGCCATTTTTTTTGACAGGACTATTGTAAAACAACACAGACGTGGGGGTGATCAAGGTTTTCAAGATTTGATTATAAGGAAATGTAATACTGCAACCGTTCTTCCTCACAAAGCCACAGTTTTTATGAGAAAATAAATACCCATGTAGGTAGTAATGTGATGAGAAGAAACCCACAATTTCATTTTTGTGATGAGTAGCCAGCTGTGAAGGTAACATCTCAGGGTGTGTGAAGATTTAGCCCCTAAAGATGAACCTGTGAAATAAAAAGGGGTCATGTAAGTCAAAGGAAAAACATAAGCATGACGGGACTTGTGATGTGTAGTGATTTGTTCAACATGTGTGTACCTGTCCATGTCCCGACGATTGTAGCCGTTGTGCATTTTTGCAGTGATGACTCCTGCACCGGTGTGGCCGCATCTCAGCTTTTCTAAATCAGCATCATGACAGAACCTGAAAAGAAAAACAAAGTTTTAAACTGGATATTTGTCAGTTCAACAGGTGTTTGAATGATATATGCAACAGTGCAACATACATAGTCTGAATTAGCTGAAAGGCATATACATCCTCTGGACATATGATACACGTTTATAACATATGAAATACCCATAGTAAAAATTGTATATATACATATATCAAAAAATGTCTATGTTAGATGCAAGTTTATTCAAATATTAAATATATGGTTCTCTTAATGATTTTAGACATGTCTTTCTTCACATCCTGGGAAACTGGCGTCAGACTTTTGGACTCTACTGTATATAATATCAACATATAGTGACAGGCTTTGGGATGGATATATATGTATGTAACGTGTCTACAATATAAGCATACATACATAAACATACAGATTTATATGGAAGAGACATATATGTTGATATATAAAATAGTTCCAACTTCTAATAGGTTTCATATATCATTTTTACATGTACATAAATGCCATACATATGTACATTTGCGTATTGGTACTATTTTCAATTCAGGCCTTTTATTTCAATGGGGTATCATCAAAGTTTGGTTTTGCCACTTAAGTGAAGGATCTAAATACCAAACACACTTACTTGTTTTTATAATGTGTCGTGAAGTGTGAACAATCAAAAGGTGTATTAGGGAAAGGCTGGTTGTTCAGAGCATTTAGAAGAGACCCTGTGGGCTCCTAAAAAACACAACACACAACAAACACAACAGAGTGAACACCACAACACTCAACAGTCCAAATAACAGCTCCAAACATGGAAGTCATTTTTATATAAAAGAAGAAAGACTATGATATAGAAATATTTAACCTTTTTTCCAATGGTCTTCTCAGTCAGTGCATTACTTTTAGTCTGGGGTGATGGCAGAAGGGAGCTCTAGAAGAGCAGAGGGAAAGCTGTTAAAGTGATAAAATCTAAATCTACTACAGCTGGCGAGGAGGGGGTCAGTACTCACTGGGCAGGCCAAGGGAGCGATGGCACCTCGAGTGTATCCTGTTTCTCGACAAGAATGGCTGCGCAGGCCCGGTATCGCCTCGGTGCCCTCAAACACAAGCACAGAAGGACACTGTCAGTTTTACACATAATGAAATGACAACTTTAAAGGAGAGGGCAGAGTCGGAGGGTACTGTGCATCAACCTGCAGAAATGACGGTCGCAAGAAGTCGTTTTTCATCACTGAGCTGTGAGTCTGAGGAGGTTCAACCTGAACCTGAAGTTTGCAAAGACAAATAAGAAACAGTTGGTCTCATTTTAAATGATGATAATTAAAGGACGAGGTTAGCAACAGTCTGTATCTTTCTTTATTGTCAATAAACCCCATGAAAAGCCAAAACAAACCATCATGTTTGTCCGTCTCTCAAACATTTTCCATCTTCCCCGCTGCTGCTGCTGCTGCTGCTGCTGTTGCTGCTGCTGCACTGCGCTTGAGATCATTTGTTCATATTGAAGATGTAAATCTTTAAACAACAAATGTCTGCAGACTTTATTTTAAAGAACCTTTCCTGAAACATCTGTGCACTGTCATTAGAAGCACACGTTACTCAAACAGGGGGTAAATAGTGCAGTTGTTGGTGAATATTTGTGCTCTGGCAGAATATTAACAGCAGCAGGACGATGTATGTGACATTGACTTAAAATAAACTCCCCTCCCCAGGGTCATTACAGTTAAAGAGTACGTCACCCAGTGCAATGGTGCAGCTCATATATGTTTTCCTTCCTGGCTCTATTGCACAGAGGAATACGATAGACTGTATCAACCTTTACTAATTCAAAGGATCAGTTGATTGTTAGTTTTGATCTTTTCATGGGATTCACTGACAATAAGAAAATGTGAATAAAGAAATGTAAAATATAGAATACAATCAGACTTACCCTCAATGAACAATACTCACCATGCTGCTGTTTTTCTCCTGAAAGGTGTTAAGCTGAAGCTCCGTCCCCTCAGTGAAACCAGTCTCTCCTTTAGGACCTATAGTCACATGGTTTTGGGAAACTGGAAGAGCAACAGTGTGAATGCAACAAAAAACTTATAAGAAGTCTTTATTTATTTTATTATGAAACAGCAGTCTGTAATGTAGTTTCACAAACTGGTGCTTTGTCTTGTGTGTTTCTCTTTTCTAGACCATCTGTTCCTGTTTCTCTTGTCTTTAAACCTTCACTTCACATAAGCTTGGACTTTAAGTCTCAGCATTTTCAAGCTTTCTTTTACCTGCTGGCGTGAGGCGATGAGGCCCAAACAGTCTTTGGTACTCTGTCTGAAGAAACAAATTCATGAAGACAGGTGATGAGAAATTTACTTTTCAGTATTTATGACATATGTGACACTCATCAACGTCTCCCAAGTGTATTTGTTATTACGTCCTACCTTCTCCTCGGCAGCCACTGTTCTTGGGTGACTCCTCAGATAACAGAAGCCGCTGTCTCTGGATCTGTTAATGAGGTTTGGCAAAGACCCCGAACAATCAGAGCGGATGTGGGGCTGGTAATGCCGTTTGGTTTGAGACATCAAACTGTCAGATAACAGCAGTCTGTAGACAGAAACAACACACCCGAGTTCGAGGTAACACTTGGAGCTAATCACAGTCAGGCTATTTGCTTTAATTGAATCAGTGAAGGGACCAGCCTGTAGAAATGTGTGAATCCAGTTTTTCAATGCACTGAGCACCACAAGCAAAACTTGATTCACCTCTGTTGCACCTGAGCGGAGGCAAATCCACAGAGCTGATTTTAATCATTTCTACAAACTGGGTTTAATTGACATCACCAATTTTTGAGATCAGTGGTTACTTAATATTTAAATCCAGTAAGTGCTGTAACCTTTATGTAGCTAACTGAACCAAAGGACAAAGCTAATAATGTTAGTGTGGTAATGCCAACTGAGACTTTGAGATCATTTAAATGTTATTGTTATAGTCAAAGCCTGTAGGGAACCAGTTCTCGCCTTCTATGACCACTCACCCAAACTGGGGGTTGTCGGTGTGGTCCAGACTGGGCCTGTAATATATAGCTGGTCTCTGGTTTGCTGTGTAGCCTGTCTCATTGACACGTCTGAGGTGTGAAGAGAGGTTCACTCTGCCTGTGTCTAAAACAGTCGTACAAACATTGATCATCAGAATCCTAAACTGAATCCTAATCAATATGATAAAAGCTGTTTGACTCTAAAGTTTCATGTGAAACAAAACTTTTCCTCTCTCACCTCGCGCCCTCTCCCCATATGACGCTCTGTAAGAAGTTTTATAGACTTTGAGTGTGTCACTGGTCAGTCCTCCCCAGCTGCCTGTTGCTCCAACAGTCGCCGTGACTGTCCTCCTCGGCTCAGCCATCTGTGACTGCTGTAATGGAAACTGTCAGTGACAACAGTGATGGATAGCAGAAATCCTCAGGGCCTGTGCGCACTGCTGTAACCACAAAATAAAAGAAGCAAGCAAAGTGTAACTCCTTTGTTTTTAGGTTGGACTGAAGCCAAACAAACTCAAAGCTCTGTGAAAACACAATTACAGCACCTATAGGAAATAATGCAATAAGTGCTCCTTTTATTAAGTGCTGTTTGAGTGAGGAGGGAATTTCTGAGTAACAGCACCACTGCAGTACAGTTACAGCTATTTGTGTTTACAGCAGATATAACTTACCCCAGAAAAAAACAGGATCTGCCAAAGCAAGGGAAAGCTTCACTTACTCTTGAGATGTACCTGCAACTCTGGGCTGTTTGCTCACCTCTCTGTGTTGTGGGGTTTTGTAGGTAAACAGGTCTCTGTTGCTAGGTGATTCAGCACAAGGGCAGAACATTATAGCTGAAGAATGAGTCCAGAGTGAAAGGTTGGCTGCCGACAGTTTAATAATGTTTCTACTGTATATCAGGGTCTGTGCTTTATTTCTTTAACACATGTCCTGTCATGTGTTTGTTATTTAATGTTGCAGCAGGGAAAACTGTAAGATTCCCACTTTACTGTCAGCAGTTTAAACATTGTTTAACATTCAGATGCTTTTTTAAAAAACTAACGACACAGCAAACTATTGCATATGAACAATATCTGTGTTTTTTTATTTTTACATGTGCTCAGATTATCTTAAATTTTCCAAATGTGCTTTTTTAAATGGATGATATTTGAGTTTGAGGTTTATTTTTGCTGGTTACAATCAAAGACACAGGTAAAAAAAAACAAATTTAAAGACAGAAAAATAAAGTCCAGATTAATTTAATGATCACCTCTACATAAATAGTATACAGTACACAGAATTTGTTTTGAAGGACTTTAAGAAGAAGTACATTTTAACTGAATAAGAATAACTTAAACACCTAGAAATATCCTAATTTCTGCTTATAGCTGCATTTTAAAATGGTTATATACTGCTTATAAACACAGGGGTTAAAGTAAAGTGTAACTATTATGGTGTACTGTGTATATTTCAACCATGTTTTTGTCATTCAAATAATTTTATCCATTTTGAGGGTAGAGAGTGGTGTATATGGTGCAGATTGTAAAATTGTAAATGTAAAATTGACCTGAGGTTTGTGCTGCTGTAAGGTGAATTTCTCCACCTGGAGCTCATCGACTCTTTAACGATCAGATGCACAGCTCCAGCCTGAACAGCTACTGCACATGTCCACTGGATGGCAGTGTGATGCCACAGTGGCCCCGACTGTAGTCAAGCCCAGAAAAGATGTAAGGTTATGTAAAAATGATGGATGGCTTGAAATTTGCATGGCATCTTGATAACAATGTCCATGCGAGACAGGGAGTTATCATCCACCGATGTTAGCAGGAGAAAATGTCCGAACACCATCTATACATCTGCACACGCACATTTACATGATGAGCCTCTCAGTTTAACCCAGTGGACACTCACCTGCTGGTGTATTTGGGACATCAGGAAAAACAGTCTGAGCTGGACATCAGTGTTATTTTTCCAGACACAGACAAGCACACATACTCTTACTAATTAACCCCCCAAGAGGAGGACTTTTGTGTTAAATAAAAGGTAAAACAGTGTGATCTCTGTCTGAAACTACCTCTGCCTTATATTACAGATCCCACATGCTCCTCAGACATGATTTTCTTCACCATTTCATCATTGGGTGGGTCTCTGAATGACATGTATAAAATGTAACTGATCAACCTTTGGATCACTAAATCTGACAATGCATAACAGTCACATCGTTTCCACACCGTTCCTTTAATTCTCACTTCTTAATCCTTCTCTTTTCATCTCATTTCCTTGGATTCACACTGCTTCTTCACCTCTGCAATATCTCTCCTTGCTCCCTTTCTTCCCTCCATCTGTCCAACGCTGGCAGTGTGCAGAGCCTATCTTTACCAAGCTGTTGCTTGTGTTGCCGTTCCACAGTCTTTCTTGCTTGACATACTGTTGTGCCAAGCCTGGAACTGTTCATTATCTCCTCCAAAAAATAACTACAGGGAAACGCCTGCATCATTGAAACTGACAGTCTCATTTCCTGCTTCCTTTCTCTTAAACACAATGTGCGCATTATTGGCATTTCTAATTATAAATTCACAGGGATCCATACAGCAAGAATAGACCAGGCGCCGATTTTCATTCCAGTCAAAGATTACACCAGATGATTTCACTTATTAGAACAACTTCAGCCTGAGATTCAGACAGGAACTGATCAGTGGAAGCACCTGCTGTACTCTGTTTGAAATGAAAACCTGCAGACTCTCAGCTCTCTTCTGATTGTTCATCTCTGCAACACAGCAATCTGTGCTTGTTCTGCATCTGCATAATTCACATAGAAAATGACTGTGCTGCAGCCAGGCTCAGCTATAGGCCACATTCTTGTTCAAAATGACAAAAATTCTAAAAATATACATATAAAAAAATCTTTCACCTTCTGCAACAGTTTGCACTTGAGATAGCACTTACAGAGGGAGCTTAAAAGATGAAAAAAGGTGGGTGCAGTGGTTCTAAAAATAGATGGAGGTGATGCAAGCGAGGGTCTCCCGTTGAGTTGATGCGCTTGGTTTGCCCGCAGCCGTCTGCTGTAGTTCAGGGAGGGACGAAACCTCGGCCCCTGTCTGCAGGAGCTCGGCTGGCTCAGTGCTCGTCTGTGTTTCCTGCCCAGTTCTGCCTCTGATGCACTGGGAGGAGAATCTCAACGGTTTCTCTGTCGATTCAATAACCTGTTTCTGTCTGCCATAGAACAGCATGGAATTAATATTTAGAGAGACATAAAGAGACAGCTCAGGCGCTAAGACCCTTCTTTTTGTGTCAGGTCTCAGAGGTGCTCTCTCTGCTTCAACGCTTCACTGTTCTCAGTCTTATCGCCTTACTGCTTCCTTTTTGACTGCTGTACTTAATAGGCAAATCTGGCATGGACAGTTTGGAGTAAATTGCATTGTCATTTTTTTCCATTTGGAGTTTAAGTCATCTTTGGTGCATGTATTGCTAAGGAGGCAGACTGTGATAAGCAGAGGGAGATTCAGGTATAAAAGAAGACATTTCCTGACATGTAGAAGACAGGTTATCCTGTATCTCGATGAGAAAGAGATGAAATTCAAGAAAAACAACCTATTTCACTATTATGTTGATGTTGCAAGAAAATGCCTTTGAGTGTTTATGCAACTGCATATTTGATGGATTGAACCTGCAACACTGAGCTAACACAGCATAACTAAGTGTGTGATTTCAGAAGTGAGCCAAACTGTATGAACAATGCAGGAGCTAATTAAACTACACGAGAAATCTGTCATCATCCTTCAAAATGGGATGAAAGATTCCTTCAGACTGTAGCATGTAGCCGTGTGATTCATTTATCTTCATGCTGACTAATGTGGAGCTCAGAGCAGATGCTTTCCACTATACATTTTTAATTGCTCTCAAAGGCAAACACAACCTTTGCAAATTGCTACCTTTATCACCAAATGATGGTACATGTTAAATTGGAATGGTGTCATTACAATTTCTAATTATTTATATTGCTGTTTAATTTCACCGCAATTACACTTCAAGAAAAAATCAGGACACAGAAACACTGTGCTGCTACAAGTTTGTGGCCTCTGCTGAAGACATTTTGCTCTGGGGCTGATGGTCTCTGTGCTTTCAATTTATTGGCATACACAGTGATGTTGCAGCATATAGATGCATACAGCACAACAAAGGGCAGCTCTTTCCTGTTCCAACATGACAATGCACCCATGCACAGGATGAGGTCGGCAAAGAAATGGTTTTCAAAGCTTGGAGTGGATGAACCAGACTGCGAATCCCAGCAGCCTCCAATCTTTTGGAAAGCTTCAAGTTGAAATAGTTAAATGATTTATTTTTTCTGCTCAACAGCTCAAAACCCAAACATTATTTGGTTTACTATTAAATAAAACAAAGGAAGCCAGTGATGACACACATTTGACAAACTGGAACTAATGACTTTCTCGGTATTTTTGCTTAAACAACACTAAACTTCTGCAACCACACAAGCGGTGCTTCAAGCTAACTTCTAATGTCAGCATGCTAACATGCTGATGTTTAGCACGTAGAATTCTTTGCATGTTTACTACCTTTGTTTAGTGTGTTACCATGTTAACATTTGCCAATTGGCACTAAACACAAAGTGCAGCTGAGGCTGATGGGAATGTGATTAGGCTTGCAAGTAAATGGCCATAAAACAAATAAAATATTTCATTCAAACTTTATGGTGGAGTTAAAATCAGGGGTCACAGAAAAATCCTAATGACTTGGATTCACCCTCTGGGGACCATGAACATCTTTTCAAAATTTAAGTTCAAATGGTGGACCGACCGACAGAATCAATTATTAAAACTGTCGCAGATCAGTTTTTTTTTTTCTGTTGACAAATTAATTATTCTACTAATTGTTCCAACTACAGCATCATGCTGGTTTTGGAATGAGATGTTAAACAATCTCACACACACACACACACACACACACACACACACACACACACAGGTGTAATGTTTGGTTATCCACAGACCTTTGGCCATGTAGTGTACCTCCAGTGTCAGTGTCAGTAACCTTACAAAAAGAGGAAAAACACAGGAGGACCAATGAGTCTCTGGACACAGATGTAGTAAAAATGATTCTTTAATATGGAACAAAATCAGAGCTCAGCTCCATGGCTCCGTCCACCCAACACACTCTGTAACACTGATGGGTGGAGGAGAACGAGAAAATCAATCAGTAAGATCACAGTCCGCTCGGCCAAAAAACAGGAGAGGCTAAAAAAAACATGGAACGCACAACCAAAGTGCTACTGGGTTTGACCTCGAGACGCCCTCGCTCCCTTCCCTCCTGACCCAGGATGTGACCCACAGAGACACGCCTCTCTGCCACCTCCCAGGGCTCTCCCACC